AAAGTGAAAACTGCATGTTCTTTTATAAATTAAAAAAAGCACGTTTGTAGACTAATTCACGCACACTATAGCTATAGCGCGTGAATTGGATTGCCTTTTTTGAGAAATACGTCTATATACCGCGAGGATACTCACTATTCAGTGTTTCAGACTTCAAATCAGAAGAAAAACACGAATAAACATGCACTAACCGAAATTACGTTCATGGTAATTAGTGTTCCGCATATTTTCTTTCCCAACTCTGTTTGTGATAGGCTAGTGCGGACAACTTCAGCTAATCTCGTTTTTTGCAAACTTAAAAATTTAAGTAGAGTCTTCATTAAGTAGAAAAAGATCGCATTACATAAGATATAAAACCCAGAGACGACTGAGACGGTCATTGTTGCGCACAAAAATATCCAAAGAAGACCTACCTCGTGGACTGTGAAAAATGCGATTTATTCTATTTTGCGCACTAGTGCTGTGCGTTTCGCAAGCAGTGGCTTGGCATATACAACCCTCGCCTTCTTTCCAAGCAACACCCGTTTGTAAGTATTTGTTTTAGTTTTGTGTTTAGTTTATATCCTAATATTGTCCAAGCTGTTTGCATGTAAATCATCGTCCGTTTACATGCAGAAGTATAAAAATAGATTGATGTTTTATATTCTCAAAAAATTACGTTTGGTACAAAGCTAATAGTTTAATTTCAAACGCATTCATATCTGAAAATATCCATTCATATTTGTCACGAGTTTGTCAACCAGACGATATTGTGGAAGTAAAAATTCAGTTGAAGCAGCGACTTTCGATATATTTGTCATCCTAAACGCTAATCTTATTGTTTTTACACGACAGCGTTTCCTAATGCGACATCAATTTAATAACAGATGGCATACATGGCTTATAATTTGTGAAAAATTTGCTGAGTAAAGCGATATCCTGACGAAGGTCTTTAGATCGAAATTTTGAAATTTTTGGAATTTTGAATGTTCCTAAACCAGAGACATACCCATGCAGAGGAGGGACTTTGAGGCAAGGCTAAAGTTATAGCCTATACTAGATTATGTATTTGTCGGAAAATAGCTATAGTATGCAGAGTTGGTGGCATTGTTAGTTAGATGTGGAAAGTGAAACAAATACCATTTTTTGCCTATACACACGACGTATGAATATGAACGCGAGTGATAAAGTTTGACTAGGTGCGTCGTAATAATCAAGCATTCTTGACAGATTGAATACAATCTTGAAGTTGTTATATATTATGAATTTTCCAACTAAAATAAATTTTTTGAAAAAAGCCGTGTACGTCCTTGTCCAAAGTAAAACTGAAAGAAACTGACACGTCATTCCCTGTACTGTTTTCTTGGAACACACTCGCCGTTCCATGAACTTATTAATTAATCTCCCATACATTGACGTTTCATGCACAAACATGTTTGTAAGGGTTAGGAATGCAGAATAAGGTCAATATTTGTTATGTACTTGCTCTAATCATGTGGAAGAAGAGTTAATTTATTCATCCTGCCATATATTTGTTGAGCACCTTTTTAACCATACGGTCCATACCTTGTTTCATGGACACTATATGATTCTCAGCTGGGTCCTAATCTGCCCAAGACATATATTGCTACTTTACCGCGCGGATTTTGAGCTGGATCCTGAGTCGGCTAGAACATATACTAGTGCGAATTTCTAGTCTTCCCTGCAAAGCATAAACTCTGATTTGGGCCCTGGGAAGTATAAAGACCTGGAAAATATTTCTTGAAACACTGATCTTGCATGGTCAGTACGTATACTCATAAGCAAAAATATAGTCATGTGAGTCGGAATTAATTGGCTGACTAACGCCGGGTTCTGTAAAGACAAACGTGAGGTCTGTGGTAAAATTAGGACCTCGTGATCATCTTGGAGCAATTGACTCCACAATCGCACAACGATAGTGTGTGTGATCCCCATAGACCGAGAAATATCGGAGAAAGTCATTTCACCAATCGCAAGCCGAAAAATGCAATCAAAATCACAGCCCAAAACATGCTTTCTTCGTGTGTTGGTAATCTTCGTGAGTGCAATATGCGGTAAAACAATATATATACACTGTTCTTCGTCGCTAAGTTTTGAGCAAGTCACGTGTTCGACAAGCCACGGCTTTAGAATGAAATTTGTGCCATACATGCTGAATGATTTCCATGTATTGCAAAAGTTCTGGGGCGCTGTTTATGAACTTTTTGACAATGATTGGCATATGTACTTGCTCTAACCATGTCGGAAGAAGAGTTAATTTATTTATCCTGCCATATATCTGTTATGAGTTATGATAAATGACTATTCCTTGCTATTCAGAGGATAGCCGGCGCTATTCGGCCCTCGTAATAACAACCTGCCCGGCTTGATGCATGTCAAACCTCGTACCTGGGTTTCATAACCTCCGCTTTCTATAATGTTGTCCGTTGGCGAAACATCAAACAAATGAAGAGGAAAAAGAAACAACGTTGAATCCACAGGCTACTAGTAAATGATGCAACTGATACTGAAAGGAACTCTGCATGACATTTAATTCCTCCCGTATGTAAAACTATAATAGTGAGCTTAAGCATGTGACGTTTTTGACAACACAAACGGCATGAGTAACGTGAAAAGACTGGGTCAAGGATTGTGATTGGTGAAAAACAGAAACTTTACTTCCGGTTAACGTACGTGTTGTCAAAAACGTCACTTGCTTAAGCTCACTAATACCGAATCAAAGCATATACGTCAACCCTTATATATCCTGTATACAGTATAGTGATATAACATATAACAAACTTCTAATTAATCGTATTTGGTCATCCAAAGCTGAACAACGTGTTACTGATACGAATACGTGCATTTTCTGTTTGGTTCTAGTTTAAATGCATACCTCATTTCCCATATAATAAATTTCTTTAATTTCGTAAACTTATAAAATATAAAATATAAAATATAAAACCTGTTAATACTGAGTCATATGATTGTCTAACTGTAACGAAAATTAACGAAAGATTACTGTGCCAACTGTTGATTTTATTAAATATTTTATAGTGATCCAAACTAGTGCTTTAAATCAACCTTCGTCAACAGTTTTGAACGGTAAGAAAACATTTTCTCTTTTACTGAGATACAGGGACAGCGCAGATATCAGATAATTATATCTTTTCATATTATACCATTTTATAATACTGAATCATCTGATTGATAACATCATGGTGATAATACTGAATCATCTGATTAATAACATCGTGATAATACAGAACATCTGATTGATAACATCGTAATAATACAGAACATCTGATTGATAACATCGTAATAATACAGAACATCTACGAGGGGCAGGAGGAGAGAGGGAGGATTTAGAGGCGGAAGAGGAGAGGGGGAAAAGCTAGAGCGAGGAATGTCGATCATTTAGGTTTAAGGCTAAAGTCGAGTAGATCACAAATTAGATGAGATTTATGTCAGTTAACACGGAATTCATGTGTTTTTTGTCCATTTAGCAAAAACGAGCGTATATGATGCCTCTAAAGGTATAAGATGAGAAGTACACGTTTTTTGTGGAAAAATTTTTCTTGTGTGAATCTTTGCCGATCAGAATCTAAAGGTTTGTTACCAATTTTACAGACATTCGAATAGCTGATGGTTCATACAATGAAGGACGAGTGGAGGTTTATTATAACGGCAGATGGGGAACAGTTTGTGATGATGGCTGGGACATGGACGATGCTCGTGTTGTCTGCAGACAGCTTGGTTTTCAAGATGCAGAAGCTGCTTATTGGGGTGGTAATGTTCGCGATGGAACTGGACAGATTTGGCTTGATGATGTTGATTGTAATGGAAATGAGTCAACTCTATTCACGTGCAGACATCGAGGATGGGGAATTCACGACTGTGGCCACTGGGAAGACGCTGGTGTTCGATGTAGAGTCAATGGAGGTGAGAATATATAATTTATGATAAAGGTGGCAGGGGAAAGGCGTTTAGCTCAAACGGTGGATAAGTTCAAAATGAAAACAAAATTATCTATTTATTAAACAACTGAAAAGTGTTCTTTCATTGCTGTCTGCAGGAACCTCCAGCTCCATAAATCATTTCCCGACCTTAAATATACAAGGTAATTCATATCAATATATTTGTAATATTTTGTTTTCGATACTGGTCAATGTAGAGTCAATGGAAGTAAGAATATATGATATATATGATGAAGATGGCACTGAGAAATTTATGTTTCACCTGCATGAATTAAAATTATCGCAGAAACAAAAACGTTTACACGCTAGGAAAGACGGAGAAGCGTTGTTGAGAAGAGTCAACACTGGAGCAAAAAAATTTTTACTCCTATCAAATTCAATAAATTATTAACACATATATGATATAATTTATGATTTAGATGGCAAAGGCCGGTTGTCCGTAAGGCGTTTAGCTTAAAACGGTTGATAAGTTCAAAATGGTAAAAAAAATTAATTATCTATTTATTGAACAACTGAAAAGTGTTCTTTCATTGCTGTGTGCAGGAACCTCCAGCTATATAAATCATTTCTCCACTTCAAGTATACAAGGTAATTCATTTCAAAACATTTGTAATATTTTGTTTTCGATTCCTGTCTCAGAGTGGAAATTGATCGTGAATAAATTTTATTATTTTCATAGCATCACAAACTATATGTCGGTATTGGCAGTTCAGATGTAATAATGGTTACCAATGTGTTGATCGATCTTATCTTTGTAATGGTCGGTGGGATTGCTCTGATGGAAGTGATGAATCGTCGTGGAACTGTGGTGTACCTGGTAGGTATTCATATTAAAGATTACTGTGACGAAATTAACGAAAGATTACTCTACCAACTATTTCTATCATTAAATAAATATTATATATAGTGAACCAAACCAGCGCTACGGTTCAACCATCGTCAACAGGTATGTACAGGGACGGATATCAGATTACAGATTACATTTAAAAATGGCTACCATGCAGATCTCAGTTTACATATTATTAATTTCTTCAGTGTCTTCAGGAAATTTCACGCGATGTCAAAACAAGTTGGACCTTGGTTTTATACTGGACAGCTCTGGCAGTGTTGGTAGCACCAACTTTGAACGAATGAAACGATTTGTCAAAGATCTCACAAACTTCTATAAAATTAGCCAAGAAGAGACCCGCGTTTCTGTGATGTCGTTTGCAAGCTCTGGAAACATTCATATTTCCTTTTCGACATATTTTTCTGATAAAAGCCAGTTCGATAATGCCGTGGATAGAATTCAATATACAGGCGGAGGAACTGCCACCAGCATTGCTTTGAACATGGCATATAATTATATGTTTACGACAGGATATGGAGCCAGAGGACCAGGTTAGTATAAAAAAATTAATCTTTTATCAGCTAAATCCATAGGAAGCTGGGTTGGGAATAGCTGTAATCCTTCTAGTTTAGTCAAAATGATGATTTGATGAAAAGTCGAAAAATTTGCACTCAAAAGTGGGTTTTTTCCTAAAATCATCTCTCGTAATAACGTTTAAGCCCGTTCGTCTATGTCTAAATAGATATTTCCAGAGAGAGCTCGTCATATAATGATAATTTTCAAGAAATTAAATATTATGCCGTCTAGCTGATTGGAGGCAAAAAGCGAGTTTATGGAACTGAAGCGTCTCATATCGATGTTGACCTCGCCATATGGACTTTTTTTTATCAGGAGACCCAAGTCCCCAGGTCACACCACTTTTAAAGAACGTATGACCGTTAGTTCGTCACCACCACATGCACAAGTGAAAACTTTTAGGTTCCAAATTTTGAATGAAAATGAATGGAAATGGTTTGAAATTGTATTCACAAAATCCGGTTGTTTTTACAATGATCCATTTCCAGATTTGTATCACGTAGGGTCTAACAATATATTCTAGTTAATCTAAAACGTTCGTTTATTCTTTATAGAGTTCAAAAAAGTGTTAGTGATATTAACGGACGGCCATAGTAACACAGGACAGGTCAGCGGACCTTCTCGGCAACTGAAGAACTCTGGTGTTGTAATATTTAGTGTGGGGATTGGACAGAGTTTATCCATGCACGAACTGAGAGAAATGGCATCAGATCCAGTGGATCAACATGTTATCACTTTGAACAGTTTTTCTCAACTAGGAAGTCTTGCTAAAAAGATGTCTTCCCAAACATGCAACGGTTAGTTTTTGCCGATATAAATGAGTTAGTGATAAATGCAGTTATTGTAGTGATTGCCAAGATAGTATAATCATTATGGTAGTGATGATATTCCAGTCACTATAATATTTTAAGAATGATGATTAATAAATAAATGTTGGGATAAGTGATGTCGGCAGAATTGAATCAATTTATATAAAGGGAAATGCATGTTTATAGTTAAAAGGTATTATCTCAACACCTCATTGGTATTTTTATATTTTAGCATCTCATTTCCAAGTGTTTTGTGACAATGATTACATGACAGCTGTATTTGACCGCGGAGATCTTCCAAAGCATGTCAACATCAATAATCTGTATCTTCGAAGTCGATATTGTAAAGCAAGCTATAACTCAACTCATGTCATTGTAAAAACCTCGCTTACTGGTTGTGGAACAGTGTTCACAAAAGACGATCAAACCCTCTATTTTAGCAACGTTCTTTCTGAGTTGGAACAGAGTTATAATGGCTCGGATGTTATCACAAGAAATTATCTCTTCAAAGCCAACATGACTTGTTCATATCCTCGAAAACGTTCTGTTGGATCTTTCAGTTTTGCCCCAGCAAAAGAAAGAATGCTCGTTGTTCTAAGTAAGTATATAACAATGATAATATATTTAGGCAATGTAATTTATTGTGTCACTTGTTGAGATTTCGATGTGCACGCTATGATGCATACAGTATAACGTTATTTCGCCTAACTGAACCAAACGATGTATTATAAAGTTTTTCTTAAAGTCACATTTTTTCACCTTTTAGCTTCGGAATAAGTGAAAAAAAGTATTCAAAAACTCAACCTTTGTTATGACCTAGGGTTGTCGTCATAAGCATACATGATACATCGTATTTGCCTATTTTTTCTTTATTTGGTAGTGCAAGTGGTGGATTACCTTTTTTACGTATCGTGCAAAACATTTTTTTCAGGTGGAAAAGGCAATTTCTCTCTGTCAATGAATGTTTTCAGGAGAAGTGATTATCGTGATTCATACACTTCAAAAGACTATCCAATTCTCAAATCTCTATCAGATAATCTTTATATTCAATATTCTGTAAACACTAGCAACTCAGATCTTGTCGTGCGCGCAGAGACGTGCAGAGCTACACCTACGAATAGACCTTATGATACTCCACAGTATGTCTTCATTGAGGACGGGTAAGTAGAAACATTTGACTTCATGGGCTTTCAGATTGATATAAAGGTCAATTTTTTATTTGGAAGGCATTATCAATATTTTTTCTACACTTGGGAATTGATAACCTAATATGACCCATTACATATTTTTGTATGGCGAAACCGTTTCTTGATTGAAAGGTATTTTCTATTTTGCTTTAGTTGTGATAAAGATGAGACGATCCGCCATTATTCATACGGGATGAGTTCTGTACAACGTTTCAGTATCCAGGCTTTTCGCTTTCTGTCCCAACATCGGTTCGTCTACCTCCACTGCGATCTTGTTGTCTGTTACAGATATGATTCTAACTCCACCTGCTCCCGAAGTACTTCATGTCCGCGACGAGTTCGTCGCGATGCTGCCGATAAACCATCAGATGATGCATCAAAAAAATATGCGCTGTCATTTGGTCCATTTATGGATGGAAAGGTATCAAATGACAAGAGCCAAGAGGGTAAGTTCCCAAGATTTTCAATAACACCCGTGATAAAGAATAAGCCTTACCAATAAGGCGGCAATTAAATAACGAATGTGTGAGAAGAGGCAAGCATTCACGTCATTTTTGGGTTCCTCAGCCTAACCTTATGCTGTGACGTATTAGAAAAGCGATGTTTTAGGGTATGGCCTGGTCATAAACAAGTTCAATTTCTATAAGTTCATTTTCTTAATAAAGTAAACAAATTTTAAGGTCAATCTGATGTGAGCACTACATTGATTGGTTCCGTAGTTGGATTTGGGTGTCTCAGTCTGGTTCTTATTGGTGCTTTGTTCTTTATGATTAAACGATCTCGTCGCCGTGCATCCACTGATCAACCGCAGACTGGGGCCGAGAACAAGAAATCTATGGCAATGCCGAATTTGGGTTTTTCTTAATTTCTGGTTGTTTTTCTTAAATTTTTTTGTATATGACTTCAAAATAATTTGTAGAGTGTAGCATTTAAATCAACTTGTTTTTTCTTTCAAATGATCAAATGTGTTTAAATCCATATTATGTTATTAACTTTGGCAGGCATTGCGGTGTATTTTGCAGGCTAAAATGATAAATTTGCCGGGCAGAAATATATGATCTAAGCCAATGAGAGGAATGACTAAAGTGTTTACACATTGCATGATTTTTTATATTTTTATACATTTTTTACACATACCCATTGCTCTTTAAAGTTAATATATAATGGTAATTGCACTGAGTGGAGTGTGAAATCAAACGCGTGATTACAAAAGTGATTATACATGTTTGATTTCATACCAAAATTGCACGACACGAAGTGCAATTTCCACTTTATTATATTCATTTCGAAATCATACAAAAAATTAAACAAATTTAAAACGATTTATTGGCTGAAAGAACCGTAAACGTTGTAAAATGTGTGTAGTTTTCATCTAATGATAGCGAAGCTATCTCTTCACGCGTCCGGAGAAATACAGGATTGTCTTCGACGTCGTATTTCTTAACCGAGGATCTTTTAAACCTCCATTAGATTGTAATGACGAGTCACACTGATTTAAGAATGCTGACGTACCTATCTTTGATTAACTATTTTTTATTATATCATGATTGAATGTTGGGAAATAGCGTATTAGTAAAATAAAGTATCGTTATGGGGTATAGTTTGTGGTGGTAGCTTGATTAATTTAATCATAAAAAAACTACGAATATTTAAGTACGCATTTCTCTATTCGTTATTTCGTATTATTTCCCATGGTTGCTGATCTGATCATGGATGCATTGGCGCTTCAAGTTGTTCCTAACGGTCGTCATAATCGATGTCTCAAAACTCAGCTTGTCTCAAAGCAAGTTGGCAAGATTTCTACAACAGAAATAACATGCTTGATTTAATTTTTATGAACATCAACAGACTTTTATCAGATACCTGTCACCTTAGCACCATTATTTTTTATCTGATCTGAAATGAATGAAACAAAGAGACATGAAGCAGTGAAACATGAATGATCTTGAATTCGCTTTGGAAAACTTTGCCTGACATCAAATCTTGTGAGCCGGGAGGTAGCATATCGACTTAAAAGTGGAAGTATTCATTAATAACTTGAGAACTCAATGATGGCATAGCTATGATAAACCGTTCATTACGAACAAAATAGAATCCGTAATAGTTGAAAGGAACAAGGCCCACATCAGTGGCAATCTTAACCGTTTTAAATCACTATAAGTGCCCCAGTGGCGAAGGAGAGAAAAGCTATTTGCACATGTATTGGCAGCATAGCTGAAACTAGAGCGATATGATTGGAGGCGCGGGATGTTTATTAATATATTCACGGGAGAACTGAATATATGAATAACCCCCCCCCCCCCCCCCCCAATTATGGTTCTAGTTTCGGCGGCAATTCGGTCCTCATTGGCAGTTCCACTGACGGGGGTCTGGTTACGGTTTCGCTGTCCAGTTAACAAAGGTTTGGGATCAGTTTACGCAGTATTTGTTCCAGCGGTTCTTCAAGCGCTACCACGCGCACGCGCATAGCACAGGAGAAACGGCGATAATTTCAAAAAGTCACTCGGTCAAATAATGTGCAGATTGCAGAAGACGACGGAAGAAAATTTAGGAAATTTCGAATGGATTTTTCTCAAGTATTTATTTTAAGGAAGGATATTTCTTGTGATTAGCCATGGTTCGTCCTACAGGCAGACGTGAAGATGTTCAAGAACCTGGTAGCGGGTCAAAACGTAGAAAAGCCTACACGCCAAAGCGAGATGAACGTCGAACTGATTCTGCAAGGGACACAGGTAACAAATTTATGTGATATTTGAGCAATTTTGGTTTGTTTATACAAACATAAATGATACACATCCCCTCCTATTAAACTAAATTTTAATCCAAAACAATAAACGCTACTAATGAAGGTTTTTGGATGGAGTATTTGATCATTGACATCATTCCAAAAACTGGATGTGTGCCTACATCCCCTAGCATTTACTATCTTTGATATAGTTGTGTAGGAATCGCTACAGCGATGCTGTTACATAGTTAATATCATGTGCATTTAACCCTCTTTGGATTTTTACGCAGCTATAAAGAGTTGGCAGTTCTAAATTTTCCTTTGAAAGTTCAATCTGCTAGATCCAAGATGTGATTGCCAAAAAAAAATAAAACAAAATTAGCTTTAAGGATATTGTGCTCTAGAATATGCATGTGCAAGAACTGAATATTGAGTTGTGCCTGACTTTGTGCATTAAATGACATAGCTTTTAATGGGTTTTGCCAGTGCATTCAGGTTTAACAAGCCTAAATTTTATGTATTCCATCATAATTAGGTAGAAGACGGCGTCGATATCGTCCTGGGGCACGAGCCTTGTTAGAAATTAGACATTTACAGAAAACAACTCATTTACTAATTCGAAAAATGCCATTTGTGAGAGTGGTAAGTAGTTAGTAATTAAAAGTGTTGTGGTTTAGGGAATAATCCAGATGTTAAGTTAATTAAGTGCAACTTGAGTCCTCTGGAAGAAATAAAACTTGCACTACTGAAGTACATGAGATATCTTAAAGTTTATGTTTTGAGATAGTCTTTAGTTCATTTCATCCCCTGTTAGGTATTTTGACTTCTTGTTGTAGTTGACATATATTTAATTATCTATTCTTTAAGCCATGATTCATTTTATTGGTAAATCTAGATGCAATGCTCATGGGCAGAGAACTTTATATTCATATATTTATGTCCAGGTATCAAAGGAAAACAGTTGGGTTGATGTATGAATATACAGATCTTGTGCACAATCTACAATTTAAATCCTCTGTGAACATTCTACAATATATGTGAACATTATTAACAGACACTGAAACACTTTGTCTCATTTTTTATAGGTAAGAGAAATAGCAAGAAAATGCTCAACAAGACATGTTGAGCTAAGGTGGCAGTTACCTGCGCTGGAATGTTTGCAAGAGGTTGGAAATTAAGCTCTTAATCTTGTTACGATCATGCAATCAAGAAAGATTTTAAAATCATCTTTCTTATACTGTTTATCTGGTTTCTTTGACTTTAGGCTGCAGAGGCATTCCTGATCAGACTCTTCGAAGATGCGTACCATTCATCGGGGCTTTTTATTTTTATTTTTATAAATTATTGCTTAAAATTATTGCTCTGGGTTTTCCTCATGTCCAAATTTTGTTCAATTTTGGGGTTTTTGATCCCTCTCCAAACTGATTTGCGATATTTTATTCAACTGCATTATCTCTACAACAGATTTAAATGACTATATTTTTTTCGTGTTTTTTGTTTTCTTTTTTCCCTTTCGTCTCAAACAGGAATCTTTGTGCCATCCATGCTAAACGAGTCACCATTATGCCGAAAGATATTCACTTGGCAAGACGAATCCGTGGTCGTTCAGATGCAGGGTGTCCATGAGCAATATAGACTATAATTTTAACTTTTTGATAGTTTAGTCTTTGATAGTTTGTTCGTTGTATATACTTTATTTTATAAGACCGCAACACTGGGTTTTTATTATTCTCCCACCCCAGTACATTTCTTTGTTACGCCCTTGATGAGACTAGAAACATGTGTTTAGATGATCCCACAATACCCGTCAGGGGACAGGATTCTGGGGGCGCTTTTTGGCGTTTCTCCATCTAAGCGCCATAAGCCAGGAAACGAGTCTTTCTTTTCTTAATAAACAAATATAAAAACAAACAAATATGTTGCGAAGCAGCAGAGTTCGTCCTACGCTACACTGACACTGTCTATTCCTAGTTGAAAGGGATCATGTAAACCAATCTAGTCTAGCTAAATTCGTATATATTGAGCATAAATCAGTTGGGAGAATTAGATCTTAATTGATTTCAGCATTACGTTCATCTGTAAAGTATATCCGCTAGGTTTTAATGTTGTCTAATTGTAATAATATATTCAATTTACGTACTATTATTTTATCCATTTATTAATTTTTCATCTTTTTGTTTTGTACCAATGATACGTAACACCAAGAAAGAGATTAACGATATTTTTATATAGCTATGAAAGGACATGAATAAAGTCAGTATTGTGCTAAGTTAATTTTCCCTCTATATCCGGAAGTAACACATAGATAAATCCGGAAAATGGCAATTTAAAACAATAAAAACTTTCGAAAAAGACAATTGGTGAACGCTGGTGAATGGGTGAAACATTAAAATGGGTGGATTTGTAGATAATTTTTTAATACTCTATGCTTCCACTTGAATTAAAAAAACTGCATAATCTGTGCCTGTGTATTATTATTATGTTTGTTTGTAATACAAAGACGTAAGGCTGGAGTCTGAGGGGTAAGTAAATCAAGTAACGGCTTGTTTTGCAGTGACCTTGGCTGACATAGCTATGCGAAAAATGATCGTGTCCATTAAAATCAGTTTCAATTTAAAATGTGAGATATGGAACAAATTTCTAATCTTTTATAAACAAAGTGATGCGGCAAGCAAACTAATTTTTTTTTAAGTGAATAGTTATAGTATAGCAAGAGATGGAATGTGGAGTCACCAGTTCAGTGGGTTGGAGGGTGGGGTGAAGACGACTGACTGGTCATGACATTTTAGTAAATTTCAGAAAGTGGAGGCACCAGACAAACAAAATGGCTTCCTAGCGACTCAAAGCGGAAAATGACGGTGCTTTTATAATTATTAAGAAATTACGGATCAAATGGGTTCGCGTTTACGGTAAGTTTTACCTTGCTTTTGTTGGAAAACCTCTTTATGTCTCCGTCGTTTTGTTTGTAATGATTTGTTCATTCCTTAGCCCGGTACCCGAGAAAATTTTTGAATGTCTCGTCGAAGTTACAGCTCCCCATTCTGAAAAGGAAGGTACGTTCGTATATGCAACATGACCCCTAATTTTTGATCTGATTTCAATAGAGTTATCTGTTTTTCTTACTTCCTTGTTTCGATTGCTGTAAATATAATCTTTTAGACTTCCCTCCATACATCAATATCATTATAAACATATAACCACTTGAATAAAAACGGCAAAATGCACAACACAGTTTAAAAAAACGTAATTTCGTGAAGAATTAAAATTCGATAAGAATCGTTCTTTACTTCCGACATTTATTTTGGTGGTAAAAGGTTTAATGTTTAGAGATCTGATGCAAAAGTAGAAAAACTTTCGGTTGCAAATTATATATGAAATCGTAATTGAGTTATGTTTGCAGATTATTATTTTCGTGTAAAAGTTTTATTCCTGTCGTAATTAATCTATGTGTTGTTTAGAGAGTCTCATGTCGTTTGTAATGAAAACTTTGTGCTTGTGCTTGCTGCGTTAAATTGCTATTATGAAATCATAAATAATCATGTAGTTTTGTTATGTGATCTGATCCTTTTTATTTAATGTTTGGACTTTGGAAGTAAGGAGTATGAAGACTAAGTTTGCTTAAAAATAAACAATTTTAACACCTGTGAATATATATATAGGTGGGGATAGGGGGGGGGGCTTTAGTGTTGTGTTTTGATTAAAGTCACATTGTACAGTAGTTCACTTATTGCGCACAAGGGGCTGTTTAAGCATTACATCTGTCTATTACACATTCTTATGAACGTGATAAAAATATTGCCATAATTAGGAGAAAGGTGAACATGTGAAAATAAAACTTTACTTTCTGAGCTCACAATATAAACATTGCCATTTTCATTGTAGTTAAATTTTTACTTATTTTTGAATGAGAAACAACACTTTTCCTTCTTACTTGCCATATTTATTTATGGTAATAGTGTGGTGATCAGATATCTGCGCAACCTACTTTATGTAGGTAATATATAATGCATGACACCTTGTATGGTGTTAAAAGGAGATTAGGTATTGTTATATAATAGACAAAGAGAGTTAGACAAGGGCCAAAAGAATTCTGTAATGTATAAACAGCTTTTTTATTATATTAAAATTAAAGCTCTGAAAGACATCTTTTTCTTTAACTCTTTTTCCACTATTTTAGGTGCAGAATTGAAAAGTTTTTTCCCTGATAATTATGAGGATGTGGTATGTAAAAGATACTTATGTCATCTTGTTTCATTGGTTTATTTATTTTCAATGGTTCAGTCAGAAAAAGTTTAATTCTTTTAGCCAATCTAATGCTGTTGCAATGTTAATATTTAAGGACATCAAATGTTGAGAATACAATAATGTATAATCATCCATCATTTCAGTCAAGACTGTGCAACATTCTCGGAATGCTTTAGTGTAGTTGTCTAAGAGATATATCTTAAGGAGATTCTTCATTACGTCTGCAGACCAGTCACAGTCACATGGGCAGATTTTTAAAGGTCGCTTTGCTCGTGCAGGTGAAGCAGACAGTAATAGAGAATCGCCGTAAGATGAAATTAAGGCTTTAAATTTATTGGATTTTAATTCTGTTTAAACCCTGATTTATCGCATCATTTTTCTCTACTAGGATATGCTCAAGGATGTTGTCACAAAGTTTTGCTTTCCCTTTGCACATGATGCGTAAGTTTTATTGAGGAGTCTGTGAATGCCAACAGAATTTTATACATGTTTATGATATAATCAAGTGCAATATAGAAATTCCTATTAGAATTTAATTGCACCTTTCAGGGCTATTGAAACATTCTGTGACATCTAGCTTTATTGTAAAAAACATTTCTACTATTATAGTAACAAAGTTGATTCTTTGAACTTTAGAAAGAATGGTGTGAGGTGTAAAACACCATCAAGTAATTCAAGTTTGTCAACATTTGTTGGTTTTCAAGTTATTGAATTAAACAGTTTTAATTTTTTAGAGAGATGGTTGATGCTGTGCAGCATTTTGCATTTGTCTTGACTGACATTGATGGATTTTTTCGCTTTGGATTTTGTCGTTATCCACCAAAAGCAAAAACATGTCTTTGTATCCTGAGGTAGTATGTGGTATTAGATATTGCTTCAGCATATATATGTATGTATACAGTGTTATGTATACAGTGTTAGGTAATCATATGAAATGTTTTCTTTAGTGATTTGCCAGCTTTTGAGATGTTTTATGGTATACTCAACACATTGGCTGAACTTGAGAACACTGCCAAAGATCAGGTATAATACATAAAAACAGTAGCTCAGTTTTGTAGCATTAGTGAATCTATATTTCAACCATATTTGATGGTTAAACTGCTATGATCAGTATGAATTAAATCCAACTAGTTGCAAGAAGTCTAGAAAATTGGGTATTTATATCTTTATTTAGCCTCTCACATCAAAACAATTTCTGGATCTTGTGCTGGATAGTCAAGTGCCGGAGCCTGGAACCAAATTTACAGTCAGTGATCCTGTTATTGATTGGGTATGTTTTTTATGATAAGGTTCCCTAACTTCCCTTTACATAGTACATTCTCCAGATCAAAGATTAATATATTGACCTACATGTATTTAGACAAGACAATACAACTATCCGGATCCAGGAAAATTGCCTACAATACCCGAAAATGTAAGATCTTACTTTAACTACATAAATCTTACTTTGTAGAGATACAACTCTGTACAAGTAGTATCTAAAATCCTAACAAGATTGGATGCATTTTTATGTCAATCATTTTTAAAGTTTCTAATTTGTTATCTAAAATATTATAAAAGCTCTAGTCTAAGCAAGTGGTTTATTATCTATGTTTTTATTTAATTTCAGAGAAATTTGACAGATTATTTTTCAGCTGTTAACCCAAGCAACATGATTGCACTATTTGCAAGGTATGAAAAGTTTCTTCCATGCAATAATTCTTTAAAAAAAAATTTTGACTAATATTACAGTTAACTCAAGGTGACAAGTACAATCCTTTTTTTCTTTAAGCATGATGTTTGAACGAAGAATTATAGTAACATCGAAGAGGTTGAGCTTGGTAAATATTTACTTCATTGCTGCGAGATAATCAAGGATGCCACAGTCCTTGCCTGTTCATATGGTACTCAACTTCATTTGAGATGAAAATGCATGTTTTTAATTTAGTTCATTTTTCATATTCAGCTGACGGCATGTACATACAGTGCTTCATTGCTTCTTTATCCAATGCATTGGCAACATGTGTTTATCCCAGTGATGCCACCTAGTCTCTTAGATTACTGTAGGTATGTATCAATATTCTTAAGTCATCATCTGGCCAAGAAGAGTTGCTAAGAACTAACATGCATATGTTACATGTACACAGTTTTCTAAGCAACTTTCTTCCTTCATTAAACAAGGAAAAGTCAATTAACTGAACATTAAGAGAAGATTACAGTTATGTTTACTATCATGCATACAGTATTTTTTGTTCTTTCAACATTTTGATTATTTCTATTTGAAAACATTTATTTTTGCATGATATGATGAGGTGATGCTATTTGACTTGCCAAAACATGAAGTCATGAACAAAACAACAGACAACTATACTATACTTCCAGAGAATTGCAATAGGAATAGGACACATTCATCATCTAATATTTTTGTCTTTTGTCAGTGCTCCAATGCCTTTCCTTGTTGGAGTTCATTCTTCCTTGATGGAGGTTTGTTTTTTGTTGAGAGAATTTTAGGACTCAAGATTTTGAAATAATAAAATATATTATTATACAGTTTAACTATTGAATTACATGCATTGCATATTTTTTTGTAGAAAGTACGTGATATGCCATTAGATGATGTTGTTATTTTGGATATTGACAAAGAAGAGATTGAGCTGTCAGGAGATTGCTTTCATGATGTTGATGATCTACCATCAGAGGCTGTAAGATATTTACAATCTTCACGTTTGCTTCACCGTTATTTTCTGAGCATTGTAAAACCAAACAACTGATGTACATTCTTGAGGAATATCCTTAGAGAGCTACTTGTGGTTTTACAAACTCGATTGAAACCAACGTGATAGAAACCGTATTAGAATATTAATGCCAATGTATCGTTCAATTGCTGTTTGCTATTACATGGTATGTGCTTATGCTTGGTGTATGGTTAATATAGGTTTCAAAATTAAACAGCGCCCTGAAGAAGAATACAATAGCTATTGGTGAATACGTGGCTCGCGCCTTTCTCGGTGCTGTAGTCATATTGATTGGTGGATACAGAGATGCATTGAAACTATCTGTAAGTTGATTCGTCTGGTGATGTTTATGGCGCATTTCCATAGTACATGAGTTTGATCTAGTATAGATAAAGTTTTCTGTTCAAGAATTTCTTTCAATTTCTCGTTGTTTTTTTAGGGCGACACTATCATATTTCGAGAAGACATGTAAGTACTGCGGGATATAATAATGATTTGCATAGGTTTGTCTGAATGTAAACTCGATTTTCGTCCATTTCTGAAGGTTCTTGACTTCTCGTCCACATATGAAATCCTTTTTGGAAAACTTATTAAAGTTACAACTGTTTGAACGAGTAAGTACGTCGAGAAGTGGTATAATGTGTACATATTGTAGATGTATGTTATAGCAGATAATCACTATGTCATGCTGGGTGGTTTTTGTATTAATTGTTTTCTTCTCTGGATAGTTTATTCATCATCGGCTTGACCAACTAAACTTAGGCGAGGCAATTGATGATGTGTTTGAAGAGCAAATTGGGCTTCAAACAGAAAGTAAGACAAAATAGTTATTACATTCACTTTCTGCATTTGCGTTTGAGATATTCACCAAAACATCAAATTTCCTACTTTCAGGTGATTCAAAATGGGTTACTCAGTACAAACATTGGATGAAAAATCGTAAGGTATTGATCCTTTCGCTGTTCTTAGTGTTATGTGTCGCACTGAATAGCATACAGCCTTAGGGTATGTACTGTAATAGAGTTAGGTTAGAGCATGATTCCCGAGGGTAACGAGATGATAAGAGGGGTGATTAGGGTGAGGTGAGGTAACCCCTAAAATGTACCGGGCACAATTTTTGCTGCGGCTAATCCATTTCGTTCACTGGCTTAAATATGTACAAAGAACACTTTATGAAGGTGCACATTCACCTGACCAATCTATTATAAACTTTCTGATTAGTCTTTTATCCTCGTGTTTTTTTTCTCGCAACAGAGACATGGGACCCAGCTTCTGAACAGCCTCAGTGGCAAGACAGAACAGGTATTTTTGATACAATTCTTTGCTCTCGTTCTTGCTTCTTATCTGCCCCACATTTGGTTCTATTCGCAACTCCTGTAAATATGTACTGATATGAAACCTAATAATCGGGATCAACTCTATTAATATTCCAGGCGACGTACAGAGCGAAAAAATTTATTCATGCTGGCGTGAAACATGGAAAGAATGGCTTTAAAGAGGCCGTGAAAGGAATGAAAGAAAAGAAGAAAAAAGTAAGTGTTATACATTGATTTTCTTCCATGAATTAATGGATACATTCATTTCCTCGTGGAGACGACCGCAGCGTCCATGCTGGGAAAACTCACCCATGCTCTTTCACTATATTTCATTTTTTCAGCGATGTACGTTTATTCATTACAGGAAAAGGATGGTTATGATAATAGTTTGAGCAGTGCAGTTAGAAGAACCCATTCTCTTCCAATGAGTCACGCTAACGCTGTTTCAAGAGATCAGAATTTTGATGCAAGAAACTCTGTCGGCAGCGCTCTTGTAGGTTTATTATAGAATGTGATAAGCTCATCTAAAATGTTCTATCTCTTCAACAGTTTTTCAAAATTATTTTTCAGCAAAATCGTGTAAATTTGACTCCATCACCCACCAGGAGCCAGCGTCCGGAAAGACCACCTCCAAGGGTACCCGACGAAGTCTCACCAAAGATTCCACCTCGTCAACCTCCCCCGCGGCCACCCCCAATGAGGCGTCCCTCGCCCCCACCCCCTTATCAATCCCGTGAAGTATCTAACGATCCTGAGGTGAAATCCCGACCTAGTATGGTTCGGAATCCTGGGGACCCTGGAGTGAAAGATCTTATTAATTTTTATGATAGCCAGGTTAGTGATTATCTTCTATATTTTAGACCAAACAACATCTTGAGAATCAATATATGATTCAAACAAGACACAGGTTGGGACTGTAAAGTTTTCGACTTTATTTCAAAGTCATATTCAGACAGAATGACGAGCCTGAATCTCACTGATTCTCAGACGACTTTAAGCTATTAATTCCGCCAGTTTTCATACATTTGATGACACATTTGCTCGTCTTGTAATCCTCTCCAAAGAACGAGGCTAACAATTATTTTGTTTGCTAACGTCTAACTAATATCTTAACCTTTGGGAATTATAACAGGAACACTTTTAATTTTATAAAGCCTGGTTTTAACACATCGTAATTCATCGGCGAAGTCTAATGTCCATGCATGGTCATTGATACATAAAATGATATGTCCATCTAAAAAGTATCTACTTAATCGATCACAATTGATCGTAGAACATCGCCTATGAATCACGACTTATGAAAACCTGGCTTAAGCCGAAATGAAACACACTCCTTATGTCTTGGAAATGTGAGATTTTATATGTTGTAATTCATCAGCGATGTTCTACGATCCATTGTCAGTGATCAAAGATCGTTTTTCAGATAGACATAGCATTTTAAGTATCAAAGACCACTGACAATATACATTGCCGATATATTGCGGTATATGAAAAACAGGCCTTAAGGTTTTTGTGTTCAGACCTCTCTTACATACATACATTCAAGTGTGAGTGTTCAATTTCGGTTGGGTCTCCTTGGGGAATGTTAGCAACGACAAGTTTCCTCCGCCAAACCAGTTTCTATATTTAAAAAATGTTGAGTTTCAGGCAATTTTTCTCTGCCGCGATGGTTTTGTCTGATTATATCTCCGCACTCAATCATACCCTTCCTCTCTATAAAAACCTTTTCCAGCAGACAGTTTTGCGAAATATAAGAGAAAACACACTCCGAAAATAAACATCTTGTAAACTCAAGATATGAGTTGTTAAAAACAAGACACAATATTCAAGGTGATATTTCGACTCATTGTCAAACCTAACTATTTACAAGCATGCTACGATCTTTATACAAATTTGTCAGGAAGTAACGATGACGTAAATCAGCGAGTTAATAAGAAATACGAGAACATGGCCTCACGAGATATTTGCATGCTTATAGTGATACAGTCTAAGGAAAGACTATAAGTTCCTTTGATGCCTTTAAGCCGCTATTGAGTTCTGGCTTTTTAAACTTTATATGGAGTGCCTCGAGGAACAACAACAGATTAGAGTTTGTGTGGTTGCTTCTACTCTTGCGCTGAACTCGTACCTAGCAATACAAAAACACTCCAGTCTCTCAACCACACAAATTCTAATCTGTAATTGTTGTTCCTCGAGGCACTGCATATAAAGTTTAAAAAGCCAGAACTCAATAGCGGCTTAAAGGCATCAAAGGAACTTATAGTTTTTCCTTAGACTGTATCACTATTTGCATGCAAATATCTCGTGATGCCATGTTCTCGTATTTCTTATTAACTCGCTGATTTACGTCATCGTTACTTCCTAACAAATTTGTATAAAGATCGTAGCATGCTTGTAAATAGTTAGGTTTGACGATGACTTTAAAATAGAGTCAAAATATCACCTTGAATATTGTGTCTTGTTTTTAACAACTCATATCTTGGGTTTACAAGATGTTTATTTTTGGAGCATGTTTTCTCTTATACTTCCTCTCTATTCCCTCTACATCTCTTCCTGTCTTCCTTTTTACTTCAGCCATAGTCTATCCCTGCTCCATCCCTAATTTATCCTTACTCCATCCCCGCACTCACCCCGTGTTATCTCTCAGCAGAGTTCCACCGATCTCCGATGACGTCGGATTACAATTCTGCCTTTCTAGGAAGACATCACTGCTATTTCTGCCGCGTCAAGTAGCAAAAACGATCCTTTTGCGGAATTCACGGAATTTGATTATCTTGCAACTGGTAGGGCGACTCCAGGCTCTGTTCAAACAGAAATACCACAGTTAAAAGTTGATAGTCCGTCTTCTAGTGATCAAAATTTAAATGAAGGATTCTTTAGCCAGACTATGTGTGCACTTTCGGACGATACCCGACAATTTTTACGAAGTTCGCGTCTATTGATGGAATCACAGGAAAATACGACAATGAGTCAAAATGCCAGTTCTTCGGCCGACTTATGGTGTTCCCCTCGACTCGTGCGCAAGCCCCCGCTGAAAAAATCAACAACGGGTAAAAAGACCCTTAGGGAAATTGCATTGGAACAGAAGGTTGGAAACGGGCACGTTCCGTTTTTGACTCATGCGTCGTCTGAACCATCATTGCTCGTCCCGGTTGCTGGCAATATGAGGAATGAAATTCATTGTAGTAAGTCTTCCACCGATATAAACAGAAACTCTGATTTGAGTTCGAATGTTGAGTTATTAACGCGAGTAGAGTTGGATGAATCGAAAACAAACAACGTTGATCCGTTTTTAGAACTTATATCACAAAGACACAGTCCGCAGCAAATTGTAAGACGTCAAAATGTCCCTATGAGTAGCGAAGTTTAGGTAAAGTTATATATTTCTGAAGTCATCTCATTAGGACTTCAATAGCATTTTCCTGCAAACGTCAGAAAATCTTGTATGAATGATATGAACTGAGAAAGATTATTATAGTACATTTCCAGAACGCGAAGAGCCAGTGTCCTTTGATTCTTCCAAGTTACGCTTGTTGGATCTCTGTTAATAATTAACTATAGTTGGATACTTCGTTCGTTTGGAAAAGTTAATAGATTGGACTTTTCTCAATCTCATTTTATTTCAAGACGAAAAGCCTGTGACCTTCTGTCACACTTCGCTGGATGCATTGTATTTTTATGCTGCAAACCATGATATTGAGGGTTGGAAGTGTTTTCAACCTTCCTCAAAGTACCCTCAAGCTTGAATCATTGAACGTTTGGGATGCGATGAATTGTAAAGAAAGTAGAAATAGAAAGTCGTAGAAATAATATGTAAATATTAATTATTAAATATACAGATCTTTAACAATTTTAATAGCAAATTGAGAATTTTTTATTCTATCTATTCTATCGCTCTTTGAAAGAAAACGAGTAAACGAAAGTACTATAACATTCTAGACGCTCGACACGTGCGTCAGTGGAATTTGCCAGAACGCAAGGGGACGTCGAAATGTGTCGAACGGTTCCGGCTATGGTTCCGGCGTTTACCGATCTTCGTTGTAAGCCAATAGGAACGCATAATTCATGAAGTCGGAAGATTTCCGAATTATGTTGTCGCTATAAGACACGGTGAGATTTGTACATGTTTGTTTCGAGGTTACGAGCTCATATGTTGAAAGCAAGGCAATAAAATTATGACTGTTATGGGGAAAGAAAAGTTAGAAAACGATCAGAAAGTTGCAGGAATAGATGATGTTTACCGTGCTTTGATAGCAGTCAAAGAAAAGGCATCTAATAGCGCGTTTAAAACTCTGGGAACCGGCTGTGCTGTACGAACAGGCGACATCTTTGGAATAAATTGGCGAAAGAAATTTCATCTTTTGATCTCGTCTGCTTTGGTCGGGAAAGACACTTTGGAATCTCGCGAAAACCGTGGCAAATACATAGGCGAATTTGAGCATGGAAAGCCGAGACTCGAGCTGGAGAAGGCTTCGAATACATTCTTTAAAAAGGAGCACAAAGATTTTCATTTTATCGCAATAGGTCGTGGCCGTTCTGGCAAGCTGGGCCATCATGTTTTGGAAATTTCTCAACTCGAAAGGGACGAAGTCCTTCGTGGAAAGCTTGTTTGCTTCGTCGCTGTTGTCTCGAACGAGAAATCTGCTACTCATTCGTTCAGGTCACATGAAATCGCCTATAATTCCCAATCCCAGTGCTTTGAAACGACAGACGAGCTTGGTCATGATGAATTTCCTCGCGGCGCCCCGATTTTGAACGAACATCAGGAAATCGTCGGAATTATTAGCGGAATTACCGATGGAAAGAAGCTTGAAATTTGTTTCGTAAGCGATTCTAAACCTGGTTAGTATATTTGCTATTCTTTTGACATGAATTTACTCTGGTTTTAAAAAAAATAACGATACAACTTGTTCGGTTTCTCATGGTGTTCCATAGGGGTGTTTCCAACTCGTTAAATAATAAATGATTTTCGTGGCTGTCCATACTATTACTCTCCTACATATTCCTAACTTGAAATATACATAAATTAAGACTTGTCTATTCGTTGAGTATTAAAAACAGACGATGCGAATAACTTTCACATTTGATCGCGCTTTTTGTTGTTGCACACGGAAACTTTTTATTTGTTTATTGCTTTGAGCCCTTGTATGCTTCAAGTGAACGTATAAAAAAAAATCTAGAACTATACAATTTTTTCCTGCTTTTTGGTCTAAAGTGTTAAGCGAGTGGCGAGGATACCTGCAATATTGTAAAATGACTTCGTATACATTTATACAGTACAGTGTTTGTAGATTTTTTATGCTTGATTTTTGTCCATATTTGCAATATTAAATTACTCCTGTAGTACGGTACGTGAATGAGTGCAAAAAATCAAATGGTTTGGTTTAATATCGGGTGTGATACCATTTGGAATATTCCAATTTTATGCATGTCTCAATTTCCTTCAGAGAATTTTCCTCAGTTTACAACTGGGAGATATGTGATTGTCGCCGCTTTTGTTTGGCGAAGCTATACAGCAAACGCCCCGACGCAATTTAATTTCCATCTTATATTAATTGATGCTTGTTGCCAAGTGCAGTTTCCTGTTGTAAAAAGCGTTATTTGCCGTTCGCGCGTTTTACATAATTCATACTAGACTTTATCGTTTATCCCCACGTATATTCACACTTTCACACGGGTAAGTAAAATGACTCCCTGCAAGTGTTATTGTTAAGAATTTAGCCAATCTCTTAATTTGAAAAGCGAGTTTACCCTACCCCAGCGTGTGTGGGCGTCTGTATGTTTTGGTGAAGAATTTCCTACCCTCGAAGAAAGAGATAGTATCTTTTACCCATCTCAAATTACGCATCGTGATAGGATATTTTGATTCTAGATCATAGGCTGTTTAAATGATAGGTGGTTCAGTGGATTATACAGAGAAAATGACTACCAACGTCGTCTTGTCGAAATAGTAGCGATGTTTTCCCACGAAAATGCGCTCTTCTGGGGAACTTGCCGGAAGATTGCCTAAAAATAGTGTTTTTATAGGGTGATTAGTTCCGTCAGGTGCACGTTTTTTCAGTGTTTTTCAATGCAGAATACTTTCTAGATTTTAATTCTTTGCTACCAGCCTACCATGTGACTAAAAGTTAGAAGAACGGGTATTTGCAGCAGCAATATTGACCAAGGATTAACCCACGTGCTGAATGTCCTTATGTTTTTTTGTGAAAATACCTCATTTACCCCACAAACTTTACTCGAATGTTTTTGGAAATATGTAAAAGACAGCACTATTCTCATTCTATATCAGTCTATTTCTCATTGTCATGTTGTCTGCAAGTTATTAATTTTTTAACAGAGTGTAATTTTCTCTACTCGCAGTATTTGTGGGCATGTGTGGCAATAGTGGCATATGTCATTAGTTTCTTACTGCACCTGTTCCAGTTAAAACATATGGAAATATATGTTAACTTCATGTGTAAATGCCTTGTTTTTGTAGATCAAACTGAGCAAGGGACTTCAGCAGTTATTTATATAGTAGTTTATTAAATGTATATTTGTACTCCATCGACTCAACCTATTCAATTTTATACATTAGCAGTAATTGCACAACCAAAAGTGGAAGAAAACATTGTTCCTACCTTGGTTGCTGAAGTCAAAAGTGAAGTTGAAGAGAAGACAGAAAAACCCAAAAGCAATGGTGAGATAAAGCCTCCAGAAAAACCACAACGCTCCACCAAAATCAACCGATCGCAAAGTGATCGACTACCAAATTATCTTGGAACTGGCAAAGATAGAGATTTGAGGCACTCAATGCGGTATGGAAACCGTCATGGTTATAAAGTGTATGTTGCTGGTGAAGAGAAGGAACCTGGTGTTCAGAGATGGAAGCCCAAAGGATTTGGTGCCAAGAAACATCTGTTTGAAGGAAAGGAGCCTGTCAAGTTCCTTGGAGCTCGCCACATTGCAAGTCCTGTTGCAAAAGAACGACAAACAAAAATGCTATTCAACAAGCCACGTCCTAAGATAAAGTCCAGTGTTAGTTTACCCTGCAAACTGAATGAAGCTGCTGGAAAGATGTCAAGGTCATTTCATGGTGTTCCTGGTCGCAGGTTTGCTAGTGCTTCAAACATACCTCAAGGTAATTAATTGTACTTTAGTACTGAAATCAAACATCGTAATATTCTAATTCTCTCAATAGGTCAAATTATTTGAATGGCAAAATAATACATTGGACGTGCTTATGACAACCTACTTTCTCCTTATGTCCTCACACTTTAAAGTTTAAAACCAACCCCACAGAGTGTTGCTCCTTAACAACAACCTACCAGGTTCAGGGATTTTCTACAGTATAAGAGTATTCAGCTGGTCAAACATGATATTTATACAATAGACAAAAATAAAGTGGAGAATGATGCATAATGCTCTATGACAGGACCAATAACACATGCCCAGCCCCTTAAAATATGCACAGAGAAAGAAAAAGCCAAGTTATCCAGGTATGCCATCCAAATGAGTTCTCAAAGTACAATTGTTTATTTTTGCTAGGTTTGTACTTAATCAAGGACTTGCCATCTTCAATCAAAACTAAAGCTGCTGACATCCTTGATGACCCTGCCAAGGGGCAATGGTGGCGGAAGATTGCCATTCATTATCGTATTCGTGAAGTGGAAGTTAATGACCTTGCTTTTGGAGCATCACGACACATCTCGGGCAGTGAAACAAAAGCCTTGCTCCAAAAACTGTCTGTGAAAAATCCAGACTTAACTGTTTCAGACTTAGTAGATTTCTTGCTCAGTGAACATGCTAGTCATGAAATTTTGAACCTCTTTTGGTCGTATACCTACAAAGGTGTCTAGTACTCCATTTGAAATTTTTAGTTGTAATATATAATTTGTTAAGCATTTTATTGTTATTATTGTAGTATAATTAAACATGTGGCAGCAAGAGTAAATATCACAGAATAAATGAACATTTTTCCGGGGCTGAAATTCTGGCAAGGTTAATTATTGGAATGGACAGGCTAAGCTAGAAAGGCTAGAAAGGCTGCCTTCATTTCTTTCGATCTACGAGTAATCATTCCGCAGATAGTTTATCTTATCAATGATTAATCTTATCAAAAAACCGGTTCACTTAACCCAAAAACTCTGGCAATCTTAGTATGAAGTTGAAACAGTGGTTGTTGAAATATATGGGTCAGAATGGCCTTGTGGCTCGTGCTTTAAAGTATTCTATGATATTTCTTTAATTTTGTAGTAAATGTTAGGAAATGGTCACTCACACCAAAATGAGGAGATCCATTATCGTAAAATAGGTGTTACGTTATAACCAAGGAGCATGCAGGTGGTGTCAATGGTATAACTGCATGTTTGCAAGAGCCTACTCGCTACCTTCACCATAGCACAGACCATAGGCAGCCTGGCCAATGAGTCAATACGCTTTCGCTACACGATTCGAGAAAATTACGCGATCAGAGCACGTGAGTGCTTAGATGGTTGGAGATTTGGTTGGAGTCTGTTTGGTGGGCCCACAGCCTGGGGCCTTTTTCCTGTTCACAGTATTATAACTGTGGTCACAGGCAATCCATGGATGATAAACATCCGAACTATGTATTCTTCGCGGGAAATTTGTATTAATTTACTCGATTTAAATATAAAACCAGTTGTAGGAAGCGGTAAAGATAGCAAAGTATTTAATTTTGGTATTAAAGTAACACAAAATGGCTGAAATATTGGGGAAATTGTAGCAAGATTTGGAATGTACTTTGTCCACTATAAAAGACTCTTCGCGGTAAGTCTCTATTACTTTGTGACTTGGATGTGGTTTGGAATATCCGTATTTATTGATTATATCTTAGCTGATTGGGTTAGTAAGTCTGAAATATTTTACGTTCACAAACAAGATGTTCATATAGACCCTATTTATTACAGATTCCTGACAATTGACATTGTCAACTACCAATGTTTCATATTATGCATGTCAAACATTACCACTCAAGCGTCATGACTCAGTCTTCAATCACAAAAGTCGTCCTTTTTGATAAATTTATTTAAAATGACTACAGTTAGTGTCAAAGAATACAAATCAGAATTAGAAGTTTTAAAATAGATTATCAGCAAATTCATAGTTGGTGCAAGGCAGTAGTACTAAATGGTGTATTGGTGGGTGGCTCTCAGCTTAAAGAAAGATTGTTAATCCTTTGCTAAAAACACCAATAAACAGATCAGTTTTCATGTCATATGATATAATCTTTGACTTGGACATATTTTGGCTCTGCATCCCCTCCCAGTTCCCACCACCTGACCTAGCTGTGAAAGCCTAGTCTATAGTATATATCTATAGTCACAGGGGAGAGTGCTGGCTTGGATAGTGTTGTTGCAGATCAGTTTTCCAAATTATTATCTGTATTTATCACTTATCTTTGAATGTTTAAAATTATGTTTTGCAAGCCTTCAGAGTTTAAATTTTGTCACTCTCTGGGAGTGATGAGGTTCAACATCTTATATGTCATGCACTGGATTTTGATCAAGAAGATTCATCACCAGCATTTGTCTAAAATGTGCTGGTTTAAGCTCCCTGATGTTACACTTGGCATCCCTGCACCTTTTTGCTCAATCAGATTTCCAAGTTGCATACAATTAAATTCCTTTAAATTTTGGGGAGTTTCAATCAGCATTAGATTTAAAACACTTTAAAGTGTATGTCGATCTTGCTAGCATGCTGCCAGGCAGGTGCACAAGCCCAACCCCTTCCCTAACCCAAGTGTCTTTCTAAAATCCAAATTTGACATCCTGCAAAATTTAGAGGGCCAGCTGAGTTACGGCCTATCATGCTTGAAAGCCCATCTTTGCCTTTCTTCTTGACTAGATGCTAATGTTTGCGAACAGTCATTTGTCTTTTGCACATGTGGTGTTAATGGCAAAGAATGCTAATATGACTGAAGTCCAGTTCCATACTTCCATTATCTATTATTCATACATCTGACAAAGGTTCAGTTATCTCACTTTTTCTGCCATTATTTTTAACGATGATTCTGATGATAAACTAAGCCTGATAACTTTCCTGTGATTTTAAATATTAACGTTCATTTAGCTGTTATCAAAACCTTCTGCTAGGAGCAGGCGTGTTTATTTAAAAGTTTTATTACTTTTAAATGATGCATGATTGCTGGCTAGCCGAAATCAGAATATATTTGGCAATTGACTTCCTTCAAAACATAATACAAATTTGAATAAACAGGTTATACTCTATCGCAACGAAATAGACGTTCTTCAATTTAAATTTCAAGATTTGAAACTTTGATCTAAAGGACTGTTTTTGAACGTTTGATATATAAATATCAAAAGGCGAGAAGTTATCGCAAAGTCAGACACTGTTGTGACTCGATTGATTGAAATGAATCTGTGGCGACGTTCAAAATCTTGGTTTCAAGAGAGCTTTCCGTCTCAGAAGGAAGGTTTTGAAGCTCAGGATTACTTGGATCAGGAAAAACAACTTTTGAAAGCGAAGTATGACCAAGAACAGATGATTATCGAGAAACAATTTCATTATCAAATGCTTGAAGCGAAATTAAGATTTGAAAATGATTTACGCCACCTTCACGACGAACACTCGCGATTAAAGGCCAGAAATAAGAAGGTCTACGAGGACACAGGGCCGCTAGAAAATGTCAGCGATTCCCCAACGATAGAAAAGACATCCACAAGAGAATCAGTGAAAAATTCTCCAGCCAAAAATCTTGTTGAAAATGGGTTAGACGGTTTGGAGTGGGATCCAATTAATGAATTGAAAAGTTATACCGAAAACGAGACACTAGACAGCTGGGAAAGCCAGTGCGAAATCTCGCCCAACGAGTCGTATGAAGGGGAAGATGTGGACACCAGTAAATTCCGAGATAGTGCTTACGGGTCTATCTCAAAAGAACTACAAAAAAGCTCTTCCGATAACGAAGCGCCGCAAACGTTGAAAAAATTCAAATCTAGCGATGTTGAAAGGAAAATTGAACAATTAAGGTCCACTATACGACAGGAAATTACTCTTGAATATGATGGGAAATTTCAAGCGGAAAGAAAATTTCTATATTCCGTTATAGATGAATTGGAAGAAAACGTTGCGTTGCTCAGAAAACAAAAGGAAGATATTGTCACTATTTTTGAAGGGAAAAAGTGTCTTATTGACGGCTAGAATTATTCAAATATCGGATATTTTCAAAGCTGAAAGGATGCGTATTTAAAAATGAAACACAAAGGCACATTTCGATGAACTTTTTATTTAAAATTCTTTTTTGTATTAAACAGATTATTGCATGCAATTTTAATGGTAACTGATATATTCTGATATATAGTTATTTACCGTTTGTGGTATGCATAAATCAACATGAGTAAACCAAATAATATCGTCAGTGCGGTGGGGACCACAGCAAATGAACTTCTTGCATGGCACTGTGTGGTTTACACAGAGAATGGAACTATTAAAAGAAAGTTTATGTAATACCGAACAAGGTCGTTGTAGTTATTCAGAGTGAGTTGCGAAGTATTTTAGCTTTTCTGAACTTTTCTGTGGGTTTCATTACTTTAGTGTTGAGAGCATGCGCAATAGTGGTAACAAGTGATGAGAATTACCAAATTTAGGTCAGTCGAATGACTGGAATCTGTTGCATTTTTCAATGAAAACAAAGATTAACATAGTGATAATGTAATCTATGGTACTGATATATTTGCTCTGAAATAATCAGGTTGTTTTCTAAAATGGTAAAACTGCACAATAACACATTTTGCGTGAAGATAAAATTGCGGTATAAAAGTAATATTCGCCGTTGTTTTAGTGCTGATGGCGTTGCACTTGATAACATTCAACTTTTGAGACCGTGAAAAGCGCTTACATCGATACACCCATCTTACTTTCATCGAAATATTGAAATGACGTTATTGAAAAGTTCAGTTATTGAATTTCTCTATCTATTATTTTGATAAAATTAAAAGCGAACATAGAACATGTCACGAGAACGTGCTGTCAAAATTGGCTTATTTCTTTGTATTTAAATTTTAAAATTATGATATAGTAGACCGCGATATGACAAGCATTAAATATTCATGTTCTTAAATTTCTTTTCATTCCTCTTTGTGCGTGCAATTTACTCTATATGTATTTATTTATATACTGTCTACGCGTCATTATGTTTCCCTAAAGATATTGTTAGTCTGGCCAAATTCTTGTTTTCCTTGAAGCTTACGTACGAACCATTCAAGTCTACCTTTTTCCTGGGCTAAGTTAACTTTGTATTCCGTTTCCAAAAGCTGCTTTAGTTCGCGTTTTTCTCGCAAGACTTTTTTCTCAACTTCAACTCTCTGTCGTTCATGTCTTAGTTTTAATTTCTCTATTTCCATACTAAACTCAATCTCAAGTCGTTCTTTCTGATATTTCAATAAAGCTATGTCATTTTCATAACCCTGGATTGCCGCGTCGAATTTTAATCTCTCTTGCTGGATTTGTTTTGCATATCGTGTTTCAAATTCGCGTTCGATTTCGCGTTTTTCACGTTTGGTTTTTCGTTCCAGGTCGCGTTTTTCGAGCTTAAAGATTTCCATCAAGTCGTTTTTCTGTTGTCGAAAGCGTTGTTCCATTTCATACATTTCTAAACTGAATTCTCGTTCTATTGCTGCACGGCATTTGGTTAAAATATTTCCCATCGCGGTTTGTTCATCACTAACGCACGACCCTTTTCGATCGTTTGCCCGACTGTTTGTACTTTTCCGTCGTTCTGATTTCTTACTTGGTGTTGTTTTAACATCTTGATCTGCTTCGGGTTGTTCGCTTCCAACTTCGTTAGCAATTCTTGTGCCTTCCTCTTCGTATAACTCTCCGAGCTGACTGAATGCGGTCAATAATATCTGCTTTAGTTCTCCTTCGATTTCCGCTACGCGGTCTATCTCAATATTAAGTTTCTCTTCTAAATTTCGCTTTTCTAAAAGAAATGTTTCTTCCCTCCCTTTCATCTGTTGTTCAAATCCTTCCCTAATCTCTTCTTTTTCTTGCTCAAAAAATTGTTTCAAGTTCGAAATCTCATCGTCATGCTTGCGAACCAAAGACATACGATCATCCTCAAACGCTTGTTTCAAAACATGTTTCTCACCTTGAAACTCACGCCGTATTTTGTCCTTCTCATTTTCGAAATTTTTGCGAAGTTCTTGTTTCTCGTACTCAAATGCTTGTTTCATTTTCTCCTTCTCCCTTTCCAAACCCCGAACGAGTTCATTTATTTCTTCACGATGCGCAAATTCAAGTCTCTTCTCTTCCTCCATAAAGCCTTGCATTAATTCAGCCTTCTCCAGTAGAAACGCTTCTTCAATTTCAACTTGCTCTTGTCCTTCGCTTTTCTGTTCCATTTCTCATTCGCCTAAAGCTCAAATGCTTGTTCAAGCTTGTATTGACACTGTAGATAGAAAAATAAACGTTTAAACACACACACATGCAGCCGAGACATCCTAAATTTTCTGACTGTCTCGCATTTTAACATACAGTGTCTGTGTGTCATGTATATTTGATTACATTCCAACTTGACCTTTGCCACCCCGCATCAGTTAATATAATTACTTTTAAAAGGTCTCCCAGTTTGCTACAATGGAAGATATAGTTTGAAATACATGTTTTTCGATATAGCTCACAAGTTTACTCCATATTTTCTTCAAACAAAGCTGCAAAACAGTGAAACTTCACAATTTTTTTCTGCATTGCTTATGTTGTCTGTGGGCATTTTAACACAGACTTGCAAATGTCGTCTGTCATCGGTCAAATATGTCAAATTTCGTGTGGAGACCAATTGTCGGATACTATGTGATTTTCCCATCTTTCCTGCGACGAAAAATTACTGGTGAAAAAATAACCTACATGGTCAGGCAAAAAATAGATCAAGAAATTTATATTTTACCTTACGGCAAGTTAAATTATGCAAATATAACTTGAATTTTATTATAATGAGTTTAAAATGAAAACAAACACGATATTTGAGTGCATAATGTTATCCTAATTAATGCAGTATCGAGACAATATTTTGTTGGTTTTTCACGCAGTCACAGATATATCAAAAGCGAGGATCAATTAATTTGTGGTCACAGCTTTTGATTTGCATCAAACAGACGGCGGAGATGCAGCAGGACGGAAAAGTATGAGATTTAGATAAGCATTCTAAGATGACCGATATATATGGTATATACTTATACAACAGAGAAAGTAATGAAAACGTGTTCAGAAACATTAAACTTCCGACAATATTTTCCCATTTAAAGATTGTATGCAATAATAATTAAAATATAAATGGTTAGAAGTCTTTACCTTGAGTTTGCACCTAAGAAGTTAAAAACACTGCTTCACCTCGTCTACCGTCCAAAAGAGGTGAAATGGAGCAATGAAATGCTAGTATAATTCTCGTTTGGAAATTGGAAAACAGCCAGATTTTTAAATTGTTGCAAACTTCTAGACATTTCTCTAGTCTATCAGTAGCACCGCATGGGGAGAGTTTAATGTATATCTTATTGCATAAAGAGAATCCAGATTCTTGTGAATTCATCCAATTACATTGAAAATCTCATCTCGCCGCAGGACGACTCTGGCTGACCGTTGTGAATCGAATGTTAACAGCAGTGTGTATTTTTACAGCGTACAAACAATGTACAGAATAGCGTTTCAAAATTACGCATAAAGCATTTGAAATTACACATGCAATAATAACATGTGGCTATATAATTGCCATTCATCAGCTGAAACCCAAATGTGGTAAAACAAATAGATTTTCTGAGATCATTTTCAACCGAATTTGTCCGTCACAGATTGTACGTGCTGTTTTACGTAGCCCGGTAGCCGTCGTAGCTGACAGATGAACAATCCAAGGTGTATACTTTCGGAAATTTCAAACTTCGCTGACTATATCAGAAGGGTTATTGCAAATACCATAAGCTCCCTTCCTCCCTACCAACTATTCAAACTTCTACGGAACATTTTACAATTTTTCAATTGCGTGCCGATAGTTAAATTCAGTTACGTTAGTCGTACATAAACACGCCAATATCTTTTTGATAATCCTAAAATGACTAAAGATTTCGTCATTTGGCATATTAAACTTTGTACAGTACAGTAACTTCATGCATGTATATAGTACCGCGGATATATAGCGATATACTGTTGTACGATTAACATACTTCAAAATCCACAAATTGGCAGTGAAATACCATATAACAGATGCTTCTTTCTTTGTTATCTTCTTCAACCTTATCCTGATATTGCCATTAGGTTTTTACCAACCTTGGGGTAAAATATTCTTTTATTTAGCAGCTGGGGTTAAAGTTATAATCTATAACTAACAATGGTCCAACAGTTAGTCAGACGAAATTGTGTTTATTCGACCCTGTCTGAGAAGAAACGGCAATGAACTATGAAAAACTACATTACCTTTCATACAGCGTTTTCGCCGCTTGAGTTGTTCAAAACGACTTCAACATTCAACGAATATCGACGAATATTGGCAATAGCCGCTTATTGTGATTAACGAGTTGCGACTTTCGCCAAACCATTGAAGTGATCTCGCTTGAATTTATAGCAAACTACTGATCCAAATCTGCATAATCGTTTTTCTTATAACAGTATCAATTGAATGACAGACAAAGATTATTTCTTTGCGGGATGTTAAGTGTGTAATCGTTGCGAACAATTAACGCCATGCATGCAAGTCGGCAGTCGATTGAAAATGTCTCAAGTTATAGAACTAAATATGGTTCGTACAGTGATTGATTACTGCAGTGATTGGATAAGAACTTTTGAGAGCAGACGGTCTGTACTCCTGCAAGCGGCTTACAAGGACTGCATGCTAGCAATGCTTTAAGCCTGTAAACTATATAATTTCACTGCATGGTCGCTAGCCTGAGTCAATATACTTTCTCCTCCTTCCTGAGCCGAGACGTCGCGTTGTTTAGTCCGTTGCTACTACAGTAGCAAGCGTTAGAGTCCATCACGTGATACTTATCAAATTGGGGTGGTTAGGAATCAGGGCATCATGCACAGACGTTCATGGTGACTGGTAAGGAATATGGTCAGCTAAAAGGAAGATTCTAAACACTTCTGTACATCACCTTATTTTTCATGTATAATTGACTAAATAAGTTATTTTTTCTTCCTAGGATAATTCGCCAGAGACTATTGATCTTGCATGGGCATCAACAATTTGGAAATATGGTATTTATATATATATATATATATATATATATATATATATATATATATATATATATATATATATATATATATATATATATATATATATATATATATTCGTTGTTCCTTCAAACATCAGGTAAAAGCTGTCTTTTCTCAATTTTCTTTCATTTCTTTTTTATTTAATTGTATGCACGGACTTGCACGACAGAAAGGTTTTACGCGTCTGGTGGATACATTTGTTGAGTTAATAAGTATATGGACCAATTCCATGCATGGTACTAATCATGTTTGTGCATGGAAAACTATATACTAGTGTATGTCAGTATGAGGTTAGTTGAATTTTTCGCAGAGCTATATATATTTTGAATTTGACCACGGATATGATTGTCGTTTGCCTTTTAAAACTTATCCTTGCAGACGAGATACGATTAGTAATTTAAGAAACAAATTCAAATATGAATATGCATTCGCGGGTTGAGCAGGTAATCCTGCGTGTAGTAAAACAATTCTCTGACAAGCTTTGACATTGAACCTCAACCCTTGCGGTTTGTTCTGGACACATTTTAAACACGACATTGTGTATTACGACGTTACAATTATATTGTACATGCAAGGAAATAATCTAATAACTTTCGGTGGAGGAAAATTATTTTTTAGCGTCGCTGCTTCATATATTTTATGCAGTGAGACAGGTACTTTTGTGTATTGGTTTGAATATCCTCAAATATTCAGACGAAAGCGTTTCAAACAATCGAAACAAACCTGAAAGCAGAGCAAGGTAAGAATTGCATGGTATATACTATCATTAGTTCATCTTGTGCTCGTATTTTACATTTTGGACTTTATAAAGTATTTTTACTGTCTATTTTCCTGCGTTAGCTATATATATATTGCCCCACTGCAGGTAAATAAGTGTTGCGTATACTAAAATATCTAGAAACGTACTATGTAACGATCATAATTACTATAGCAAACTACTTTTGCATATGATTTTTACGTTGTATACAAAGTCAATTTACAAGATACATGGAACATGGTGTATAAATATTGTTGGCCAGTTGTTATTGTAAAGCTTGTCACCTCACAGGTGAATTCTCTTTGACGTTAACTAAAATTATTTCCGATTTTTGATATCAATGCATTTTATAACAGATTTGTACTGATCCCCATCGATCTTCTGGACTCAAGAAAATTTGGTTGTGTAAAACCATATAATTTATAATATTCTTACTAGAATAATTATCGAGAGTACATTGCTTGCTATATATTGTAGCTTTTTTACTACATATAGCTTTGGCTTAATATAGTGATTGGAAATTATCAGAATTATGGACGACTTGCATGGAAGTAAAATTACAATTACAAAATATACGGGATCTTTACTTAATTAGGAGTGAAAATGGAAAACACAATCAAGAGTGATCAAAATTTCGAAGCGGAAAGAGATCAAATCGAAGAAAGACACAGACTTGAGATCCTTAATCTTCTAAAAAGTTTCGAGTTCGAGAGGAAAGATATTGAGTCGAGAGTCCGTTGTGAATTTGAAAATAAAGAAAATGACGGGGTGCAAAATTCACAAACAAATGATTTTGATAAAGAACTCTTTTATTCAAACGAGGAAAAACAGGAAATTGACGAGGAGAAGCAGCAATTATTACTAAAGATATCGGAACTGGAGGAAAGGATACGCGAGCAAAGTAAAGATAATTCTCATTCAGTAGTTTCGTCTGCAGGTTCGTTATTTCAAAGCTAATTCATATCATTCAATTTATTAACGGAAGCATAGCCTCCATTATTGTTTAAAACTATAACAGAAAAAAGACAACCGCCTGAAATACTTTATGATTTATTAATGAATCTAGACGCTTGTTGTTTCCTAATTGTATAGATTAACTATTCTTGTTTTCCCTTCTAAATTCTGAGTGAAAATTCGCGGTAGCACGGGGCAGGCTTTGTTTTAGAAATCTAGTTCTAACTCGTAACCTATATATTCTCCCAAAAGTTAAGTGACAAACGCATAGTTCCATACTGTGTTGCTTTTTTTGACAACAGCAGTTAAATTGACTGTCAAATGCTGTGAATCTCAACCGTTACCGCACCTTTCATTTAATATTGATAGAAAACTGTGATCTTTAGGCCTGATTCACACTAGCTCCTAAGAATCGGGGATCCTTTGTATTTTTTCCCGATGGACAAAGGATTTTGCGCAACAGTGACCTCATACAGAGGGAATCCCAGATTCTTAGGACAAGTGCGAACCAAGCTTAAATTCCAAATTTTTCCATCAAATGCTTTTTCAGATAATAACATATCAACAAGTCTTGGCAAAGATAGCTTAGAAAATGAGAAAATCCACCAAAGTCATCAGGCATCTGACGAAACTCAAGATACAGAGTTAAACACAAACGTTACCACTAAATCTTTATCCTTGCTGGAAAAGGAAAATTTGAAACTTGAGGCAGATTTGAGTGAGAGCCGAAGTCAAATATTGCATTTGAAAGGCCAAGTTGAGAGTTTCAATAAAAGATTGCAGGATATTGAAAAGTTTTGTGAAGATGAGAAAATTCCATCCAATAAAAGAGACATTCTTCAAAAAATACTTCGTGGTTAGTAAAAGAAATATTTGAAAACACGAAGAATTGTATCTTAATTTATGTAAAATTGACAGGTTTGCAAACAGCAAACCTTGTAAAAATATTTGCAGGACGATAACTAACTTTGCTTTCAGGATATTTTATTTTCTCACTGTGTTTACTGATTTCATATTCCATTTTTATTACATGTGCGTATTTTTTGATTATAGAAGACGAAAAAAATCTAGCCATTTTGTAAAGGAAATTTATCTATTTTCACGATTAATAGTAACAGGGTCGTATATTGCTTTTTTTTAGGAGATCCTGAAGAAACCACATCACCTGACGTTTTCCAGTCCCCTGGATACAGCTCGGAGGCTCATGAGAAATCTTTGGATGACACTTCGTTCACTGCTGAAATACCACACCGCACAAGCTCGGTGCTTAGTTTCCAACTTGAGGAATTGAATTTAGAAAATGAAGATTTAAAAACCAATGTCCGTGAGTTGGAACAGAAACTACAAAGAACTGTCGAGGAAAATGAGATACGTCTCAATGTTTTGAACGACAAACTGAACGGAATCGTTGAAAAGATTGTTTCTAGCGAAACAAATGACCAATCTGCATTTATGCAAACCATTGTGGAAGAACTCAATGATATTCGTTTGGAAAAAACTTCACATGATATTTTAGAAGAATATGTGGGTATAATTCTGAGACAAAAGCTGACAGCCCCATCGCCGGATCTTCTTAACGAGAATTTCTGTCATGAATTACAATCACTTGAACAAATGTTGGACATTGAGATTTTTGACGGTCGTACTTTTGACCAGGAAATGAAAGACGAAGTTAAACAAGTATTTAGAGATAAAGAAAAAGAACTCCTGATCTCCTACACGCTGGAGAAACTTCGAGATGAGATCCGCCATCGTGAAACAACAGAAGGCAATTTGGAGGAATTACGAAAGGAAAGAGAGCGGGATTTCTCTATGCATCAGGCGGTAAATGAGGTATTGAAGATGCACTTAGGGATCTATGATGATGGAGGTAGAAATGAGCAGGTTGATAATCAAACAGAAAATATGGTCTCCAAAGAACAGCCTAAAGCAATGGTTGATAATAGTGAAGCGGTGAATAAGATTTTGAGAGAGCATCTGGGGATTGAGAATGAAGGTGATGAAAGATTGGCTGTGACTGATTCATTCGAAGAAAAAGAAGAAAACAGTGCAGAGAATGGGACTAACACTGTTCATCTCGAAGTTCTAAAGGCCGAAAAAGAAAATCTTGAAAGAATTTTACAAGAACTGCAAGACCATTTTGAAAAGGAGCGTCAGAACTGGCTTGAAAAGTTGGAAAGTCCATTAATGAAAGGTAAACATATAATAATCAACAATAATGTATTCTGCTACTTTACGTTTCATTTCAGATTTAGTTAGCGGGAAATATAGGACTAAAGGGATAGAAACTAAATCGTGTGTGTGTGTTAATCAAGGTGGTATTAGAGCACCCAAACATAAATAAATTTGTGTTATTTCAAAAAACAATTAAACTCAGGTAAAAATATTCTTTCCTAGGTGATTCGAATAATCTTGAAGACAAGGATAAAGTTATTCAACGTCTACATTCTCAGAAAGTTCTCATGGAACAAATATTAAATACAGAAAGATTCAACATGGGTCGTTTGTATTTCGTGGAGATGAAGGATGAGTTGGAGTCTTGTTTGAAACAGCACAAGTTCGATCGTAGCACGAAACTTGAAAAAGAAAGGTATTCGTTTTAACTCGTTTTAACCAAGTGTTTTGTACAACCTTGGGTTTTACCTCCATATTTATTAAAATTAAAGATCATCTATTAAAAACACGAATCTCACCAGAACGGTTGTCAATAAATCTTCCGTGTCCTCCATATCTTCCTGTCTTTCATTCAAAGGCTTGTTGATGCCTGGAAACATCATGCGGAAATTGGAGAACTTTATCAAGAGATTTTGAGCAAGGAAAATGAAAGTATTCAAAACTTGCACATGGCCACCAAAGAGGAGAGCACTTCAGAAAATGGCGCCTTGCCGGATGATTCATCACGCAACGAACTAAACCGAGAACGTTGTAGAATAGAACAGCAACTACCAGTTAAACTTGAGCTGTTGAACCTACAGAAAAGACGATGTCGCGATCATAAGGCCGCAAGTGTAATTCTAGAACAGGCTGTAGTTGCCTTGGAAACGGCCGCGCAAGAGCAAGATAAGTTGCTTGTCAGTGCGGATTACTTCCGGCGGAAGTCGAGCTGGTCAAGCATTGATGAAGGTAAAATGCAATTATTCAAAGATTCATAAAACGCCAATGTTTATGTTTATATTATAATTTCTAGAAATAGACAGTCCCAGTATCCTCCAGAAGAATGTTTCAACACAAGAGCACGATCAGAGCAATAGAGATGTACCCTCATGCAAAAGAAGAAGTGATGGAGTCGAAGAAAATTCAAGCACGAAAGACGTTCTCGCTGATGCTTTGGTCAAAGTGTTTCAAAAGGTTCTACAGAACCAACAAAATAGCAGCGATCAACAGACAGATTCGTACACAAGTGACAGCGAGCAAAGCGAAGTGGAAACATCGTCAACGCGTGATGTCCATAGTGATGATGAGGGTTCTCTTAAGAAAGATGAAGATGATGCATCTGTAAATAACAGTCCGCGACCCGCGGGAACAAAATCCTCAGAAGATGCTGAAAGCCAACCGGAATCCGATGAAAACAAGCCGGACTCGCACGAACGCACTGGCTCAGCTCCTGAGATATTTAAACTTCCTCCACAGATTGAAAATATTCTTAGTATGGAGAGGTTTAACATGAGTCGTTTACTTCGTGACGAGTATATTGACAAAATCAGACGAGGGAAGCAAAAATTGCGTCAGGTTAGGGCGAAAAGTAACCGTTGCAATCCGGAATTAGTTTCAGACTTTCATGACGAAGTGAAAGCTTTGTTAGAAACTGTGGAGTTGGAAGAGGATGGAGAGAAATTGCTAGCCTCGAGAAAAAAATTGACAACAACTCCAAGTTATGATAGTGGTATCGTTGATCCTGTTGATCAGGATAAGGAGGAGATTGTCAAGAAGTATAAGGAGTTATTGGAAAAAGCAAGGAGAGATTTGAATCTTGCTCATCGAGCTTTGAAAACGAGAAATATAGGAGGAGAGGAAATCAAAGCTGAAATAAACGCAATGAAAAGAAGCGCTAAAGAAGCCAAAAATGATTTGGATGAAATGGAAGAGAAACAAAGTGCGTTGAATCTAGATCGTAGCGTTTTGTTAGAAAAGATAAAAGATGCCAAAGATTCTGAAAGTATCGATCTCGGAGGAGGAAGCTCTGACAAAGAGGGCGAGTCAAAGGTAAGAAAAGGACTCCCAAATACGATGCAAAGTAATGCAGAAGCAGCAGATATTTTAGCTGAAATACAAGACAAACTGGAAAAAAACATTGAACAAAAGGCTGTTTTGCAAGCAAGATGTACAGAACTCGAAGACAAGGTGGCCTCGATGGATAAAGAAACTACCGATATAATTAAAGAGAAAGAAAATGCGATTACAGATTTGCAGAAAAAGTTGGTAAGTGGAACAGGATGTGAAGAAATACTGGCTGAATTACAAGATGATCTTGCGAAAGAGAAAGAAGAAAAAACTGCTTTAAAAGCAAAATGTACTGAACTCGAAGATAAAATGGCCTCGCGAGATCAAGAAACTGTCGATGAAATTAAAGAGAAAGAAAATGAAATTAGAGATTTGCAGAAAAAGTTGGTAAGTGGAACAGGAGGTGAAGAAATACTGGCTGAATTACAAGATAATCTTGCGAAAGAGAAAGAGGAAAAGACTACTTTGAAAGCAAAATGTACAGAACTCGAAGATAAAAGGGCCTCGCGAGATCAAGAAACTGCCGATGAAATTAAAGAGAAAGAAAATGAGATTAGAGATTTGCAGAAAAAGTTGATAAGTGGAACAGGAGGTGAAGAAATACTGGCTGAATTACAAGATAATCTCGCGAAAGAGAAAGAAGAAAAGAGTGCTTTGAAAGCAAAATGTACTGAACTCGAAGATAAAATGGCCTCTAGAGATCAAGAAAATGCCGATGAACTTAAATGGAAAGAAAATGAGATTAGAGATTTGCAGAAAAAGTTGGTAAGTGGAACAGGAGGTGAAGAAATACTGGCTGAATTACAAGATAATCTTGCAAAAGAGAAAGAAGAAAAGAGTGCTTTGAAAGCAAAATGTACTGAACTCGAAGATAAAATGGCCTCGCGAGATCAAGAAACTGCCAATGAAATTAAAGAGAAAGAAAATGAGATTAGAGATTTGCAGAAAAAGTTGATAAGTGGAACAGGAGGTGAAGAAATACTGGCTGAATTACAAGATAATCTTGCAAAAGAGAAAAAAGAAAAGAGTGCTTTGAAAGCAAAATGTACCGAACTCGAAGATAAAAGGGCCTCGCGAGATCAAGAAACTGCCAATGAAATTAAAGAGAAAGAAAATGAAATTAGAGATTTGCAGAAAAAGTTGGTAAATGGAACAGGAGGTGAGGAAATACTGGCTGAATTACAAGATAATCTTTCAAAAGAGAAAGAACAAAAGAGTTCTTTGAAAGCAAAATGTACTGAACTCGAAGATAAAATTGCCTCTAGAGATCACGAAAATGCTGATGAACTTAAAGAAAGAAAAAATGAGATTAGAGATTTGCAGAAAAAGTTGGTAAGTGGAACAGGAGGTGAAGAAATACTGGCTGAATTACAAGATAATCTTGCAAAAGAGAAAAAAGAAAAGAGTGCTTTGAAAGCAAAATGTACAGAACTCGAAGATAAAAGGGCCTCGCGAGATCAAGAAACTGCCAATGAAATTAAAGAGAAAGAAAATGAGATTAGAGATTTGCAGAAAGAGTTGGTAAGTGGAACAGGAGGTGAAGAAATACTGGCTGAATTACAAGATAATCTTTCAAAAGAGAAAGAAGAAAAGAGTGCTTTGAAAGCAAAATGTACAGAACTCGAAGATAAAATGGCCTCTAGAGATCAAGAAACTGCCAATGAAATTAAAGAGAAAGAAAATGAAATTAGAGATTTGCAGAAAAAGTTGGTAAGTGGAACAGGAGGTGAAGAAATACTGGCTGAATTACAGGATAATCTTGGGAAAGAGAAAGAAGAAAAGACTGCTTTGAAAGCAAAATGTACAGAACTGGAAGATAAAATGGCCTCTAGAGATCAAGAAAATGCCGATGAACTTAAATGGAAAGAAAATGAGATTAGAGATTTGCAGAAAAAGTTGGTAAGTGGTACAGGAGGTGAAGAAATACTGGCTGAATTACAAGATAATCTTGCAAAAGAGAACGAAGAAAAGAGTGCTTTGAAAGCAAAATGTACAGAACTCGAAGATAAAATGGCATCTAGAGATCAAGAAAATGCGGATGAACTTAAAGAGAAAGAAAATGAGATTAGAGATTTGCAGAAAAAGTTGGTAAGTGGAACAGGAGGTGAAGAAATACTGGCTGAATTACAAGATAATCTTGCAAAAGAGAAAGAAGAAAAGAGTTCTTTGAAAGCAAAATGTACTGAAGTCGAAGATAAAATGGCCTCGCGAGATCAAGAAACTGTCGATGAAATTAAAGAGAAAGAAAATGAAATTAGAGATTTGCAGAAAAAGTTGGTAAGTGGAACAGGAGGTGAAGAAATACTGGCTGAATTACAAGATAATCTTGCGAAAGAGAAAGAGGAAAAGACTACTTTGAAAGCAAAATGTACAGAACTCGAAGATAAAAGGGCCTCGCGAGATCAAGAAACTGCCGATGAAATTAAAGAGAAAGAAAATGAGATTAGAGATTTGCAGAAAAAGTTGATAAGTGGAACAGGAGGTGAAGAAATACTGGCTGAATTACAAGATAATCTCGCGAAAGAGAAAGAAGAAAAGAGTGCTTTGAAAGCAAAATGTACTGAACTCGAAGATAAAATGGCCTCTAGAGATCAAGAAAATGCCGATGAACTTAAATGGAAAGAAAATGAGATTAGAGATTTGCAGAAAAAGTTGGTAAGTGGAACAGGAGGTGAAGAAATACTGGCTGAATTACAAGATATCTTGCAAAAGAGAAAGAAGAAAAGAGTGCTTTGAAAGCAAAATGTACTGAACTCGAAGATAAAATGGCCTCGCGAGATCAAGAAACTGCCAATGAAATTAAAGAGAAAGAAAATGAGATTAGAGATTTGCAGAAAAAGTTGATAAGTGGAAAGGAGGTGAAGAAATACTGGCTGAATTACAAGATAATCTTGCAAAAGAGAAAAAGAAAAGAGTGCTTTGAAAGCAAAATGTACCGAACTCGAAGATAAAAGGGCCTCGCGAGATCAAGAAACTGCCAATGAAATTAAAGAGAAAGAAAATGAAATTAAAGATTTGCAGAAAAAGTTGGTAAATGGAACAGGAGGTGAGGAAATACTGGCTGAATTACAAGATAATCTTTCAAAAGAGAAAGAACAAAAGAGTTCTTTGAAAGCAAAATGTACTGAACTCGAAGATAAAATTGCCTCTAGAGATCACGAAAATGCTGATGAACTTAAAGAAAGAAAAATGAGATTAGAGATTTGCAGAAAAAGTTGGTAAGTGGAACAGGAGGTGAAGAAATACTGGCTGAATTACAAGATAATCTTGCAAAAGAGAAAAAAGAAAAGAGTGCTTTGAAAGCAAAATGTACAGAACTCGAAGATAAAAGGGCCTCGCGAGATCAAGAAACTGCCAATGAAATTAAAGAGAAAGAAAATGAGATTAGAGATTTGCAGAAAGAGTTGGTAAGTGGAACAGGAGGTGAAGAAATACTGGCTGAATTACAAGATAATCTTTCAAAAGAGAAAGAAGAAAAGAGTGCTTTGAAAGCAAAATGTACAGAACTCGAAGATAAAATGGCCTCTAGAGATCAAGAAACTGCCAATGAAATTAAAGAGAAAGAAAATGAAATTAGAGATTTGCAGAAAAAGTTGGTAAGTGGAACAGGAGGTGAAGAAATACTGGCTGAATTACAGGATAATCTTGGGAAAGAGAAAGAAGAAAAGACTGCTTTGAAAGCAAAATGTACAGAACTGGAAGATAAAATGGCCTCTAGAGATCAAGAAAATGCCGATGAACTTAAATGGAAAGAAAATGAGATTAGAGATTTGCAGAAAAAGTTGGTAAGTGGTACAGGAGGTGAAGAAATACTGGCTGAATTACAAGATAATCTTGCAAAAGAGAACGAAGAAAAGAGTGCTTTGAAAGCAAAATGTACAGAACTCGAAGATAAAATGGCATCTAGAGATCAAGAAAATGCGGATGAACTTAAAGAGAAAGAAAATGAGATTAGAGATTTGCAGAAAAAGTTGGTAAGTGGAACAGGAGGTGAAGAAATACTGGCTGAATTACAAGATAATCTTGCAAAAGAGAAGGAAGAAAAGAGTTCTTTGAAAGCAAAATGTACTGAAGTCGAAGATAAAATGGCCTCTAGAGATCAAGAAACTGCCAATGAAATTAAAGAGAAAGAAAATGAAATTAGAGATTTGCAGAAAAAGTTGGTAAATGGAACAGGAGGTGAGGAAATACTGGCTGAATTACAAGATAATCTTTCAAAAGAGAAAGAACAAAAGAGTTCTTTGAAAGCAAAATGTACTGAACTCGAAGATAAAATTGCCTCGCAAGATCAAGAAACTGCCAATGAAATTAAAGAGAAAGAAAATGAAATTAGAGATTTGCAGAAAAAGTTGGTAAGTGGAACAGGAGGTGAAGAAATACTGGCTGAATTACAAGATAATCTTGCAAAAGAGAAAGAAGAAAAGAGTGCTTTGAAAGCAAAATGTACAGAACTCGAAGATAAAATGGCCTCTAGAGATCACGAAAATGCTCATGAACTTAAAGAAAGAGAAAATGAGATTAGAGATTTGCAGAAAAAGTTGGTAAGTGGAACAGGAGGTGAAGAAATACTGGCTGAATTACAAGATAATCTTGCAAAAGAGAAAAAAGAAAAGAGTGCTTTGAAAGCAAAATGTACAGAACTCGAAGATAAAAGGGCCTCGCGAGATCAAGAAACTGCCAATGAAATTAAAGAGAAAGAAAATGAAATTAGAGATTTGCAGAAAAAGTTGGTAAGTGGAACAGGAGGTGAAGAAATACTGGCTCAATTACAAGATAATCTTGCAAAAGAGAAAGAAGAAAAGAGTGCTTTGAAAGCAAAATGTACAGAACTCGAAGATAAAATGGCCTCTAGAGATCAAGAAACTGCCAATGAAATTAAAGAGAAAGAAAATGAAATTAGAGATTTGAAGAAAAAGTTGGTAAGTGGAACAGGAGGTGAAGAAATACTTGCTGAATTACAGGATAATCTTGGGAAAGTGAAAAAAGAAAAGACTGCTTTGAAAGCAAAATGTACAGAACTGGAAGATAAAATGGCCTCTAGAGATCAAGAAAATGCCGATGAACTTAAATGGAAAGAAAATGAGATTAGAGATTTGCAGAAAAAGTTGGTAAGTGGAACAGGAGGTGAAGAAATACTGGCTGAATTACAAGATAATCTTGCAAAAGAGAAAAAGAAAAGAGTGCTTTGAAAGCAAAATGTACCGAACTCGAAGATAAAAGGGCCTCGCGAGATCAAGAAACTGCCAATGAAATTAAAGAGAAAGAAAATGAAATTAAAGATTTGCAGAAAAAGTTGGTAAATGGAACAGGAGGTGAGGAAATACTGGCTGAATTACAAGATAATCTTTCAAAAGAGAAAGAACAAAAGAGTTCTTTGAAAGCAAAATGTACTGAACTCGAAGATAAAATTGCCTCTAGAGATCACGAAAATGCTGATGAACTTAAAGAAAGAAAAAATGAGATTAGAGATTTGCAGAAAAAGTTGGTAAGTGGAACAGGAGGTGAAGAAATACTGGCTGAATTACAAGATAATCTTGCAAAAGAGAAAAAAGAAAAGAGTGCTTTGAAAGCAAAATGTACAGAACTCGAAGATAAAAGGGCCTCGCGAGATCAAGAAACTGCCAATGAAATTAAAGAGAAAGAAAATGAGATTAGAGATTTGCAGAAAGAGTTGGTAAGTGGAACAGGAGGTGAAGAAATACTGGCTGAATTACAAGATAATCTTTCAAAAGAGAAAGAAGAAAAGAGTGCTTTGAAAGCAAAATGTACAGAACTCGAAGATAAAATGGCCTCTAGAGATCAAGAAACTGCCAATGAAAATTAGAGATTTGCAGAAAAAGTTGGTAAGTGGAACAGGAGGTGAAGAAATACTGGCTGAATTACAGGATAATCTTGGGAAAGAGAAAGAAGAAAAGACTGCTTTGAAAGCAAAATGTACAGAACTGGAAGATAAAATGGCCTCTAGAGATCAAGAAAATGCCGATGAACTTAAATGGAAAGAAAATGAGATTAGAGATTTGCAGAAAAAGTTGGTAAGTGGTACAGGAGGTGAAGAAATACTGGCTGAATTACAAGATAATCTTGCAAAAGAGAACGAAGAAAAGAGTGCTTTGAAAGCAAAATGTACAGAACTCGAAGATAAAATGGCATCTAGAGATCAAGAAAATGCGGATGAACTTAAAGAGAAAGAAAATGAGATTAGAGATTTGCAGAAAAAGTTGGTAAGTGGAACAGGAGGTGAAGAAATACTGGCTGAATTACAAGATAATCTTGCAAAAGAGAAGGAAGAAAAGAGTTCTTTGAAAGCAAAATGTACTGAAGTCGAAGATAAAATGGCCTCTAGAGATCAAGAAACTGCCAATGAAATTAAAGAGAAAGAAAATGAAATTAGAGATTTGCAGAAAAAGTTGGTAAATGGAACAGGAGGTGAGGAAATACTGGCTGAATTACAAGATAATCTTTCAAAAGAGAAAGAACAAAAGAGTTCTTTGAAAGCAAAATGTACTGAACTCGAAGATAAAATTGCCTCGCAAGATCAAGAAACTGCCAATGAAATTAAAGAGAAAGAAAATGAAATTAGAGATTTGCAGAAAAAGTTGGTAAGTGGAACAGGAGGTGAAGAAATACTGGCTGAATTACAAGATAATCTTGCAAAAGAGAAAGAAGAAAAGAGTGCTTTGAAAGCAAAATGTACAGAACTCGAAGATAAAATGGCCTCTAGAGATCACGAAAATGCTCATGAACTTAAAGAAAGAGAAAATGAGATTAGAGATTTGCAGAAAAAGTTGGTAAGTGGAACAGGAGGTGAAGAAATACTGGCTGAATTACAAGATAATCTTGCAAAAGAGAAAAAAGAAAAGAGTGCTTTGAAAGCAAAATGTACAGAACTCGAAGATAAAAGGGCCTCGCGAGATCAAGAAACTGCCAATGAAATTAAAGAGAAAGAAAATGAAATTAGAGATTTGCAGAAAAAGTTGGTAAGTGGAACAGGAGGTGAAGAAATACTGGCTCAATTACAAGATAATCTTGCAAAAGAGAAAGAAGAAAAGAGTGCTTTGAAAGCAAAATGTACAGAACTCGAAGATAAAATGGCCTCTAGAGATCAAGAAACTGCCAATGAAATTAAAGAGAAAGAAAATGAAATTAGAGATTTGAAGAAAAAGTTGGTAAGTGGAACAGGAGGTGAAGAAATACTTGCTGAATTACAGGATAATCTTGGGAAAGTGAAAAAAGAAAAGACTGCTTTGAAAGCAAAATGTACAGAACTGGAAGATAAAATGGCCTCTAGAGATCAAGAAAATGCCGATGAACTTAAATGGAAAGAAAATGAGATTAGAGATTTGCAGAAAAAGTTGGTAAGTGGAACAGGAGGTGAAGAAATACTGGCTGAATTACAAGATAATCTTGCAAAAGAGAAAGAAGAAAAGAGTTCTTTGAAAGCAAAATGTACTGAACTCGAAGATAAAATTGCCTCTAGGGATCACGAAAATGCTGATGAACTTAAAAAAAGAGAAAATGAGATTAGAGATTTGAAGAAAAAGTTGGTAAGTGGAACAGGAGGTGAAGAAATACTGGCTGAATTACAGGATAATCTTGCAAAAGAGAAAGAAGAAAAGAGGGCTTTGAAAGCAAAATGTACAGAACTGGAAGATAAAATGGCCTCTAGAGATCACGAAAATGCTGATGAACTTAAAGAAAGAGAAAATGAGTTTGGAGATTTGCAGAAAAAGTTGGTAAATGGAACAGGAGGTGAAGAAATACTGGCTGAATTACAAGATAATCTTGCAAAAGAGAAAGAAGAAAAGAGTGCTTTGAAAGCAAAATGTACAGAACTCGAAGATAAAATGGCCTGTAGAGATCAAGAAACTGCCGATGAAATTAAAGAGAAAGAAAATGAGATTAGAGATTTGCAGAAAAAGTTGATAAGTGGAACAGGAGGTGAAGAAATACTGGCTGAATTACAAGATAATCTTGCAAAAGAGAAAGAAGAAAAGAGTGCTTTGAAAGCAAAATGTACAGAACTCGAAGATAAAATGGCCTCTAGAGATCACGAAAATGCTGATGAACTTAAAGAAAGAGAAAATGAGATTAGAGATTTGCAGAAAAAGTTGGTAAGTGGAACAGGAGGTGAAGAAATACTGGCTGAATTACAAGATAATCTTGCGAAAGAGAAAAGGGAAAATACTGCTTTGAAAGCAAAATGTACAGAACTCGAAGATAAAAGGGCCTCGCGAGATCAAGAAATTGCCAATGAAATTAAAGAGAAAAAAAATGAGATTAGAGATTTGCAGAAAAAGTTGGTAAGTGGAACAGGAGGTGAAGAAATACTGGCTGAATTACAAAATAATTTTGCAAAAGAGAAAGAAGAAAAGACTGCTTTGAAAGCAAAATGTACAGAACTCGAAGATAAAAGGGCCTCGCGAGATCAAGAAACTGGCAATGAAATTAAGGAGAAAGAAAATGAGATTAGAGATTTGCAGAAAAAGTTGGTAAGTGGAACAGGAGGTGAAGAAATACTGGCTGAATTACAAGATAATCTTGCAAAAGAGAAAGAAGAAAAGAGTGCTTTGAAAGCAAAATGTACTGAAGTCGAAGATAAAATGGCCTCGCGAGATCAAGAAACTGCCAATGAATTTAAGGAGAAAGAAAATGAAATTAGAGATTTGCAGAAAAAGTTGGTAAGTGGAACAGGAGGTGAAGAAATACTGGCTGAATTACAAGATAATCTTGCAAAAGAGAAAGAAGAAAAGAGTGCTTTGAAAGCAAAATGTACTGAACTCGAAGATAAAATGGCCTCTAGAGATCAAGAAAATGCCGATGAACTTAAATGGAAAGAAAATGAAATTAGAGATTTGCAGAAAAAGTTGGTCAGTGGAACAGGAGGTGAAGAAATACTGGCTGAATTACAGGATAATCTTGCAAAAGAGAAAGAAGAAAAGAGTGCTTTGAAAGGAAAATGTACAGAACTCGAAGATAAAATGGCCTCGCGAGATCAAGAAACTGCCAATGAAATTAAAGAGAAAGAAAATGAGATTAGAGATTTGCAGAAAAAGTTGGTAAGTGGAACTGGAGGTGAAGAAATACTGGCTGAATTACAAGATAATCTTGCAAAAGAGAAAGAAGAAAAGAGTGCTTTGAAAGCAAAATGTACAGAACTCAAAGATAAAATGGCCTCGCGAGATCAAGAAACTGGCGATGAAATTAAAAAGAAAGAAAATGAGATTAGAGATTTGCAGAAAAAGTTGGTAAGTGGAACAGGAGGTGAAGAAATACTGGCTGAATTACAAGATAATCTTGCAAAAGAGAAAGAGGAAAAGACTGCCTTAGAGAGAAAATGTAAAGAACTCGAAAACACTGTTATCTCAGGAGACGAAAAAATTGCGTATGAAATTGGAAGGAAAGAAAATGAGCCAGATGATGTTGTGATGAGCGAAGAACAGCGGTTACAAATAATACCAGAATTGCGGGAAGAGAAGGAGTTCTGGCAGGAAAAATATTTAGCATTGGGAATGAAAGTAGGCGAACCGTTCGTGCGGATAATCCCGGAGGTATGGAGCGAGGAAGCACAATTAAAACACGAACGTGAGGAAGTTTTATCGTCGCTCTCAAAATTAAGACAAGAACTTCTCCAGAAAGAGACTCCGGTGATGAAATCAGTTTCTAAAAAAGAAAGAATTGAATCCGGTTTAATAAAAGTTGAAGATCAACTTGAAACGTGTAAAATGAATTTAGGGTCTTTGCGTGATATACAAACGGAAGAGGAAATCCTTGATCAGAATAGCGAGAAATTGAATGATTGTTTACATGAGTTAGAAGACCTGAGACTCGATCACTCAGGGGAAAGTTTCAGAAATGGGGAGAAAGGTGACAAAGCTAAGATTATTCGCGATTGCAGTGATAAAGAGTCACTAGATAGAAAAATGGAACATTTGTACAATGAAATAAAAGAACTTAAATCCGAACACGAAAATTTAAAGCACATGAAAAGTAAAGAAAATGATTTGTTACTCGACGAAAAAATCAATGCACAAAATGAGATTGAAGAAATTGAGGAGGTGGTTAAAAAATTACAAAACGGGTTTTCAACTCCTTATGAGTCAAAACACATCCTCGATCTTGATGGAGCCATCAGTGGTGAGGATCAAGCTGATGATTTGAATACTGAGCTTGAAAAAATACAACGTGAAATTAATGTACTTCAATCGTCGCTTGAAAATGCTAGCTCGAGCGGAGGTCAGGAAGTTGACAATTTACTTGCTCTTGTCAAAGAAAAGTCAAAACTTGAGGACGAACTTACAGATACGGAGAAATCATTGAATCAACTTGGGAAACGGGAATACGAGGCTTTAGTGAAGGAAAGAGAGACCCATGAGAAAGTTGCAAATAAATTATTAGAACTTTCACGTGAGAAGGAATTAGCCGAGGGCGAACTGCGGGAGTTGGAAACACTGACTAAAGAAAAAGAGGATGAACTTTTGAAAAGTTTTAATACGGAATTAAGGAAGAATGAAACGCCGGAGAACGCAAGTAAGAAGAGGAGAGGTTTTAGAAGGAAGAAGAGTAGCTTTGAAATAAAGTCATCGGATTCTGAAAGAGCTTCTTCATCAGAGGAAGGATTTTCTGAGATTGAATTGGCAGAACCGTACTTGAGCTCCGAAGCTACACTCGCTGTAAGCGAAGAACTTGGTGCTTTGATTCAAAGGAAAAGTTCTCTTGCTGTTCGTTTGGAGGGATTGAGTAAAGAAATCACAGCACAATCTTTGAAAGTTGAGAAATCACTTCTTGGAGTGAAGGACGATGATTCAAGTGGGCAGCTACCAATTGGTGCTTCGATGGAGGATCTCACTCAAAGTCAGATGTCAATTTTTGATGATTATAACATGATCGATGAGTTAAGTGTGGCAACAAGTATTGTCAGAGATGAAAGACTTAAGAGGAAATCTTCACGGAAAGCACCCATGTCAAAGCTTTTGAAAGAAAAATCAACAATGGAAAAGAAGCTCAAGGAATTGGAAGGTAAAGTGTTGGCTAAAAATACGAAAGTTAAGAATGCTTTGAAAGAAGGGAAAGTTTCCGGACATCTAAAGGAAAAATTTGTTCAGGTTGTTGAAGAGAGAAAAACACTCGAGAGTGATCTTGCGAATTTGTGCTCGAAAATTGATGAGCTTTCGTCGGACGAAAGTTTGCCCAAGAGTAAGAAAGAGAAAACAGCTGAGAAGAAAGGCGCAAAATCATTGTCCAAGAATGATAAAAGACGGTTGTTATCCCAACGTGAGAGCCTGTGTAAGCAGTTAGACGCTATAAAAAAGAAAATCGAAAATTTCAGCGTAGATGGAGAAGATGCGGACTTGGCTGATTTTCCAGAAATGAGTGAGGCGGAAAGTGTGGGAAGTACTGTGGAAAGATTGCGAGAATTAATTACTCGCGAAGCTGTACTTCAACAAGGCCTGAATCGACCACCCACGAAGAATGATTCCGAGACTGCAACAACATTGGATGATCCTAGCGACCCAGGGAAACATGTTGATAAAGAGGTACACACAGAGATTCCTCCCTCTGGTGTTTCCGATGAACATGACGAAGAAGCTTTGAATGTAGGGGACAGAGATGAACAATTCGATGAGAAGGGAACGCTTAAGGAAATGTTTAAAGAACTTGGAGATCAAGTTCAAAATTTGTCAAATTCAGAAATAACCCCTACATCAGCAGGACCAGGACCTTATTCAAAGGATATGAAGATGGAACAAGATGTTATGAAAGCGGAAAGCTCTGCACCATATTCTGACGTTATGCGTTTACTCAATCAGGAGATGATAAAGAAGAAGACGAAACTGCGTGGCATTGAACAAGAAATTGAAAAAGAGAAGAATAATGATGATGGAAATAAAGACGTAAATCTTGTTTATCAAAGAAAACGGGAAGATCTTCAAAACGAAACAGAGGAAGCTTTGAGCTTACTTAAACAGAGGAAAGAAGTAATAAATGAATCAAAGGATGCAATACGAAAAGCAAGCAACGCGTATAATGAAAATCTAGAACAGGTTCTTGAAGAGGAGTGTATTGCTCTAGAAAAAGAAAAGAAAAAGTTGGAGAAAGATTTGCGAGATGTGAAGGATGACCTAGACAGACAAACTGAAAATGGGAAAGGTTTGGAAAATATTTCAGATGAGTACCAGGTATATAAAGAACTAAAAAACGAAGAACAAGATCTCAGTGAAACGTTGGACGCACTAAATGAAAAAATTGAAAAAAGAAAAGGCTGGATAACCACGAATAGCTCAGAAGACGCAGATAATGAAAATCTGGGAGAAACATATAAAGACGTGATAAAGCGGATGTCGGAGGAAAATCTTACTATGACTCAGCTTATTTACGAACTGGAAGAAACCAAAGAAACGTTGTCAAAAGAACGAGAGATAACCAGGGAACTACTTGATCTCATTAAATCTAGAGTTGGAAACGAATTGCTTGAAGCTTTGATGGGAGAAGGTTTGCAAAGTCCTTCCGTTGAAATCTGTGAAAAAGGCATGTTTAAGAGAGACGAATTTCAAGAATTGGTCGAAAAAGTTGAAAATGACACGGTCACAGTTGCAAAAATAATTGAAGATTATAAGAAAGTTAACCAGTTCTTGTTCAATGAAAACCAGAAAGTCTTCCAAAAGATTGAGTTGTTGAGAATTAAGGTTGGCGAGGACCTTTTTAATTCAATTGTTGACCAAAAGGTCGATGATATTGATATTTACAGGAAAAATGAAATATCTAAAATTTTAGAAAATAACAACACGTTGTTCGACCAAATTGTCTGCAACGTTAGAGATCAAGAGGACACTGCACAGGAGATGGTTCAGATGAAAGATCAAAATGAACGTTTGAAAATGGAATTGGAAGGTGTTAGAAAAATGAATCAAGAGGAAAACGGGATCAAAAATGTTTTGAATAAAATGAAAGAAAAAGTAAATGATATTTCAGTACACATGGACGAAGCAAGAGGAAGAAGAAAAAAACTTGTCCGGAAATTTGAAGAGTTTACGATAGGTCAAAATATGTCCAACAATGTTGTCAGAAAAGATGGAAAAGGTCATAAAGAAACTACAATCGAAAATCTTACAGATAGACTAAATGAACCCACAAGTTCTATGGAGGATGTATCGATATGGAATAAACAGGAATCGATTGAACTCGAGGGAGACGCTTCAAAGGAACTCGTCAAGAAAGAGCTAAATGAAAATCAAACTCAGTCAAACTTGTCGAAAGAAGAGGATGAATTAATGACTTCAGAAATGGAAGTAATTCTTGAAGATGTTAAGTCGTGTTTGCAAGAAGCGGACGATTTGGGAGCTAAACTTGACAGTGAGATGGAAATATTGCATTTGAATCTAATTAACGGTAGTGATTTGAAAAATGAATGTGAGACTGAAGACTCGGAAGGTATGGAAAGAGAGGACGATATGAGACAAAATGAGTACAACAAGGAATATTCTCAGGATATTAGGGGATATGGTGAGGGTGTGCGTGAACAGGACGATGAAGAAATTAATAAAAAGATATCCAGTGTAGAAAATCTCCAGAGAGCATTCCAGGTTAAGTTAGACGAAGTTCAAGAATTACAAGAAAAGTTTAAAATGAAAAAAATTCAGGATGAAAATGCAAAGCTTGAAGCGAAATCGCAAAGTTTGGAAAAAGAGAAAGAAGCCCTCGACGGGAGGATAAGCAGGATGGAAGAAACTAATGATCAACTGCAAAAGAAAGTGGATGACTTGGAACATAAAAATGAGAAAATTACATTGGAGTTGAGTAATGAGAATGATCAGAAAAAAGAAATTGAAAAGGAGGTGAGAAGTTTAAAAGACGAAAAGAAACCCCTGGAGCAGTTGATGGAAGTACAGAAAACAGAAAATATGGAATTACAAGAGGAAATATGTTGCTTGCAAAATGCTAAAGATGACCTTCTTAAAAAACTGAATGAAGCTGAGGAGGAAAAACAAGAAGTTCTAAACGACTTTGGTAAAAATAGGGAGAAAAATGAATCGCTTGAAGAGAGGATAGGTTCATTATCAAACGAAAATGATGAATTGAATAGTATGATTTGCGCTTTGAAGAAAGAAAAAGAGGAAGGCATTGAAAAGTTAAATGAAATAAACGAAGCATTAAAAGAAAGTGAAAATCGAATTAGTGCTTTAGAAGACCTAGAAAAAGAAAATGAAACCATCAAAGAAACTATTGCTTTGCTAGAAAGTGAAAACAACGAAATGATTCCCATGATCGAGGAACTTCGAAAACTGAAAAAGGAATTGGAAGATGAAGTTGAGTATTTACGAAAAGATTTAGAATCATTAAAGAAGGAATTAATTCAGGCTAAAGCTGATCGAGAAAACGTCGAAGAAGAAGTGGCACGTTTGAGGGAAAATAAGAAGAAAGTGGAGGATTATGTTCAAGTTGAGTTAGCTTTGGATACTGAAAATGGGATAAATTCGGCATTGGAGAAGTATAAGGAAAGTTATGACGATACTTTAAAGCAGAACAACTTTTTGAACGAAAAATCTAAAGCGTTCGACAATTTGCGGAACATTGTCGGTAGCACTCTCTCGGATAAGCTTTTGGAGATGTCTAACGAAGAAATTGTTTTTAATGACACACAGGACAATCCAAAATGCTTGGAACAGTTTATTAAAGAAAATAATAAAACTTTGGCAAGTATTTTGAAAGAATATGAGGCGGAACTTGGTGTTTCGACGGATGATAATTTGATAAATGGGAATTATTCTGGTATTTTAAAGCCATCAAAAACAGCTCTTTTGAAAGGTAATGTGATGTAACACTATTGATATTGTAATTAATGTGTTAAATTATTAGTTGGACGATCTAAAAGAGTCTAGGCTAGCTACACTGCCGCGTTATTACTGTTTTTAGCTGTTAGAGGTCTAATGTGGATTTATTTTACCCCATGAAGCTTGTCTGAGTGCAAACTAGGTAGCAAAGTTTCTCCGTGTATTTGAAGAGGAAGAGTTGTTAAATGTGTTCGTGCTATCCTTTGCTCCACCTTGCTAGATGAATATTTAGTTTGTGAAATTAATTATGTCATAGAATTTAGTCATCACTTTATCCTCTTGATTCAACAGGTGAAAATATTTCTCCGACAGAACAAGAAAGTGATGATTTGGTGGAAATTGAAGACCTTTTGAAAAAAATTACAGATCACGAGGCTGAGATCAAAGAAGCGGAGGAATTGCTTCACCTACAGAAGATGAAACACGAGGCTGAAAAACAGAACATGATTGAACAATTTAATACAGAAAAAACAAACATGCAACGATTAATCAACAATGAGAGAACCTCGATGGAAAAGGCGTTGCAAAATCTCATCAATGAAATCGTTCGTTTGAAGGAAGAACGAAATGAAATCAGAAAAAATACCCGCATTGAAAAGGAGAAGCTTTTGTCAGCCTTCGAAGATGAACGAGTTGCGTTGTTATCGAAAAATGAAGTAACGAAGGATGAGGTGGAAGAAAAATGTGAAAAGAAATTTCAGGAGGAATTTGAGAAAGCGAAGAAAGACATGGAAAAACGAGAAGCAAAATTGGAAGAGGAATTATTGAAATTAAAAAAGGAAAGAAATGATTTGGTAAATATAGTAAATATTATGTCGTTTAAGCTATTAAACTTTGACAAGACTGAATAATAATTATCGAAAGATGACGATATGCGTCCCATAACAAGATCGTTTGATCAAATCTGCCCAACATTATAGTGTTTAATAGAGATTGCAAGACTAGGTCCAGTATTTACTTGATAGTTATTTTTCAGGCATCAAAAGTTGCAGATATGGCAGAAAAAATTGAGAGTGAAATGGCAGAAAAGGAAACGCTGGTAGTTTTAAAAGAAGCAGAAACAAAAGAACAAGTTAAGAATGAGTTTGAAGAAAAAATGAAAGTGGAGAGAAAGCGATTCCATGAAACATTGAATTCGTTGAGACAGGAAATTGAAAGACTACAAATGGAAAGAAATGAAGTTATAAATGAAATTTCTAAGAAACAAGGAGACCCTTTGAAACAGGTGGAAAGATTTGTCTTTAACATAATGAGTAAAAAGCTACTTGTTTGCCTAGACCCAACCTGGATCTTTTTTGGGGTTTCGTGTGACGTCACAGCGATGACGTCAACTGTACGAAATATGTAGAAATATAAGCGTCTGAACAAATGAAAACGTTTGAAGCTGACCCCCACTGGTGATTATAGATGCTCTATTAAATCCTCCAATAGCTAAAGTTAATGTCTATATAAAATATAAAATTTAGTTATTTATTTCTATAACGTAAATATAGGGCTTAATGGATGGCACTTCCCTTCTAATTTTGAAAAGTTGAATAACAGCTTTTAAATGTGTCGTAAATCTAGATTCCACCTACTCTACAGTTTTCCCCATAATTTTCATAGTAGGACAGACGAAATCAATCTCTTTTGCCTTTCTTTTGAATTCCAGACCACCGATTCTTCAAAAAGCGAAGCTACTATTTACAAACGTCTGGAATCAGAATTCAAGAGCAAAATAAACTCTGAGAAAACGTACATGGAAAGTCGCATTAAAGAATTAAGAAAAGAGAACGAGGTTTTGAATCAACAGAAACAGGAGTTGAAGAGCACTATGAGAATAGACAGGTTGCAAATAAGTCAGAAATATGAACGAGAGAAACAACAACTGCATGAAAAATATCGGAATGATTTGGAAACGATGAGGAGAAATCTTGAGAAGACAGTAAGTGACAAAACTACTAATTAAATTATCCTCTAATGCCTCATTACACTTGCAATTTTTGCTGCAATTATTATGTGCGATTTTCTGTTTTTGATAGATGTGAAGGAGTACTTAATTACGAATGCTGTGATGTATAAGAGCTCTTATTTAAACATCAGTAACTAATTCAGTCGTTCACATCTATCAAAAGGAGAAAATCGTACATAAGGGTCTAGATCTACAACAATTAACTGTAGTATCGCCATGTTTTTAACTTCATTTTTTTTTTAATAATGCAGAAAGCCAGCCATGAATCCAGTGCTTTGCCTAATCAGAACTTTTACGAGCTACGGAGAAAAATTCGCGATAGAGATACAAAGATCAAACGTTATGAGACGTTCTTTAAAGAGCTTAATAAAGAGGCTTCGGTGTTGCAAAATTCTGACTTGGCTGTTTGACAAAGAATTATAATGAAACCAATAGTCTAGGTTTATTAAAATCATTAAAATTGGAGTAGTATAATAGAATATTATTCGGGATACAAAGGGATATCAAGATATCGCAGAAAAACATTAATCAGATACATAAGTAATGCAAAGGGTGGTTAGTTAGAGCGGAATAGTATAAAGGTGTAAATATAACTTTAACGATGTTATTTAGAATACAATAAATGCGATTAACACTTTCAATCAACAGATTTTTTATTAAATTTATAAATCTTTCATAGGATTAATATAATATCATTGTCTTCGAAACGAACGGGCGACGACAAACCGTTTCCTAACGCCCGTTGTTCATTCAGTCTGTATTTTGTTGCTATGTGAACCAAAATCTCGAATAATTTTCAGACTTAAACATCCTCATCCGACAAACCGCAAGTCAAAATGACGCTCAACTCTAACCAAACGACGCGCATTAAAATTTAAAGACAGACACGACCGCATCACATGACTATTTTTGTTCAAGAACCGAAATTCACATATTTTGATGTTTTGTGAGATGCCTATGTGAGAAAATGAAAAAAAACTGGTCTCGAGAGAGAGAGAGAGATATCTCCTATGATCAATATTTAATCCATATTTTGCAAATATAAGAGTTGTTAGCTATCTGTTATTAATAAAGTACCTCTGGCTCTGTTTAATAAATAGAGATTTGATCGAAACAGATGAGAACGTCTATTGCATGTATTGACATGTACAAAGTTGTGTTTTAGTAAGTTCGCAAGTGACAGGTGTAAAAAGTGTGGGGGTTTTAGCGTGGTACTCGCACGATAAAAGAAAATCAGTATTGTGTGTTTGGCTAAGAGTGGAAAAACTAATTATCCCGGCACCTGTTGCGTTAGCGGTTTGCCTGCCGTAGCTTAATTATCGACGTCCACTTGTACTTAAACCTAAAGTAAAGCTCTGTAATCTGTATTACTTTTACTGCAAAATTATGTTGTCATTTTGTATATTAAACCCGATTAAAGGACATAGACTGAGGTACTAAAAAGTGTTTCTTTATACTAAATTGAAATATTCATGTAGCGTACACAACATGCATTGATGGCAACAGGTGTCGTATCGCTCTCAAACCCCTGTATTACATAAAATACAATAATGATTCTGTTTAAAGCGTGCCCTAAAATGATAGTATGGTGTTTTATTGTCACGAATAATTATTATAATAGGTTAGAAAAATATAATTAAACAATGATGCATGAAGGAGTATTGTGTCTGGGAATCTTATATCTCTATAAAATGAGTATAGAGAATATGTATTGTGATTTCTCTACTTATAGTTTTCTGTCTTCAGGGTAAATCGTCCACAAGTAAAAGTCATCATTCCTCATCTTCCAACGACACCAGATTGCAGTTGTGGTAAATCACAAGAATGCTGTGGCAAAGATTGTTTTTGTTAGGACCTGTTGTGGAGTGATTATTGATGTTTTCCGCTGAAAACAATTTATTGTTGCCAGGCGCTAAAAACAAATTTTGCCGCTCTGACCTTTTTCCTTACGTGGAAAATGTTTTCAAAATATGCTCAGCTTTATCCAATGAGAGGAGGAGAGCGTACGGCAAATCTTCGCGTCTGTAGCTACCCTTCTTCAGATCAGAATAGCGCCTTTCTGGTGTTTATGTCCAACAACGCTTCGCGTCCTCGATGTATTGTGTCTAGCAGGCTGGTCCGCTGTTTGAAATCAACTGGAATTCCGTCATATTTATTCCTGTGCCCAAAGTTTTATCCGTCCAAGCGACGCCGTGTACTCAAAGATCCAGCGTTTGGTTGGGGCCAAACGTCCCTTGGCAGTTCCTCCAGAAGAACTTGTTGCTGGCTTCGATTTCGACGAAATGACGGATCCGTCGCAATTACAACAATTACAATTAAACCAGGGAATGCAAAGCCAGATGATGGCTGCAAGTCCTACACAAATGCAGCAAGGGGTAAGTTGATGGGTTTTCATATAGTTAAAAGAATTCGTTATAGTCTTACAGGAAATGTGTATAGGATTCTACTGTCTAAAATATACGAGTAATGTACTTTGAAGTCACTTTCATCGAGATTTCTTTAGCAATAACAAGCAGAAATAATCGTGGTTTGAGTTCTTTAAAGTATCCAATTGCGAGTTAAATATCTGTCTATAAATAAATGCAACTGGTTTTCAAACTTGGCTACTAAAATTCCCCTCATTTCCATTCATTTAATTCTGTACAAAGCGCTAAGGCAGAGTATCTATCTGCATACTTTATTCACACATTTGTGGAGAGTATAAATGCGTCGGAGTTTTAAAAAATATAGACTTTTAGTAGTGTCATTTGTGCAATCGTTTTAGCTACCAATAAAATTTCCTTAAAAGTAGAAGCGCTGTACGTAAATTTTTTTGGTCGTAATGAGAATTTGACTTTTGTAATTTTATACAATACGTGCGGAAAAACGTATTGCAAAGTTATCTAAACAATTTTAAAGAGTGAATATTAAGATTTGTAATACCGTCGTAACGTTTAATCCTTAGTTACCTAATAGTTCTAATAGATATAGCGTTTTACGTTGAGAAGTTCATAGTATTCTATTTTATTTTTACATTGAAGATCTGTTACCCTAGCTTTTTATTGATATGAGTAGTGCACGTATATTGAATTCTTGCTGTTTTTCCTTACAGCAAATGTCCATGCAGCATTTGTCCCCTGGTCAAATGAGTGGTGGTAGTAGCCCAGGTTTTGCTGGCCAGTTGTCACCAGGTGCTCAGATGAGTGGCCAAATGATGGTAGGTGGTGGTACGCAAATGGGTGGCCAGATGATGGCAGGAGGTCAGATGATGGCGGGTGGCCAGATGATGGCAGGTGGTCAGATGATGCCTAGTGGTCAGATGATAGCAGGGGGTCAAATGGTGGGTCAGAGTCCGACAGGGCAATTTGCTGGTGGGGCACAAATGATGAGCCCGCAGATGGTGGGTAGTAGTCCTACTAGTCCAATGGCAGGTGGAATGCTAGCGGTTAGCCCTACACCGCAAATGGGTGGTCAGATATCGGTTAGTCCTACTGGTATGGTACCTGGTCAAGGTGGTATGGTACAAGATGTTTCCCAGGTTAGTATGGTGAGTCAGGGTGGTGCTGGTGTGAGCCAGGGTGGCATGATTATAGCGAGTCAGGATGGCACTGGCGTGAGCCAGGGTGGTATGGCTATAGCAAGTCAGGGTAATGTAGTTAACCAAAATAGTGTGAATATGGTCAGTCAGAGTGGTATGAGTATGGTAGGTCAGGGTGATAGTGTTTCTCAGAGTAGTATTGGTATGGTTAGTCAAATTGATGTGGGTATGGCAAACCAGTATACTGGCCAAAATCAAGTTGGTATGGTTCAACAAGCTATGGTAGATCAGAATAGCATGGTTAGTCAGACAATGGTTGGGGAAGCCAGTATGGTTAGCCAGAGCCCAGTTGATATGGTAGCTCAAAGTCAATTAGGAATGGTGAGTCAGAATCAGGTTGGAATGGTAGTTCAGCAAGGCATAGTAGATCAAAATAGTATGATTAGTCAGACAATGGTTGGTGAAGCCAGTATGGTTAGCCAGTCACAAGGTATGGTAAACCAAGGTATGGTAGACCAGGCAGTGGTTAGTCAGAGTATGGTTAGTCAAAGTCAAGTTGATATGACATCTCAAAATCAAGTTGGAATGGTGGTTCAACAAGGTATGGTAGATCAAGATAGTATGGTTAGTCAGACAATAGTAAGTGATTCGAGCATTGTTAGCTCAGGTGTAGTGGGGGGAAGTGAGGTTGCCATGGTCGGTGAGGTTGGGATGGTGAGCATGACAGGTATGGAGATGCAGGTGCAAGGTGGTATGACAGGTATGGAGATGCAGGTGCAAGGTGGTATGACAGGTATGGGGATGCAGGTGCAAGGTGGTATGGTAAGTCAGTGTACGATGGGCGAAGTAGGCATGATAAATGAGGTTGGCATGACATCAACAAACATCGACTCAACAACGATATCAACAATGCCAACAATTATGGTTGAATCTCAACAGAGTGTTACCGACCCTGGATGTTCCATGCAAGTGGTAGGCACAGTGGACCAGCAGCTAGACACAACCATGCAAGTGGTAGGCACGGTGGACCAGCAGCTAGACACAACCATGCAAGTGGTAGGCACGGTGGACCAGCAGCTAGACACAACCATGCAAGTGGTAGGCACAGTGGACCAGCAGCTAGACACATCAGTTACCATGAGCGTCGTGAGTACCGTACCTGATTCAACAATGGATCCCTCAGCTTGCGTTTATCCCGTTTCCCCAGGGCCTATTGCTGTAAGCCCCGCGCCACCCTCGGGTGGCTATCCACTTTCCCCCTCTGGTCCAGGTTACACCATGGAAACAATCGGTGTTATTCCTGGCGAATGTGCAATGTGTGTATCAAAATCTAATGAAATTCAAGAACTGGAAACGAAAATAGATACAATAAAGGATAACTTTGAAATTGAACGCACTGAGGTACAGAGGTTTTGAAGTTTTCGAATGATTATTCTCCTGCGTAAATATTGCAATTTAATACCATTTGTGAATGCATAATTTTTTATAAGGATTTACAGTGAAACAAGCACTGTGACTTACTTTCCTTCATGAAGTGAAGTGTTTTACTAAACTCTAAGATATATGTTACATGTCAGGTGGAAACTCGCTACATTAAACAAATGAAAGATATTGAAGTACGTTGTCAACAAGAAAAAGATGAAATTCGTTCTGACGCCTTAAAAGAAGAAGATAATTATGAAAGAAAACTGAAAGAAGAACGATCCAGGCTTAGTGAACTTCAGTTGAAGTATAATATGCTTCAGGCTGAGGCGGACAATAATGAAAAGTCTGGCAAAAGACAGGAAGACGAAATTGATGAATTGGAAGATAAATTGAGAAAGGTAAAAACTCCCGTTAGTTGATTATCTTTATATATTTTTTGAACTTTTTAGGCTAAAATTATAAAACTACTCTCGATGGGCGGGCTTTGACGTTTGAACTCGTATAATTCTGATTTCAAATAGACCAAGAACGAACGGGACCAATTTGATGAAATGAATCGAAGATTGAAAATGGAACTACAGCGGGCTCAGCAACAGACATACTCTGAGCGAAGTTTAATCAAACAACTACAAGATAAGCTTTCTCAGATTGAGAATACCGAGAGGGAATGGGTAACGAAGTACAATCGAGAAAAGGAGAAAATCACTGAACATTCAGAGAAGATCACAATTATTGAAAATACTGTGACAAGTCTCGAGAACCAGAACAGAGATTATATTGTTGAAATTGAGGTATGAAAAACATGTCAAAAAGCAACTTTCCCTGTAGAAAACAAATAATAAGGTTTACATGTTTTCCACTTTTTAGCGTTTGAATACGAGCCTCAAAAAAGAAAAAGATGAATGTAATAACCTCCGCGCCATGTTGGGAGAAGAATCCAAAGATGACGAAAAGCAGAACAAACTTATTCTAGAACTTCAACGAAAATTGAAAGACCTTCACGACTCAACTGAAGATTTAGAAAACCAATTGCGAATTGAAAAAGATAAAGTGAACAAACTGAACTCGGACATTTCCCTACTTTCAACCGAGAAAACGAAATTCCAGAAACTTTCAAAAGGCTTACGCGAAGATGTGGACGATATAACAAGTAAATATACACGAGAGAAGAATGAAGTTGAGAGATTGGGAGAAGAACTTGCAAGACTCCGACGTGAACATACTGATTCTACGAATGCGATGAATATGGAATCCGTAGTTAATAGTTTTGAGGAAAAGATTCGACGTCTGACAGCAGAGTGCGATAGTTTTGAGGAAAAATATAAATATGAGAAACGCGAGAAGGTGGAATTTGAGGATAAGTTTCATCGTGTGAAAAATGAGGTGAGTTTTTTTGGTAAAATGAAAGTTTACTAATATGCATGTGATAAGTAAAAAACAGATTATTTTTTACATTCAAAATTTTTTTTCAGGTCACCGACATACAAGAGAAATACCGTCGTGTAGACGCAGAGAGAGATACTTACATTCGGAAATGTCGCGAAATCACGGAAAATTACGAACAAAAGATTCGAATGTTACAACAACAAATATCAGAACTTCGTACTCAATCCTCACAAAGACAACCCACGCAACAGCCTGTTACGGTTCCCCAACCCGCCATCGTTTCCTATCCGACTGCGCCTTGTTACATTGATACAATGAATGAATTGGGAATCAGCATTGAAAGATATAATGAAATGAAACACCAGAGAGACTCCATTGAGCAAAGGTAAGAAGTGAAATATCTTCAAATAATTCTATTGAGCTACAGTTTATTTACCATCTTCGATGTTAATGTTTTTACTCCTGTAGTCGAGTACGATTTTCTTGAATCAATTTTCTTCATTTGTATTTGGCAGTTTGGCTTTTGACTTTATCAAGCACTCAATATCTTGCTACTCAAAGCTCGTCTTTAGTTATTCGTACCGATAACGAAGACTCTTCCCTCATCCGAGAGAAGTTTGGAAATAATAGACAGTAAAGCAGCAAAGTTAACGAAGACATTTCCCTCACCTGATTAATTTCTTTCTCAAATATTTAGATACAATGCTTTGGTCGATCTTCTTGCAAAGTATGAAGATGAGGTCCAGAAACTCGAAAAAGAAAACAAAGACTTCCGTTTGAATGTCACAGATGTTGACTACACTTCCATCAATATCACAAAACAAGAAAGCAACGCGTCATATTCGTACGTTGAGTACAGACGAATTGTTGATGAAAAGGACTACTTTGAAGGTATCAAGAATAGATTTGTCTCTAATAAGTTTATTAGTTAAGTTGAGTCTTATTTGGTTTGCTTTCTCTCATAACGTAGGTCGTTACAAGAAAGAAAAAGCTGAACGCGAGAATGCAGAGAAGAAGCTCCGAGATTTGAGAAATGCTAAGGAGGATCTTGAAGATAAACTGAACGATATCGCTCGAGTCATCACGAAATACGAGCAAGATACGAGAGCGTTCAAAAACGAGAATGATCAGCTCCGGCGGCAAATTCAAGATCTTTTGACGAATGGAAATTTCCAAAAGAATATCTCGGTCGAGTATAACGTCACAAAGAGACAAAGAAGTGACTCGAATAAATCGCTGGATAAATATAAGAATGAGATTGATGAACTTCATCGTGAGAATGAAGAGTTCAAACAGTTGCTTGATTCGTTGGACAACAAAGATGGACGAGGAGGTGACAAAGACGATGGAAAGAATAACACAGGTGAGATGTTGTAATATTGTTGCTTATTGTAATTATACGTTTCATTGATATCAGTGGAGTTGGAATAATTGTGAAGGTATTAAGATATCATTTTACGTTTTTAAACAGGGAAAGTTCGTGCTCTAGAAGGCGAGGTGAATAGTTTACAGACTATTATTACAGAACTTGAGAAGACCATCGCGTATCAAAACAAAACTGCTGAAGATGCTAAGCTTCAATTGGAGGACGAAAAATGGAGATTGAGGGAACACGTACAGAAACTTGAGGATAAGGTAGGATAATCAAATTTAACGTTTCTAGTTTTCTGTAGACATGTTTTGGCTTCGATACATATTGATAAGGTATTCCTGAAGGTTATATTTATGAAAAGTGCTGTTATTGACATGTTGATCGGTAAATCTTTATTTTGATGAAATGGGATAAATTGTCTTTAAATATAATTGTACGTATTCGTGACATTTATAGGTAAAAGATCAAGTGCGTATGATCGATGATTACGATCGTAAGATTGCAGATCTTCGTAATAAATTCACGAATGAAGTGAGCAATCTTGGCGAGAAGCTTGTAAATGAAGTGGACAGAAATATGAAACTTGAAGAACATATCAAACAACTTCAGAAACACTTGGATGATTTAGACGGTGAAAGGCGGGAGATTTTGACCAAGTATGACGCTGTGACTGTCAATGAACAAGAGTTTGTCAGAGATATGGAGGACCTGGAGGATAGATACAAGGTTGGTTGGTTGGTTGGTTGGTTGGTTGGTAAATTCAGTCAACTGGTTACATACACAGCACTAATTATTTATTTATGGTGATTTTACGCATTTTGATGGATTATTAACAAGTTTATTTTGTTTAAAGGTGGACATCACGGAACTTCAGAGTCGTCTTAACCAGGAAATGAACGAGAAGTCGAACCTGAATCGTGATATTCAAAATCTTCTCGATGAGCTTGATAATTTACGAGCCCGCGAAAATGCAATCGAAACACAATTTATCAGAGAACGAGACGAGATCAAAGGTCATTATGAGTTTGAAAAGATCGATCTTCTTCGTCAGTATCACGAGGAAAACACGCGTATCAAGGGTCAGTTGGATGATGAAAAGAGACGTCGTAAACAACTCGAGGATGAAATTGAAATATTGAGGAGAAAGCTCGCTGCTCAAGGTATTACAGCTCATGTGGACAGCGGTAGTGCAGGTACGTTAGAAAGAATTTTATCTTATAAGGGATTTACTCTTTTTTAAGGTCGTCTTAGAATTAAACAACTAGAACCAACATTCACTCTTGTCTGCGTTTGACGAAATTATCTGATTGTGCATCGCAATCTGTACAGAACGTTCCATTCCATACAACTGACATTTATTATGCTTCCTTGCCCCACAGGACGTGGAGACATGAACATCTCTCTGGGTGATGACAACAGACGTCGTGATTATCTCGAAGAAGAAAACAAGAAACTACTATATCAAATGAACCTCTTGCTCTCCAAGAAGGACGGCGGCGGCGGCGGCGATGATGTACGAGATACTGGCAGTCGTACGTCGGATAGTTCCGATGATATCACGAGACTGAGACGAAAGCTGGCGGTTGTCGAGGAGGAGAGAGATAAATTCGAACGAATGAAGAAAGATTTAGAGTATGAAATGGATAGATACAAATCCAAGTGTGATACTCTCCAAACTGAAATTGAAAGGTATATCCAGTTTGACTGCGTCATAGTTATTTACCACACCCTTATATCATATAATTTACCATAACCTAATTGTTGACTATGCAATATGTTATATCGAAGTTTTATATCCTAAAATATAGTTTGCCATGTATCATCCCATACAAAGCTTACCAGAACATTTTCAACCATATCATAAAATTTCTACCATTTCATTTAGACTTCGTGAAATGGAGCGTAAAACTCGAGATCTCACTGATGAAGTGCGGTCGTTAAAGTCGATAAACGACGAAATGAACCGAAAACAACGCGACCTCATGTCGGAAAACGACAACCTGAATCGTACATGTCAGGATCTAGAGCGAGATAATCGCAAACTGCAAATGGAAATTGATCATTTAACCATGCAGCTCAAGGTATATATGGCAAAATATTTCTTTCAATTTTGAAAACTACGATATTTTTTATCGGAAAAAACTTATTTTTTATACTGGTAATTTTTAGAAGAGTGGTGGAAACGTTGGCACAACAAATATCAGAGATGAGACAACGGTCGTCAACACTGGCGGTCGCAGTGATCATGAAATGTTAAGAATGAAACAAGAATTTGATAACAGACTTAAGGAACAAGTAGACGCCAACCGACAGTTGGAGAAAAATGTCCGTGATTTACAACGAGAAATGGACGGAATGCACGACAGTCGATCTTTGATACAATCCAACTTTAATCAACAGAAGGAATTCCTGATGCAGCAAATCGCATCTGGCTCTGTGAGAGGTGATGTTGATAGAGAAACCAGCCGTAACAACGAGGAATGGAAGAGACGAATCGAAGATTCCGAGCGACGCTTCAAGAGCGAGTTAGACCGGTTAGAAAATGAGAAGAAAGACCAGTGTGACCGGTTGAAGAGAGAAAAAGATCAAATGGCTGAGAGGTATAATATTCATCATCGTTAAATCGTCATCTTTGTCTGCTTATTGACACTGTTTGATTTCACAAAGGCGAAGGCTTCAGTTTGACAGTTCTGAAATTTTAGCAATTTCTTTAACAGATATAGTCGTGAGAAAGAAGAAATGAGACGAAAGATTTTTGATATTGAAGAACAAATGAGACGCAAGGAATCATCATGGCAGTCTTCTGTTCCCGCACCAGTCCAGCCCGTCTCCTACCCGTCCCCAGTTTCTCACGGTCGTGATGATATCCAGAGTATCATACGAGAGAAGGACTCCTATATCGAACAACTGAAAACAGAGAAATACGAATCAGTGAGGAACTTCGAGCGGGAAAAGAATAGGTTAGTATACAGCAAGGGGGAAGATGACGGCACGCTCTTATCTCTGAGTGAAGCCTTTGTAGATCGAAAATAAACGAGCGTTTGGATATAAACTTCCAACTAACTGTTTTTTGAGAACCTATATACCTAAGTAGACGTTGGTTGAAATTTCATGTTCCGGCTTTTTCTTGAGTTTTCAAGACTGATCCTTGGGTTATAGTTCTCGAGCATGTGATCTTCAGACTAAGTGAGTTAGGTAACCTCAATTTTGATTGTCACTGTAGAATGGTGATGGACTTCGACATGGAAAGAAATAAAGGAAAGAAAACAGTAGATGAGCTGGAAGATGCTCTAAGAACGTTGAGGAAACAGAAAGCTGAATTGGAGGAGAAGGTAACATATGAAATGGTGAGAAATTTTATTGCATTAGTATGCACGTAATAGCATGTGCTCAGATGCAATGTTGATGACACAATGGCACTATTTATCCAACCTATTAACGAGGTTTTTTTCACTCTTGTAATCGCATGTACTGTTACAACGTAGGAATATCATATCATAGCACGGGTAAATTGGCAGTAAGTGGCGTGCTTTTTCTTGATTAATGCTTGATTAAAGTGCTTTTCTAGCAAAGCATTTAATGATTCCACTGATAAGTATCGGGTTATGTGGGAACTATGTTACTGGACGCTCAAGTTTTGATCGTTTTATAATAAGATGCCGTGTCAAATTGCACAAGAAATCATGCTATTACCTTTTTTGCACTGATGCACTGAACTTTCTTTTATTGCACTTAATACCAGTTTTTCTAATTTGTGGTGTTGCTGATGCTGGTATTGTTGTTTCATTGTGAATGTTAATGTGTATTGTTATCTGTTGCGTTTTTGTCTGTGCCTTGTTGTGTCGAATGATGATGGAAATGAAAACGTTTTTACTCAACTGTCAAATGTTTGGCCATTCTCAGGTACGGGACATGGAAATGAAACACACGCGGGAGAAAGATCGTTTGGAGAATGAATTCAACGAAGAAAAGCGTCAGCTAAAGAAGAACTTGGACAGGGACATGGAAGCGAGGCGGGAAGATATGAAGCGAGAATGTGAGATCAAGTACACTAAAACTATTAACGACCTGGAACGAGAGAAAGCGAGGTTGCTTGGCCGTCTTGAGCGTGAACGAGGAGAGGTAAGAATTTCATATCTGGGTTGATTCAAGGACAAATATATACCGCACAGCTGTTAGTGGATTTTTAATGAGCCTCGCTTCATTGTATCATTGAAACGCATACAATACAAGTCACAAATGCTTCTAGATATTTCTTGCAGGGATGTTTTATTAATATTATTGATTTACCTTTAAAACAAGAATGCGGTAAAAATAAATCCGTTCAATCGTTTTCTGTCTCTTACACCAGTTAAGCACATTTGGCAGTCAGATAAACCAGACAAGCACAACTTTCGAGGAATCCAACACGACACTTGTCTCTTCAAAATACGAGGCTGAAAACCGCGAGTTGCAGCGTCGCTTGAAGGAGCAAGCACAGAACTTCGAACTGGAAAAACAGGAATTACTAAAACGCTGCGAACAAGAAAAACGAGTTATCGAAGCACGCCTTGTACACGAAAAGAAAGTTCTAGAGATCTCCGTCCAAGCAATGACGCGGGAAATCGCAAAACTCAAACACGAACGAAACGAAATTCGCAAAAACTACAAAGCTGAGATTGACAAACTTCGAACACAACTCGGACACGGAGGATTCGCAGCCACGCGTGAAAGTAACACCACGAATATCACGCGTGAAGTCCACACAAGTAACACGAGCAGTAACACAAGTATTTCAGTGATGGCCATCGAAGAACGGCACACGTTTGAGAAGACCATCGATGAGTTGAACGAAAAGGTTAGTGCAAACTTTGATTAGAAAACACTGCAAGGCTTGTTTAACCTTAAAAGATATATTTAGCCAAATTAAAAATTTTCTTAGCCAGTCTGTCTAAACGTTTCGACTAGTAGAGGTATTAAAACTGTCACCATGATAGTGGCCGGAAATTGAGCTCAAAAAGCCATCACTGACCGACTTTCTTTAACATGTTTATTTTTACAAAAGGTGCGTGACCATGAAACCACGGTACAGAAACTGGAGAGAAATCACACTGAGGAAATACGGTTCATGGTGAAGAACTTTGAGAACGAAAAATCAGATTTGGAGAATTCTTGGATGTTGGAGAAAGGACGAATTCAAGCGAGCATTGAAACTAGCTATGAACAGAAATTGATGGATGAGAAAAAGAAGTAAGTAGTTGATTATTTAGGTGTTTGGATTGCAATGCGTGCATCTCTTTTCTTTGAGCTTTTATTCCAGCAATTTGCATCTGAATGGTTATGATTGTATTTTCTTTAGATTTGAGGTAACAATGACAGCATTACGTCGGGAAGTGAACTGTCTACAAGATCAAAGACGTCTTCTTCAGATGAAGATCACCAGTAATTCAGCCTTCGTTGGCGATAAAGATGCTTTCGACCGCGGCATCAGTGACTACAAGCGAGATGTTTTGGAAAAACTTCAACGAGAATATGGTGAGAGAATTGAACGAGAGCGAAGGCCTCTTGAAGACACGATTAAAGAATTGAGAAGAGAAGTTGATGACCTTCGTCGGGAGAGGAATGAGATTCGTTCTACCTTCAGGCAGGAAAAGGTATTTGTTTCTGAAAAAAAAACTTTTGTAACAAATAACAAACAAGTGTTATTACCATCAAGAAATAATGGATTCCTAAACTCTGTGATTTTCTCCTGATTTCGTAGGTAAAGTTACAAGAGGAGTTCGACCGGGAACGTGATAGACTGACACGAGAGAGACACGAAATAAGGATCACTGGTGGTGTTGGCGGTTTGGGAGGGATCTCTGGTGGCGTTGGCGGTTTGGGAGGGATCGCTGGTGGTGTTGGTTTAGGAGGAGTGGCAGGAGCCATCTTGGGTGCTAGTGGCGCTGGGGGTAGATTGGGACCTATTGACGGCGATAAGGTGAGTTCCTCACTGGAAGAAAAAAAAAATCACCCTTACCATAAAAACACCGTCTTTAAACGAAATTTTACCACCATATTTTTACCATAGCAAGAGAAGTCACGTAGTGATGAAAGCTATAATAAATTATTATTGTTAATTCATGAGATAATTGACTAATTAATTAATTAATAAACTAATTCAAAGGATATATATTATATTAGTAAATCGCACATGTAGAATAACATCACTGAGTTAAGATATATAAAGTTTTATTTATTATAAACACGTTTTCACTTGCGCTTCAATTCGCACTGGCAAAAGTTGTAAAATTGGTTTATATATGCTTCCGTCTTCTTTCGTTTTCTGGCGTCGAAACCGTTTCTCTTAAAACAATGTCATCTTTGACATTTCCTGTAGGTACCTAAGGACAAAGATGACCCATTAAGTCAAATCGAAAAATCTTTTCAAGAGACAAACGTGAAGAGAATAGAAGCTGAAAACGTGTCTCTTAAAGAAGAAAACACTCGACTTGTTAATGATAACCGTAGTTTGAATGCAAAATTGGAAGCTTTAGAAATACGTAACAAACACTTGGCCTTGGCTGTAAATAAGAAGGTCAGTGTTTTAACTCAATGATGTTATTCAAAGAAAACATAAATAATTTTAGTGGTCATTGCATGAGCCACTAGGTCCAGTCTCCTTTTCAACAAAATGGTTTATATTTGTTTTTTCTTTTAGTAACACTGAAAAACTATATAAGGGGTCTTAACATATTTCGTATTAGTTTCAAAGCAGTTTAATTAGAAAGATTTATTTTGGCGGAAGGCATAACTGAAGTGACTGTTCTTACTGAACAATGGGGAAGAATATTTTTAATAAAATGTTTTCCATCACATTTCCATTCTTGGTAAACTATTTGTTGCTTATATTTGTGTTTTCTGTTTCATTTTTCACAGGACAGACCACGCAGAGGTTATGGCAGTCGAAGTCCAACACGACCTAGCGCTCTTGATGGTCTGGTACCAAGTGGCGGATCTCAGACCACAGGATCGTCACCTGGCCGCCGTTATCCAGGAGCCGCCAACATTACTGGTCAGCGTTATCCTGCCGGTGGAACGTCCCCCTTGCGTGGAGGCTATTCACCCGGTGGTCGATACCCGGGCGGTCTCGGAGGAGTGTCAACATCCCCCGTGGCAGGTTCGTATCCAGGAAGTGCAGGACCGTATGGTGTCGGTTCACCAGGTTCGGGACATCCAGGACCCCTGGGGACTCGTGGTGGAGTTACTTCATCTCCGACCGGTGGAAAGTATCCCCTCGGCGGCCCATATGGAGGTAAATACTGGCAAAAACGATTAGTTAGTGTAAATTTACACGACCATATTGTTCACACCTGAGTATTGTACAGACCGTTTTATTCTTTACTTACTGTATAAACTGAATATATCGCTACTTTGGTAGGTTCTTCTCCAGGAACAGGAGTTATTCCTGGACAAGCTGGATCTCCTTCATCAGGTGTACCTGGACGGTTATCCTCGCCAAGTGGAAGCACGCCCTACAACCGACCAACTGGCATTACAGCTCGTCCTGGAGGAAATGCGCCGGGATCTGGATTCCCGTCAGGTAGAGATCCCTCTCCAGGAAGTCGTCCTGGCGGAGCTGGCGGTGTTCCCTCTGGGGCTTTGTCACCTAGACCAGGAGCCCGGGGGTTTTCAGGGCGCGATCCTTCCCCAGGATACCCTGGTGGTCGACCAACCCTAACTACGATATACGACACCTCACCGACAAGACATCAGTCAGAACGACCGGTCGGCAGCGTAGATACCAGAGAAATCTCAGTTCGAAACACTTCACTTCATCAACGAAGTTTGTCGGCTGAGTACCTACTCGGGCGTGGCACTGACGTGTCCTACCGATCACGCCCTCTCGGTGCCAGTCTCCACGGAAGGCTCGGTCCAGGCCTTGGTGGATACACTGACGTCACAAATATTCGACGTTCATACGGCATCGGTCGAGCGCCTATCCCATTTGGCCTTGGTAACGCTGGGTATATAGGAGACGGACAATATGCCCCAGGAGGATATGATGGGTACATTGATGACACTGGTCTAGGAGTAGATGCAAACTATGGGGGAGGTGGATGTGGTATCCACGGATATCCACCAGCGATCAACGTCGATCATCATCACACATGCTCGGGCGGCCAGCAAACCGATGGACAGCAGATTCAGTGCGGAGGACAACAAGTCCAGACAACTGGTCAACAGGCACAATGTGGAGGACTGCAGGCTCAGGATGGTGGTCAGCAATCGCAATGTGGTGCAGTGCAGGGTCAAGTCGATGGCCAAGTTCAAGTATCAGTTTCGCCCACTGGATGTGCGATTGGTCAACCAGCGGCTACACAAGGTACCATTGATCTAAATCAAGTTGGGCAAACAGCTGTAATCTCGCCAACTTCTGAAGGTAAAGATACTTCTAGTTCAACCAGCAGCGACTCGGAGAAAGAATAAATGAAAGGTCGATATTTACTTTAAACATTTTTATTAAGAAATAAATAAGGAATTATCCTAAAGCTGATCACAAAGCATAAACTTTAATCTATAATTACCTAAATATATAAGATTTAAATTAATAAAATAAAAGCAAACCTTCCAGTTTTTTTTTAATTGACATTTAAATGTACCCAAATATTTTGTCTACTAATATAATAGTGTAATCAAACAGTATCATCCAAACAAGTAATTAAATTATGTATCAAATTAGTTTTAACTTTGTGAATAATTATTCATGAAATAATAATTTTTTTTTACATATATTTTGCACTGTATTGCACTATTTTGTCAAAACCGCACGAAATATTATATTTCACAATTCACCATCGCACAAATCGCTCAGCACGAAATGCACAGCATGAAACGCACAACACGATACGCACAGCACGAAATGCACAACAGCACTGTAACTACATTCTTTTTCTAAAGAGGCACAGTATTATATTTGCTTTAGTGCCGTATACATACTAAATGTCAAAGGTCATTGTTGTAAATTAATATAAAAGCAATAAAACTCTTAAAAAATACGTCCGTTTTCCTCAAAATATTGATAAAATTTGAGTGTATTTCAACTGTGTGCACGTAAACAAGTCTCCTACCTTAGAATTCCAAACAGTCGCAAAATAACACCTACAAAAACGGTAAGAAAATCCAAGTTCTAAAAATCTTGCGTTGGTCAACGGGTGCACGAAATTTCTTCAAACTTCGATAGCTTGTGCAGCACAGTAGATATGTTGCCCGCTTAGTGTGATTGAATTGTGTTTCACAAATGCTTTTGTATTTTTTGCGCGAAGCCGTTTCTGGGTGTTCTTAAAAACAACTTAGTCGAAGTACGATAGATAACTTTATTTCAAATTCTTGATTACTCTTGTGCTCTTCAGATGATAAAGTGCGATAGAAATATTCGACATAGAATTTTAAGAAGTTTCAAAAATTTCGAGAAGAGTTTCTGACGGACGTTCATCTCTTAGGTTTCGAATGCGTATTTTTTTTGAGCGTGGATTTCTTGGGCTTTTAACCACAACTTTCCTACGAATGCATGTTAAACAAATTATTGCTAGCTGTCCCAGAGAACATCAAAGTTTACGTTTGCTAAACGTTTTTGCTAAACGTTTGCATGCAGTTTATTTTTGGGCACTTTTTCAAAGAGTCATAACTATAAATAAGTTTGAAACACCCAGTATATAGCATTACGTTTGTTAGAGCTTTTGTATGATAAAGAAAAATGACGATTCAACAAAAAATAGTCGATATGGCAACAAGAAGGCATCAACTGTGAATATCTCTAAGTCCGTGGTAACCAATGTGTACATTAGGGAGCGGTCATAAAGTAACTGCTAGGGTGGGCCGGAGGAAATAAAGATGGGCCATGAAATTATTTTCATTAGTTTGGGTGGGCCATCAATTACTTTTTGTGAAAATGGATGGGCCATGAAACAAAATACAGCCTGTTTCATGGCCAGAAATGGGGGACAAAATGGCTGATAACTATGCGCACAACTAACAAATTTCGCGAATCCAAGATGGCGGAAATGCTAAGAATTAATACTATAATCATACAAATGCAATGCGCATACCGAAACAAAATATAATTTGCAAAGTGTTTACATCCACAAAGCAACAAAATATCTCAATGAACGTTCCCCCAAACTCTTGATGTGTCACGATTTGCCATTATTCCGCCCGAGTAACTGAATTTTACAATATAATCCCGCAATATAAACTCTTATTAAGTACAGTAGATTGCCGAATGTGTACTATGTTTAGTCCAGTCAAGCGTTCTTTGAAGAGTTCGACGACGAATTGTTTACATCTACAATTCTTGTACGATAGTCAATCTTCCATTTCGTGCCGATTTCGATTCATGTTGGCTTGCATTCGCTCCGCCAAATGCATTTAAAATCGCCTGTTTTTCATGAGAACTGTTAGCCTATGCTGTAAACAAATATCTTGGAGAAGACAGTGCGAAACCCCGAAACTGCGACGCTTCGATAGGATTTTCTTTTATTTTTGTTGGCCATTTTGAAAGCATTTGTATATACAGCCGCTGGTTATTGTTTATAAGCGAGTGAGGGCTCCAAAAGAGGGGAAAACCCATAAAAATACCCCGCTAAATTCAAATTAAAAACCCGCCAAGTTCATAATATTTGGATGTACTTTTGTACTTGTGAACTTAGAAACTGTTGCGTTCAATTTGTTGAAGTGTTATAAATAAAGAAATAATTCCCACATTGTTTAACTAGTGTAAAATTGGCTCTGAAGTTCGCTTAAGATGTCTGATATACCTGTAATAAATTCCGTATTAAAATGGAAATTAGGCATCCAAGCTCCATCATTAGCATATGCAGCAAGAGCAAATTCAAGGCAGGTCATCTGTGCTGTAGATATTCCTTATCAACTCATAAAATTATGGCAGGAATATATGGTGGCAAAGAAAGTAAAGGCCCAAGCAAATGAAGCAGGTACAAATGGCAATGAAGAAGGCTGTCCAAGCCATGATTACAGTTTGGATTATGTTGATTTATTTGAACTTTCCATCCCTGGAAATGCATTTGCTATCACTAATGATCCAACTACACGAAATGAAGTCAATGAATCATTGAGAATTATTACTGCAGCAGTGAAATCTACCTACAGCAAAGCCAAAGGAGGGAGAAAAAAAATGGAGCTCGACTCAAAAGTAAGGCGATTCCATATATTGGAGGGAATGACAACTTCTGTTAAAGATTTGCAAAGAGAAAACGAAATCATTATTGATGAATTAAAGAAGTGGAAAGAAGAATACAATAACCTCAAGGAAGAAAAAGAAAAACTCTATAGTGAAATGTTAATTACTCTGAAAGAGAAAGATGAGGAGATAATTAAACTGTATAAGACAAACAAAGAACTTGAAAATTATATTGACTGCCTTGAGAAAAAGCAGAGTTTTCAAAACCAAGGCAAAGATGTCTCCCAAGTTGCAAAAAAATCAAGGACACTAAATACTTTCATGTCGCGGGCTAAAATTGCATTGTGGTTTATGAAGTCTTTTGGCCTGGAGTTAAAGGAGCTAACAGTCATTGAACAGAAGACAGGGAAAACACATCCCCTTCATGTTGATGACTGCAAGAAATTTGATAGTTTATCCAATGAGGACAATGAAAAAATTGAGCAAGTTTTATTCCTACTTGACAAATTTTGTGTTGGAGATTCTTTTTACCATGAGTTAAGTATGATTACTGATGGTCTTCCAAAGTCATACTTGGTAAAGCAAAGGAGAAGCCAACTGAATGACATTAGTAATGTGATCCCAACCACTGGTAAAGCAGATGGTGCTCAAATGTCATTTACAGACATGCTAAAAACCAGGATTGGAGAGTTTGTCAAAGTACATAATGAAGTAGACTGGAGTAAAGAAAAAATTCAAGTTAAGATTTCAGGAGATGGAGCCAAAATGACAAGGAACTCAAGTTTTATATTGCTTTCCTTTTCATTACTTCAAAGCAGAAAGGATGTAATGTCTGCAAGTGGGAACCATACATTTGCTGTAATAAAAGGATCTGAAAACTATGAAACTTTAAAAGACTCCTTTGGAACCATTTTTCAAACAATCAATAACTTAATTGAGGTGAGTGAAATTGAAATAAACAGTTCTAAATTTGGCCTCGAATTTTTTCTGGGTGGAGATTATAAATTTCTCCTAATAGTGTTGGGCATGAAATCAGCAACCTCCAACTTTGCATGCCTTTGGTGCAAGGTACACAAAGAAAACAGATGGCAGATGGATAAGGATTTAGACTATTATAACTCTGCTCCACTCAAACGTACATTGGAAGAAGTAATCACAATGGCAAATAAAAAGGGGGCAAAAGACAAGTTCTCTTGTGACAATGAGCCCCTAATTAAGATTGATTTGGATCATGTTGTTTTGGACGAACTCCATCTATTACTGAGGGTAATGGATGTCCTGTTAAACAATATTATACAGGAAACTATTGCCTGGGACAAAAAAACAAATTTTAACAAAAAAAAGTGTGAAAGAGATATGGCACACCTCAAAAAATTGCAATCAACCATTAGGTCCTGTGGGGTCAGTTTTGACATATGGGAGAAAAAAACTGAAGATGGAAAAGGATCAGGGCAATATGATTTCACTAGTCTTCTTGGTTCAGACAAGAAAAAACTGTTAGCTGAACTTCCTGACAAGCTAGTAGATTGCCTAATGCCTGAGACATGTGATGTAGTAACTGAAATATGGAAAAAATTTCATGAACTTTACAAGATAATAACAACAGACAAAACAAGTACTGATAGCCCTGGTAATTATTTTCAAATGGCAAGAGAATGGATAAATCTTTTTACATCATTGAGGACAACGTCAATACACAGTGGATATAAGAGAGCAGCAGTGACCCCTTATATGCATTCACTTGTATACCATGTACCCAGGTTTATGCAGTTGTATCAATCAGTTAAAATCTTCACTGGACAGGGGGTAGAAAAAAATAATGATGTGGCTAGGAGTGTGGTTCTGTGCAAATCCAACAAGAAGAATCCTGCATCAGATGTTCTTCAATTAGAATTCAGGCAGTGGGAACTACGTGACAGTGAACGGGCAAAGAGGCCATACCGCAAAAGCAATACAGATTACTGGGAAACCGAAATTAAGAACAAAAGAAGAAAGGACACCTGACTGCTACTTCATGTTTATGTCCTAATAGAATTGCACACTAAATTAAAATTAAAAATTAAAATTAAGTCTAACATGCAAGTTGTGCATTTACAGTTCATGTCAGGCTGCATGAAACTTTGCACATTGAAATGCTAAGCTTCTCTGGTCTATATCGTGGAGATGGAACAACAGTTCCCTTAACTAAGTGATGCGTCCTGGGGCTCCATGACAGGAATGCACGCAACTTAACAGGAAAATCTATTTTGACGCCATCCCCTATAGAGTCCACAACTCTGTCCCAATTATCAGGAAAGCAGCATCGTCGGAAGTCCTCTTTATTTAAAAGTATTGATCCTCTTTCATTACTTGTCTTACCCTTGCCATTGAAAAAATAATTTAAAACATCATGGCGAAAAGTGATAACAGTGGGAAGTGTGCTCCTGGACTTCAGTTGTTCCAACAATCCACAAGCCAAAGCATCTTTCCCTAGTTCTATTGCTTCAGTTGAAGGTGTTGGATTTTCAAATGCACTAGAAAAGCAAGCAAGTATTTTAACAAAAGTGAAAAGTATGGTATTTTTTCCTTAAACACAGACCATAGATGATAGATTCTCTGTACATGTACCCAATCAAGAACACAACTTTAAATTCTAGTGAGTAATTAAACTGATTGACTTACGAGGGAAATATGTATTCATTATATATGTAAATATGCAAATAAAAAATGTACATACCTAATTGCAGCTGAATTCAAATTTTGTCTGGGTTCCCAAGTGTTCTCCAAACTGGAAAAACCTTTCCACTTGACATAGTATTCAATCTGGAAGCAGAAAACCCACACAAACCAATGTAATACAAAATATAACGCACACACACAACATATTAATCGAAAACCTACCTTTCCACGACGAACTCTACGCGAAATGACTCTCTCAATCTCGTAAAACTCCTTCGTCGCTCCTGAAACTCTCCGTTTGCGAGGTGCCCCTTCGTCATAAAAATCTGCTGTACTTAAATTATGCAAAGCTTTGTAGAAAGACATCGTTTCTTATTAAATTTAGTTTTCAAAATTTGCAAATTTGCTTATGAATATTGTAGGAAGGCTAATGGATGTATTATGCTGACGCTGCAACATTTTGCGAATTTGTGCGCCCGCGATATGTTTCGCTGACTGTCCCCCATTTCTGGCCATGTGCACTCAATACATACTATAAGCGACGCTGCATGGTTGGTTTGATCAAAGTGATAGACACGCTGTACATTAACATATATAGCAGGATGGGTCATGAAACTTTTCCAATGACTTATGATGGGCTTTTAGATCTTTTCTAGATTTTCAGGATGGGCCACCGAATTTTTTTAGGAAAACAGATTTTTCCCTCCGGCCCACCCTAGCAGTTACTTTATGACCGCTCCCTTATGCCTAGCAAAAGGTCCTCTAAAGTCTAAAAGATTTTTTAACTTCGTCTGATTGTAAGGTTCAGTTAACGGCAACACAGCATTTTATCAGTTGCTGTGTGAATACTTTTATCAAAGTTATAACATTTTTTCAGTGCGTATTTCCCGGTTATTCCAACCTAATCGGCTTATTAAATATGACTCATTAGTAACTGAATATTGCGTGCCAAACGCCGTCTTGCAGAAAGGGTGGGAGTTAACCTACAATTTCACCACGAATATTGTTATATATGGTTAGCAGTTCATTTATTAATGAATACACGCGAAACACAGACAAAAAACCGCTAAGGGTATCAGTGTTGACCACTTTGTGAAAATATTGTCTCGTCAGCCATATCTTCGATTTCGATTCATCATTCTTATGAGCCTGGTGAGAAAGTCTTACCAACTATCTAATATAACCGCGCAAGCATCATCTGCATATAAATGTTTGAGTCCATGCAGACCGATGGAGAATTAGAGCGAGAATAGAATTTGAAAATTAAAATTTGATAGTTTGGTCAGGAATGGTTTGCGCAGTGGTCTACGCGAAACATAACAAGTGTAGTTCTGGGACGCGCAATTCCCTTGAAGGAATCTTGCATGGTTTCACATGCCAAGTGCCGACATGCAATCTTGACCTAGACGAATTTGCGTATACTTTTTTCTACTGTTCGTTCTTGTTGATTTTGGTTAACTGACACAATCTATTGAATATTTTTCATAGAAACAGGAACGATTTTTTCATTGCCGTTAGTTGCCTGATTATGTTGAAAATAACCTTACCCGGAATTGCCTCAGACGGGTTTTTATGGTATACAATCTATTGAATAATTATTTCTTATTTATTGAATTATTATTCATTTCATTTTTTTGCAGCGAAGTTACAAATGCTGCTATAACCAAAACTTCTATAAGCTGAAAATCATATAATTATTAAACATCATGCACTGCCATCATTCAGTCAGTCGTCAGTTTTGTTACTACCTACTCTTTGTCACAACCTGTTATCGACATACAGGTTGTTATAATTATTTATTCATTTAAATATATAAGCGTCTCTTTTACCGCGTTGAGCAAGCATCACCACGAACTAAAAACATACGAATGCTTTACATTCCAGATGGGTTAAACTGAGTAACTGCATGTGAACCGTGCTGGAAAGTGTTATTTTAAGGTAGACGAGTTCTTAATTTCATTACTTACAATAGTCTAATACTGTATTTAATGCATGGTCTATATCAGTGTTTGTTCCTAGCGTATTCAAGCAAACAAATGCTAATGTTAACTTTAGTTTATCATTTAGTTTATTATCTCAGCAGTGGGAGAGTTGTATTCTCTTTTGCCTCGATAAGTTATTATGTACTACTTCTTAACTTAACTAATTTCTAAACTGTACATTTTAAATCCTGGGTATATCACATATATTATGTCAATATATCACTATATAATTATATCAAATGCTTTGTCTGTAACTACAAGAGCCTGAGGTTGAGTCACACTTATTTTTGTCACCTAGCAGTCAATAAACTCGAAAAGTCTTATATTTGTGCCATCATAATTTTCATGTATAGCTAGATTTTGGTCGCCTCTGTGCTTGAAAAAACTCAGGACCTGCTAGTTTTGTAGCTAATACTTGTCAATGCAAATGTCTGATAGCGGGGTCGCTAGACGGAACACCGTCTGATTGAGGTTCACTGTTTGATAAATTCATTATCCTCCCACACCATGCACTGTATGTTTATGAAGCACGGTATCTAAGATACACATAAACAAAATATTTTTGATTAACTTTTTTCTGATTGATTCACAAGAATTGATTCTGTTTGTATTCCACAAACAGGTTTTTATGATACAGCTGCACGGGTAAGACAACGGTATTATTAAACCATGCATATATATTAAACCAACGATATATTAAACCAACGATATATTAAACTAACGGCATTATTGTTGCGTTCTTTTAATGTTTGTGTTTTTTCTCAGGAATCTTTTTCCTTATCATGGAGGGCCCATAGGTAACTCATCTTCTCAACGATATGGATCAAACTCATAGTGACGATAACAACAAGAGCTACACATCAGAGCCGGACTCCAAAACTCCTGAAAACTTGGACAGCCCACAGTTCCAGGAAGTAGTGCAAGCTTTCACCGTTGAAAAAGAATTGCTGGAGAAACGGCACCAAGAAGAAATGGAAAAACTAAAAGATAACTTCTCAAAAAAGAAGGCTGTTTTTTCTGAAAGTGGAGAAAGTGGTTCGAACCATGATCACAATAGTACTGCACTGAAACAGACAGAATATGGTCACCATAACAACAATGGCTTAAGGTAGCGAAAAACACTCTGTATTTAGTCACAATGCTTTATTATGCTTTATGCATACGTTGCGTAAAGCCATTTTAGAGTCTCTGCTAGAAAAATGTTTAAAACATCATCATTATATAAATACGTAGAAATCTCATGGCTCTCACGAATCTGACAGCTGGTAAAGCTGTCACTTGCATCTTATAAGGAAGTTCATGAATTGGGAAATGCTTAAAGCTTTTTTCATGCTTGTCATCATATGCAGGTTTTTTACATTCTGAGAATATTTACTTTTATGGTAAAGGATTGAGTATTGGGACTAAATAAAATGCGATAACGTGTCCTAAAATATGGTCATAAAGTTGAATTAAGTTGGTAGATTACTAAGTAATGAATGAAATCCTAGTTGTGTGACGTTCGTTAATCTCCTCCAATTTATGTTTTAGTTCTGTTTTCCAAAATGGAGATAACCACGGCGCAAGCCAGTCGCAGGGTCAACACTCCCGTTTCCCTGGTCCTGGTGGTGTGCCGAACGCTGGCAGATCAACTGATTTACCATTTTATTTTAATCCAAATTCTGGCCAGTTACCCTTCGCTGAAACTGGTGCGACCAACTCTCGTCCTCAGGCGATGATGAATGGTTTCTCCGGAAATCCGGGGAATGTTGGTAGAGAAATAGGTATGATGAATGGAGGACCTTCTCACGAAAGCAATACACCATCATGGGGTCACACTGGTCAAAATCACCCGTATAATGGTATTAATGCACCACATGGTAATCCAAACCTAAATGGCACCTTATATCGACCGTACGGTGCAACAAATGGATATCACACTGAACTGCCTGTCCACCCGACGTCCTCGTGGAATCCAACTTTCTACACCCATAATTTTTTCCCCACTAGAGAAGACGCTGCCGTCAAAAATCCAAGCCGTGTAAGTCTTGGACTAATGAATAGCCCTTCGATGAGAGTAAACACTGATAACCTGGCAAGTCAGATCAGACCTGATCTTGATCTGGAAGACAGACTGGAACAACAGCAGGAGTTATTGCAACAACAATTTGCGGAGGAGAAGATACAAATAAGACAGGTTGTCCAGGAGGAATTTACAAGAAAATTTGAAGTTGAAAAACGGAAGCACGAGGAGGTTATTAGCAGTTTTCAAAAGACAACTTTAGACTTGGAATATCAAAAAAAAGAGATAGAAGTGAAAATTAGACATGAACGGGAATCTTTGGAGTTGAAATTCGAAACCCAACGAACTGAATATGAGCGAAAGTGTCGCAAACAGATGGAAGAATATCGAGGGAAAAGAGAGGCGAAATACGAAGCGGAAATTACTCAACAGAAACAAACCTATGAAGGAATGATTGAAAAACTTAAGAAGGATATTCAATCCTTAACGTTGCAAATTGAGGAACAAAATGAAAATTTGAAGGTTGAAAAAGACAACGTTGTTGCAGCATTCGAGAAAGAAATTAAGGAATTCAAAGAAAGAGTGAGATTGGAAAACGATAAGACTGACTCAGAGATTGTAGTCAAACTGAATAGTGAAATAAGTTTATTGGTGTCTGTGAATAAAAGTCTTCGTGAGGAAATTGATATGAAGGAACGCGAGAAACAGGAATTGGAAATGTTCATGAAAGAAGAACGGAGCAGAACTGAGTTGCATTATGAAAAGCAGATTACTCAGATCGAGTCGCATTTTGAGGCGGAAAAACGGATGCTTTTGGCTCAATACGAAGAAAAAGTTGCACTTCTTTTTAAAAAGGAAACATCGCAGAAATCAATCGAGGAAATCAGCGCGATAAAAAAGGAGAATGAAACTTTGAAGGAAATTGTTGAAAATAGCTACAAAATGGAACATGAAGCATCTTTAGAGCGAGATAGAATAATGGAAAGTTTAATCGAAGAAAAAAATCTGTTGCAGGAGCAGCTGGAGGTGTTTATTGCTAAACAACAGAGTGACGAATTTTATAGCAGAGAAGACTTTGAGAAGTTAATGTTTGTTTCTCAAAATGAACTGAAGGAATCCCGAGAATTTTCAGAAAAAATTAAAAGAGAATTAAAAGACGTTCAAGAAGAAAAGAATGCGCTGGTCGCGAAAGTTGAAGGTTTATTTAGTGAAATCAGTGAATTAAAGAAAGTAAATACGAACGCAAGCGCTACAAATGATGAAAAAAATAAACTATTAAATGAAGTTTCTCATTTAAAAGAAGAGGTCGATAAACTCTCTAGAGATTTGCAGGAAAAAGGTCGAAAAGAGATTTTGTTAAAAGAAAACTTGAATAAAGTTGAAGATTGTTTGCACAATAAAGAAACTGAAAACACACAGTTGAAGCTCGAAAGAATGGAAACACAGAACAAGTTAGCAATTCTTGAAAGACAAACGAACGATCTTAACGATGATTTATCCTCAATTAGAAGACAAAAGGTGGAACTCGAGGAAGAGAATTGCAATTTAAAGAAAGAGAAATCGAGCGTTGATGGACGGTTACATGTCTTCGAGACAACTAATAATGATTTGCTCCAGGATATTCAAAAAGCTAAACAGAAAACTTCACAATTTGAAGACGAGCTTACGGCTTTGAAAGTGGAAAAACTTGAACTACAGCAGCAAATACGACTACGTAAAATGCAAGAAACCAACTTCGATGAGGTCACTCAGAGACTGAAGACACAAACTCTGAATGCAGTTAGTGATAGCGATACTAGCGGGTCACTTTTAACAAGCACTGATGAAGCAGCTGGAAGAGATCATAAAAAACGATCTAGAAGAAAATCGGGTTTGGAAAAAGAAATCTCCAAGTTGAAACGCGAGAAAGCCGAATACGAATTAAGAGTTGAACGATTGAGATTGGATGTAGAAACGTTGGAACGAGAGGCTCTAAAACAAATTGAACACAACAGGGCAGTCTCGGCAGAATTTATCTCTGCGAAGAAAGATATAGAAAAACAAATGGAGGATCTCAAAAGTGAAAAAGAGGCTTTAAAAGCTTCCATTATTAAGGTTCAACATGAAGAGGAAGGTTGGTATGCAATATTATGTTTGGGTGGACACTAAAATGGCTTTTTAAAATGACCTTTTTTCTATAATTCCAATTTTTTTCCAGGTGTCAAGAACAGTATGAATATTTTAGAACAACAAAAAAGAGAACTAGCACACGGTGTGAATTTTCTCCGTGAAGAAGAACAACGCATAAGGCATACCAGTGAAGAACAGACAGAACGAATGTCTGAGGATCTTGAAAAGAAGATTCAAGTGCTTCAACGAAGGATTTCAGAGTTAGAATCAAACAAGAGGGAATTGCAAGACGAAGTTGAGAAGTTGGAACAAAATGAAACATCGTTGCGTTGCAATATTGAGGAGTTACAACATGAAAGTCAATTGTTGTCGCAACGTATTTCACAGATGAAAGAATCCGTGTTGGATGTTGGAAGAAAAAGAGTTTCTTTAGTTGAAGATAAGGTGGCGTATTCTATATTTCAAGTATATTATACAAAATATGTGCAGTCATATTTGTATACAATTACTCAGTATAGATGCTTCGTGGATTGCCGTCAATAAGGTTTGATAGGTCAGCCCTTTGCTTTGCTGCTGAAGAAGAGTCAAAATGTATTTTTTGTTAAATTTCGTTACATGTCCGATACATGTTTGATCGTTTTAAATTGTATCTTGAAATATTTTACCTCATTCTTAAGGTGGCAGAAGAGACGTCGTCATTAGGCCTCAATGATGTAATGGATGAGATTACAAAGTTACGACGAGAGCGTGACGACTTAATCCGAAACGTGAGCGAACTGGAGCGAAAACAAACGAATCTGGACATTAGTGTCGAGAGCGCAGAGAAAAATCGCCTCGTTTGCGAGCGGGATATAAATGCTCTTTCTCGGAAACGAACAGAATTAGAATCCGTCGTTTTTACATTAAGAAATGAAAAAATAGATCTTGAGGGAAGGTCGAACGAGCTGTCGGCGACCAGTATCGAGGACGCCACGAATGCTCAGCGAAAGGAGATCGAAATTCTCCGAAATGAGCTCGAGATAACACGAGAAAGTTGTGAAGATATTCGATCCATGTATCATTCCGTTAGGAATGAGGGAAATAGCAAGGTAGTTTGTTAATAAAATATCTTTCAGACAGTTTAACAGCGTCTTCAAACAAATGCGTCTAAAATAGATGTTTCCACCTTCGTCAGAAGAGTTGAGAGTGTGGACAAACGCGCTCTTGTGACTTTCCTAACAAGGATAGTTAAAAGAGAGGATTTTGTCTATTTTAGCAATTTTCATACCACATTTGATGTGAAGTTGTTTTATTTTTATGTGAGGAAGTACAGTTTGTGGTAAAACATTTTCGTAATTGACACTCTTATTTTTCCATTTCAAGGTTGAAGTAGTTGAGACGGAGCTTCGTTTAGCAGAAGATAACTTGATGCGTTTGAAACGAGAGCGACTGGAACTAGAGAAGACCATTTCAACTTTACTACGTCAAAAGACTGAACTCGAGTCAGAAGTAGCATTGATCGTGGATTCGAAATATCGCGAGGACAGAGACACTAATGTTCTGCGCGAGGAGCGTCTTACCCTTGATACTGAGCTAGTCAGACTTCGAAGTCAAATTTCCGAACTTCGTTTAATGTTATCAAATCTCGAGGATACTAAAGCCTTTACTCAGCGTGAACTCAGGGACCTGGACGCTAGAAAAGAGCGAGTGGATAGCTACGTCTCCGGAGTGGAAGCAAAATTTCTGATTGGTCAAAAATCGCCAGTTTCCTGGAATATTAGTCCGCCAAAGGAGTATATATTGACCCCAAGAGATGACTTGGAAAAACAAGTTTTGGAACTAAGAGAACAAAAGTTGTCGTTAGAAACTGATTTATTTAAGCTGCGCAGGAAGTCTGGGGACGGAATTGATACAAGAAGCTGTGCACATGGGTATCACGAAAGCACTCTAGGGCAACCCAGGGTGAATGTAGGTTATAATGGTAAAACCGGTGATTTTGTGGGACAATATAGACACGACCAGAATCTAGGATTACAGCAGGTTAGTAGATTAATATAAACCAAGTTTAACCAACAAATTGTCTTATATACATGCATTCTTTCACAAGCCATTTCACAAGATAGTTTTCCAAACTATCAAGGCGCGTGATTTTAAGCAATCCTTAGGGAAAAATTGGCCATGCATGACCAGACCCTCCGTCATTCAATGTGAATAGGCAAAAAGACTAACTCTGCAGTTCAGGCCAATCATTTCATAAAAAATCTGCATTCTTTTGCAGGACATTCAGGGACTAGCTGAAAGAAAGTTGCAACTCTCAAGTGAAGTTCAAGAAATGCAGGTGAAGAAAACAGATTTGGACACGCAGATCACAAACTTAGAGTACCGGAAACTTGGCTTGGAGCAATCTGGAAGACTTGTGACAAGACGGGAAGCTGAGGGATTGCCAGAGCAATCTGAACGCCTTGTAACAAGATGGGAAAGCGAAGGTTTTGTAGACGAATCTGAAGGACTGGCAGCAAACCAGAGAAATGACAGTTTAGAGCGCTCAGGGAGTGTGACAACAAAGCTGGAAAATGAAAACTCTGAATTCAGGATTGCTGAAAATCTTAGTGAAGAATATTCAGTCAAGGTATACAAATGAACTCTATTTTGAAACATAAAAACCTAATCATGATGTTTCCAACTTTAGAAAGAGCCTGTTTTTTTTTGTGAGGGTGTAAAAAGGTTCCTGCTTCATTAATGACCAGTCAATCACATGTTAATCGATGTTGTATATAACTGCATGGTTGCATGTATAACCATGCACATTTTGAGTTGAATCGTATTCATCTTTTCCAATCGTTTTCCAATCCTCTCACTAAGGATATTGTACACAGTTACTTTACACGCCGTTAATCTGGCAAATCGATTGCATTAAAAATAAGGCGACCGCTCTGTAAAGGAGAATGACTTTAAAGCAATTCAAAGAAAGCCACATGACATGCACGTTACGATACGTTAAAGGAAAACATACTCTGAATTCTAACATGTTATTTTCAGATGGACTTTGTCAACTATAGTGTTGAGCAAATGCAAGAACTAAGGCAGAAAAACACAAGTCTGGAAGAAAAACTGAGTGCATTGGAAAATCGTTTACATGACGCCAAATATGATATGGAACAACAGACACTAGAATATTTAAAAGAATTGAAATTGGTGCAAAATGCGGTAAGTTGATAAATTTAGCTACTGCATTGATTTTCGTTGAGCGAGATGAAGTACAAACCAAAGTCGCTAACATAGAGAACTTGTGTCAGTTGTAGTTGAGTTTATATTTCCATTTATATCATAGCTTGTCTCCCAGCAACAAAGCGAGTCAGGACAGCAACAACATCTTGGAGTCATTGTTGAACGATTAAACAATTTTATTGAAGAATCGCAATTTGCAGAGACCGACCAACTTTATGAGGATATTAGAATGGAAATTAGAGATCTTAATAGCAAGGTAAATTTCTAAAGAAGAAACAAATGCTTAATTAATGTTCTAGTTTTGCCCGGCAAAATGTTTGGACTCTGTGATTATTGAAGTTAATGTGTCAAGTATATTTTAGGTGGAATCAAACAGTCATAAAATGAGAGCAATGCAAGAAAAGAATTTGAAAACGGATGAAAATTCGCTAGAATTCAGGGAAGGCACATGTTCTGTGGATGAAATATGCGGGCATGTGAGTATATTCTTCTGCTAGTCATACACCACGGCATGCAGCTCTGGGTTAACGATTGTTTTCAAAGGAAAATCTGTGTAATCCAAGTGCGTACGCGGTTGTAAACCTATGGGTTGGTTATTTCCAACGACATGGGCCTGTCTTCAAGTCAGGGTCTTGAGCTGCCGAACCTACAACTACGAGTCTACAATAATCCACCCCTGACCCGTCCTTACTCAAATTTTGTTTTTAGATTCAAGATGCTGAATGGAACATGGAACGTTATAATGAAGTAGTTTCTCATTTACAACAAGAAAATACAGACCTAACTGAAGTTGTTGAAAGGTTGGAAAAACGACTTACTTTGGCAGGGAAATCTCATGAAATATTAAAAAGAAAGAAAGTGATCTTACAGCAACTTTTAGAAACGGTCAGTGTTAAAACTGGCGAGGATCTTATACAACAATCAAAATTGATTTTTGAGCTTGATAAAGATACGGCGATATAGAGATGACAAAAAGTACTGTCTATATTGTTGGTTCGCAAATCATAAAATGTATTTTCCACTATATGTCTATATCAAATTGGGGGAATAGAAAAACATGGTAAAACATACACGAGTGTTAACACACAACGCTGCCATCCGCGAGCTGTCAAGAATAATAATCTTTCTAATCGCTGGAAGGAAGAAGATTCGTGAACAGAAGGTTTGAACAAAGAAAGAACCCGGGCGTCTTTAGTGAAAGAGTTTAGTATATATTCATGGGCTAAATATTTTTAATATAATGCATTTAAAATGCAATGCAATGCAATGATTAGAATACTGTAGCTAAGTTGATAATTTTAGTTATTCTCGCACGGATATATATATATATACACGTTTTGTAACGACTACATTATTCAATAATAATAATGTACATAATTGGTTTTCAAAACTTTTTCATATCAATATTACCCATTTTTTTAAAATTTTTCTTATCCATATCACTAATGACGCACAAGAAGCCATTAATTGTTTAAAGTCATTTTGATTCCTACAGTCAAAACACGCGTAAAGTTATACATTTTGATTGAATTGTATTCATTTGTTACAAACTCACACCAGTTATTTGTCCCAAAATCTAACACTTAATTTGATCACCAACAACCCAACGGTGATTGGCCAATCTGCGGCGCATGCGCACAACTTTTGAATCCAACAACGCAGCCTCGCTTTTATCACGTGCATCAGCATCCAGTCGGAGTTTAGTTAACTTAAGTAAACCAAGATTCCTTCCTGTTGCATTCAGGGAATCAAGGAGACCATCGTTACCCGAAACAATATCTCTCGCTTCAGGCAGCTGGTTGCCAGGGTGACGTTGGAAAACACCTACCATAGGGCGGTCAAGCTTCTCACGAGTTGTAAGGTCTGAGTATGTAACTGGGCCCTACAGAAAGAAAATATAATGAAATATTTTTTTACTGATAAAATATTTTTAACTAGCACAGGATGGTATAATAAGTCAACAGTTTGTATTGTATGATATTTGTTTATATGGCCACTTACCAAAGCATAACCCATTGATAGTCCAGTTGAATCATACCACCTTTGACCTCTATTAATTGCCATCTTAGCCTGGCCTGAACTTACTTGTAAATGTTGCTGGAAGAACATAATTATTATTGTTAGGCAGAGAATTAAGATCTAGAATGACAATTCTAGGTAGAAATTCAGATGGAATAAATAGAAATTGAGGATGATAGACAGGGAAAATGAGAAAGTGATGAAAAATACTTAAATAATCAAATATTTTACTTTAATATTAACTGTTTCAGCCACTTTCTGTGTCAGACCATGGTTGACAGAAAAATGTGTAGAGTTTTGCAATTGATTTGCATCCTGTATAGCTTCATTAACAGATTTTCGCAGCACAGCTGATGACTCTCGAGCTTGCAAAGCATTTGTGATTGAATTAGCTGCTTCAGGGGTGTAAGGTCCCAAAGGTTCCACAGGTGGTGTCTGGGGTTTTTCAAGGAGTTTATCCCTGCTGCGGTGTGGTGATCCTTTTACGGAACTGACAGCTTGGCATATTAGGTCTGTTGCTTGAGATCTCTCTTGCAGGACAGCTGAAAGTCGTTTGCGACAACTGTCAAGGTGATGCAGTTGCCTCTGGACTGCTCGCAGTTGGTTTTCAAGAGTGCGCTTAAGTGTAAGAAGATGCTGGCGCTCACTTGTAAGTAAATTATCAGCACCATCTTGTAGCTGTAAAGACAAGATAATTTGTTACAAAAGAGAGAGAGAGATGATTGGTGGTAATGATCAAACTTGGATTAGGAAAAGAAAGAATAAATGAGAAATTTTTGCATTGTGGAGTAAATCAAGTAGAATTTCTATGTAAACGTTGAACGGGGTAAATTAAAGCTGGACAATATGTTAAATTATGCAAATTATTCACGTGTCATAGCATGTAGTACAAATTTAATTTTCATTTTATGGCATAAACTGTACTTAGTGAGATAAATGTAATAATGTTAAAATTGTACTGAATTGTTTTACAATTAATTTTTAATAAGGTTATACTCGCGGCCATTGAGCAAAATCAGCATAATATGAAGAATGAAGAATATTAGAATGTCGTCTTGACAACGGCGCGCGTGTATTATATACCAGCTTGCCATATCTTGCTATAAACTCATAAACATCCCAAAAAGTCATGTATTCTCTAAGACACGGTGTAAAAGTTTATAATACAATCTCTCTTGCGCGTAGTATGCGACAAAATCATTTAAGTAATAACTTGTTAATCATTTCTCTGTTTGCTATATAGGCAATTTTAGGCTAATATTTCGACAGTTATAACATGAATGTTAAAACGGGAAAAATTAAAACTTAAATTATAACGATGATCCATAAAGTTTAGCGCGATACACCAACGTACCCTTTCTCTGGGCGGACGCGTCGCCCGAACTTGACACGATCTTTGGTTCAGCGACAAGTCTTTTCTGATGTGCTCCAGTGCACGTTCTAAACTTTCCTTACATCTTGTAAGCGATTTTATTTCTTTATTGGTTTCAAGAAAACTCTCACGCAACTTAACAACAACGGCTCTGGTTGCTCTGACATAAGCGTGAATTCTTGCATTGCTTTCTTGTATACAGTTGTCTCGTAAACTAGGCAACGGATCAAGATTCTTGCCCAACTCACAGGCATGTTCACTTCGATCCATCACAGCTTTGCTTAACTGGAGATTTTTAACGCTGGCTTTCTTCCAAGGATCTGAACCGATCGTTGCTCGTGTGACTTCCATATTAAAGTCCCAAATAATTTCTTATCTTTTCTTCACCTTTTCCGCTGAATGACTAAACAATAAACACTAACCAAATGCTTGCCGGGCGTCGCTTTTTATTGATGGAATGTTGATATAAAGTTGGTTGTCGTTGTTGCTATGGTTACTACTACGCCACATGTCACAAATTTAATATTCTGGCGTCATAGGGGGAGGAAGCTATGAAGTGCTCGAGTGTACGCGAAAAGATGGACAAGTTTTCCTTGACAAGGAGCCTTGCTCAAAAGCTAGTCATGCCAGCTTTTCAACAAGGAAAAATGCTCGTGTGTATGGCCGTCAAGGAAAACTTGACCAGTAGGGAACTGCGCTACAATATCTTCGAGCTTTATAGTCTTGTCATTTTCCTTTGTTTTCAGAGATTCGTTTGTATTCTTATTTAATATTTACCATGGCTCATATTATCGTAAAATATACTCATATTGTCGTAAAACTTGTCAAGAAAAATTTGTCAATTTTCAGTTCGCGTACACATGAGCACAAGAGCTTGCTCGCAGCGAATAATGGGTATTGTTCTATTAATCATGTGTAGTTTGCATTTGTGACTGAAATATAACATGTTTGCATGCCGTGGGTGAAACTAAAATATAGTTAATCAAACTGTTTAGGACTTTGTCCTAATTTTTTCCCAAGAAATGCTGAAACTTTCCCGGTTGGCGCAATGCATGAACATGCGTTTTTCTGTCACGGTTGTCGCATATATCGCCGTGAATACTCGTCCGTCACCGCCTTATGTTAGTTTTGTACAGGGAAAGATCGGTATATTGGTATATATACTGTACGCTAAACTTGACATGTGCTGAGTTATTTCAGGGTTTTCAGCCTATCGTCAGGGCCGCCGAGAGAAATTGTGGTACCCAGGGCAAAAGGCGTATTTGAGTATGGTCGAGTCCGGCATATAACTAAGCACAAAATTAACAAAACATTTTAGTAAACTAAGCCGTTCAGTCGTTTATATTGAGTTTCCTTACGAGAAAATGACTATTTTGACGTTAAAAACCAGCAAGGATTGTTTCAAAACACTAAAATTTCTAAAATAATATCAAAACACTAAAATTTCTCGCTAAAATCACTTAAAAAACGTTTAGGCGTTTAAATCTTGACATTTCCAAGCGTGTTTATTATTAGTTGTTTTTTAAGCATATACTTGCTAGGGGCCGCCTCCTGAGACCAGGAAAAGCTTAAATACGTTAAATTTATCTTCGCTCTCAAGGCTTGCCACTGTAGCTGATTCGTCTATGACGCGCTAGGCGTGTGGCATACAGCCCACTCTGTTTCTCACTGAGACGTAACGGCTAGGTGCACATACATCATGGTCTTAGGGGCCGTAGTGCATCTCCCCCTTAGACGGCCGTTAAGATGTGAGTTATGGGGGGGAGTTCTTCCTATAGCAACCGCCTTGCACCTTTCGTAGTTGTAATCTATGCTGGTATATTGCAGCTGGTTGTATCACCAAGTTAGATTGTGGCATAGAGCTGGATGATCTCTTTTGGGTGTTTTTACGTTCTTTCCTTTCCGTTTGCTTTTTTGGCGTGCTTTCCAAATTTTTCTTTTACATACAAAAAAAATACTGCTATTAAACATGTATGGACCGGATATGGTTCGAAAAAAAATTATATCGACTAAAAACCACCTTAATTAACCCTGAATACTCTCCCCAGTCTCTGCATGGCTGAATCTCTGAAATAAACAATAGCAGAGATCATTCATAAACATCAAACATTTATCATCAGCATTTTCATCAACATTACAGCAGTAAAACAGCAAAAAAGACATTCAGACAGTTAACTCTGCATTCTCGTTAGTGCCTTCTCGTTAGTGCCTATACGCCGTTTTTCCGGCATTTTTGGTCGAGTCCGCCGGAAAACGGCGTATTCGACCATGGTCGAGTCCGCCGGAGAACGGCGAATTCGACCATGGTCGAGTCCGTCGGGAAATGGCGAATTCGACCATGGTCGAGTCCGCCGAAAAATGGTATATTCGACCATGGTCGAGTCCGCCAGAAAATGGCGTATTCGACCATGGTCGAGTCCGCCGGGAAATGGCGAATACGACCATGGTCGAGTCCGGTCAATAGTCCGGTCAGTCCGCCGGATAATGGCTATTTTGGCCGCGTATAAGTTGGAGGCCTGGTAAGGAGGTGCTCTGCCATATCTGAATTCTGAAATAGCCTTCACCACCAGACAACCACCAGTCCACCAGACATGTCTGGTAAATATTTACCTTGGTAAATATTTTGCGCGAAACACGGTCTACAAATAATTTTAGATTGTGGTTTAGAATTTATTGTTGACAAGATGTCGCAGATTGAGAAACTCCAAATTCAAGGAATTCGAAGTTATAAAGAGCCAGCGGTCATTGAATTTTTCACTCCTCTTACATTGATTGTTGGTACAAATGGCGCTGGAAAAACAGTGTGTATTTTTTATATGCCCGTTTTAATGCTGTAATTTATATGCATTACAAAGTACTATTAAAATTTACCTTAAATTTTAATTGCAGACAATAATTGAAGCATTAAATTACATTACAACTGGTGACATGCCACCAAACAGTAAGGGAGCTGCATTTGTTTTTGATCCAAAGGTGAGCCTTCCTAGGTTGGCATTGGCAGGACAAATGATCAAACACACTTGCATATTTCTGCATGCATAAGTTAATTATGCAATTAGCCAGAGTCAGTGGTAAAACATTTGTCCTCTCCTGAGAAAATGAAGTGAACTATTTTTATGCTGTCAATAATGCAAAAAAATCTGTATGTGATCTTGCCGATCGAAATTATTTATCAATAATGCCACAAAATCCTGCACAGAATGTTTAGCACAAACCACAAGTCTCAAGTCACATTTCCATCTAGGTTCTTTCTGCCCATTCCCCCAAATCCTTGCAACACCTCTGTGCAATCCTGCACAGAAAACAGTTTGGTGTTTTATTATTCCTGCAATATTTCCTTCCTATTATAGGTTGCTGGTTCACAAGAGGTTAAGGGTCAAGTAAAGCTAATGCTGAAGGACATGAGTGGCCATCGAATTATTGCTACAAGATCTTTAGTGTCAACTCAGAAGGTAAATTGCTTGCATTAGCTGAGGAATAAACATGATGAAAGTTGCATGATATACCATTTCATGGTGAGAAAGTACTTGTAAATGAGTAAAAAACTGGTATGGTTTTTTCCACTAGTTTCACAAGTTATATGCTGTCAATCAGCCCAAATATGACAATTACTTTAGTATTGTGCTATGTAATGTTTTACTTAGTACTGTACACATTGGGGAAAGTTTAGTTATTGATTAAAATATCTTACTGTATATTTGCCCTGTCTGAATAGTTAGTTTCATCACTATCTGATTTTTTTGCAGGCAAAAAAAGTTGAATGTAAGTCACTTGAGAATGTAATAAAACGGAACATCAATCAAGAGGTATATATACATATGATGTTTGCTGATACAAAGTAATATGGGTACAAAGAGAAGCCTATTTGGATCAAACCTTTGATCTTCTAAGAAACATTTTTCTATATTTTAGTGGCACCAAATTAGCTCAAAATGTGCTGATATAAACAAAGAAGTATGCTATAAACAATGCTGTGTTCTTTTGCTTTTCAATACAGTTAAAATAAATTGTGAACATTAATCTTAATTTATCCACTTTTCAGATGGTCACTTGCCTGGGTGTATCAAAAGCAGTTTTGGATTGTGTAATATTTTGTCACCAAGAAGACTCGTTGTGGTACGTATAACTGAAAATCATATTGTACATGCATGCATTGCAATCAGAAGAATTTATTTGTATTTAATGATCAGGCAATTATAATTATGAAGTTTCATCAAGTTTCCTCAAATTATAATTCATCAAAGTCCAATACCTTGTCACAAGGCATATTATTCTTTAATTGGGGATACATTTTATATATTATGTATATTTATTATATATATTTATTTTCTTAGGCCACTTAGTGAAGGAAAGGTTTTAAAAACAAAGTTTGACGATATTTTTGCAGCGACAAGGTAATACTTTTATTGCTCTTTATAGATGTCATAAAGAGTAAAACATTTTGTATAAAGGGTCTTTAATTTAATTTCCAGATACATAAAAGCTCTTGAAGCTATAAGAAAGTTGCGTAAAGAGCAGGTGACAGAAGTTAAAAAATTTAAAACAGAACTGGATTATTTGAAGGCAAACAAAGACAAAGCAGACGAGGTTTGGGTATATTTTGATAATAACTAAATATTCATAACTGTTTCTGTTTTGAATATTCTTTGCACATCGTTGTTTTCTCAGATTGCTGAAAGTATGGAAAAATCGTCAGAGCAGCTTGAGAACGCACAACAAAAAGTTGATGAATTGAATAATTCCATCACACCTGTTGAAGTTAGTTTTGCTAAAGCCTAAGCACTGAATTTATAAATCCAAGGACACGCATTTACACTGTATTTATTAGTTAAAACTTCTCTACGGTGAGATTCAGGTATTACAGGGAAAATTCATGAATAACAAGGAAATTCTCGACTTGAATTTGGACACGTATTTTTAGACCCGTTTACGAGATCTTTCAAAAGTTCAGAAAACGCTGAATGAGTTCGAGCGAAAATTAGGTATAGTTGAATTAAAGCATTATTCTTGGCAGTGTTTTGGCAAAAATGTGTAGTGATTCTATATCATTATTCTATCACTATCTCGTTGTTTTCTTTAGATATTCTACTTTCTCGCAAGAAATCATTGGTTGAAATGAATAAAGATATCGCTGGAAAAATAACTAATTTTTTTCAAGGTGTAGTGCTTAACACTAGTCAAAGAACGAGAGGGTTAGCGAGGCTTTAAATGGGAATTTATCGTGGTTAAACAAGGACGATAAATAGCTATAGTTCATAGGAGTCAACGTGATGAAATGAAGAAAATTTGAACGCGCTGGAAGATATCACGAGAATTTTCTACTGTATATTTCATTACCGTTTCAACATAGTACACTATACGAAATTTTGTACAAAATTATATCAATTAAATTAAGAGACCGGTTGTTTGTATAAAACTCTTTAACCACATTTTGCATAGTTAAATCCAGTTAACTCAGCATTAATTACTTTATTTATTACTATTAGGGTCAAAACAAGATCTTGAAACGTTTGCCAGGGAGTTTGAAAGTAAAGTAAAAAACAAAGAAACACAATTGATTGAGGTATATTGCATTATAAACGTTCGCAATGGCTTTTCTTGGGACATTTCATGGTTTGTAATGCTTTGCGTTTTATGCTTTCAGGTGGAAGATAATGTTCGTTTGAAAGATCGTAATTACTCTGAACTTTCTTCAGAAAAGAACTCGATTTTAGTGAACCATGGCAAACTACAACAAGAAGCGGCGGTGAGAAAATACTCGCTTTATTCCACACTCTTCACACGCGGTTTATTTTTTTGTATATTTTATAGCGCCCCATTGTTATAGGTATAAATCATTTTTAGTTTTGGTAGGTATTTATGTTTACTTTTAGAGGCACGAGTCAAATATAAAGCAGAGAGACGCGATGATCGTGAGGCAATCAGACACATTTCAATTCGAAGGTGAGTTATCAAAACAGCTTGAGATTGGGATTTAGATGATCCTCAGATTCACAAACACCGCAAGTTAATGAAAATTCAACTATTTCTAAAACAGGATTTGACTCACCGCCATTCTCATCTGAAAAAGTGACGCAGTTCAAGGAAGCTACGAAAATCATGTACCAGAAAATGATACAAGATGGCAAAGACTCGAAGGTTTGGTGAGAAAAGAAGAGTTACTGCATCAATAAATACAACAATATTTATATATTTGTAACCTTCATATAGCAAGCTTATCAGAAACGTATCGGCACAGTTCAGAGCACAATAGATGACATCAAGAAAACGCTTTATCAATACGAGGAAACCATTAGAATTAAAACGAATTTATTGGTAAGTAAACGAGTAATGTTAGTTCTTGTAGACAGAGAAATCGAATTACCAGCAACTGGGCTTGCCACTCGTCTTACATCCGAATTAAAAACAATAAATACAGTATTTCAATAGTACCGTAGCTAATTGCTGTTTAGTCTTTATAAGACTCGCTTTTAACACAGCAAAAGCATTGTTTAATTTGTAAGTGTTTTGTACTAGAGCGAAAACCAAAGAAAGTTAAAACAGGTTGGAAAAGACTTGAGCAATGTTGATGCTTCAGCGAAGAAACTTCAAAGAACTGAAAAGGAGTTAAATGCTGCGGTATACTTGAGAATATTGCTCGTCTTTCCCTTCACTTTCACAGTTCAATCTCATTCTTATTTTTTTTCTACAGGAGAAAGACTTGGAGGACACAAAGGCCAGCGGTAACGTCCTTCAATGGAAAACAGAACTCGAGAAATCACAGAAAGAAAAACGTCAATTTGAAACAGAACTGAGTCGACTTCGAGAAGAGCAACAAACAATGCACTTGAACTCAACAACCCAGGCTAAACTAGATATGTTTAGGAAACAGAAAGAAGCCAAAGAAGACGCAATTCAAAAAGTGTAAGGCTTGCATTTTAGAAAGCATAGCTTGTGTGTCCTTTGCAAACGTCTACATAAAACTCTTGTTATTAACAGCATTGACAAACACGAGGAAGAACTAAGAACAATGTTTGGCTCATGTGGACCAACAGATACACTCAAGCCAAGGGTTTCAAGTTTTCTTAAAGAAAAGCGAACCGAAGTCAAGAATACAACTATCAATATTCAGAAATTAAAACAGCAACAATCTTCCAAACAAGCAGAACAAAGAATGACTTTGTAGGTTATGAACTACTGTTTGCTAAATTCATCTAGAATTCTCTCAATTTGAAACCTTTTTGCTAAAATATTCTTCTCTAAGTTATTATCAGACCAAATGTAGCTACTGGATAATGTTATTTTAAAAGTTCTAATCGGTTCTCTTCTTTCCTAATAATATATAAACCCGAGTTTTTCAGTTTTATTACTTTATATCCCAGAGATGAAATTGAAAAGTTGGAAAATGTTATTGCTGGATACGAGAAAAAACTGCAGGAAACTTGTGGCGATGAAGAATATGATACTTTGAAAGAAAATCTTTACAACGGCATTGAGCAAGCAAAAAGGTTTGTACAGAATTCAAGATAAATCATATAACATTAGCCATCTTCTGAAGGTTGGACAAACCAAAGTTGTAAAAAGTAGAGAGCTATGGAGCGACGCTACTTTAAAGTCCAAGAGGCTAACTCTAAACCCATAATATACACTCAAGTTATTAAAAACCGCCTTAGGAAGGTAGTTACCAAGGTCTATTTGAAGAGCAGCTTGCGAATGAAATCTACAAGCATTTGGCAAACGATGAAACAAATGAATGCATGGGTTAATTACATGTTGTTTATCTGTTGTTTTATTTCTTTGTATAGTAAGTGCAGTCAGCTGTCGGCATTCGAAACTATCTTTAAGAAATATATTACAACGATGGAAGAAAAGAAAAAGGAACCATGTTGTCCTTTGTGCCACAGACAGTTCGATACTTTGAAGGACATGCAAAAACTTGTGAATGAGGTAGGAATACTGGATGGATAGCTCTGTCAGTTCTAAATTGTTCTTCCTAGAAGTCCAGTAAGGATAATCTCTTGTTATTGCAGTGTTACTACAGGAGGAAACCTAAACTAAACTAACTTTATTTATACTGGATAGCTCTATCAGTTCTAAACTGTTCTTCCTAGAGGTTCAGTAAGGATAATCTCTTATTGATCCAGTGTTACTACAGGAGGAAACCTAAACTAAACTAACTTTATTTATACTGGATAGCTCTATCAGTTCTAAACTGTTCTTCCTAGAGGTTCAGTAAGGATCATCTCTTATTGACCCATGCAGTGTTACTACCAGACGTCATGAAAAGATTGTAGAAATGGCATACGTATATATACGATACATGTCCTTCATTTAGCTAAAAGATAAAATTCACAGAGTGCCGGAGAAAATGGCCGCGCAACAAAATAGCCTAGAACGAGATGAGAAAATGTACGAGCAGTTGCAGAAATTACGTTCTGTTAAAGACAATGTGAGTGGTTTTCTGCGTTTAAATATGGATTTGAGATTTCAGTGATTAAGAAACGCATCAGGTTTATTTTTAACATCCTTTCTAGCTTGAGGAATATAAGAATACAAAGTTGCCCTCAGCTAAAGAAAAATTGTCTGAAGTATCTCAACAATGCGAAGAGCTTCAAAATAAAATCGAAGAGGTGATGTATCGTCATCAGAGAGGAAGGGGTTGAAAGACACATTAATTCGGGAGTATGGCAGGGATATGGTATACCATGCATCAACAGCATGATTGCATTTGATAATGTTTCCCTGTGTTTCTATTCTCTAAGTCTTCTATCCCTTATCACTGAGAGATGCCGTTTTTGCTGGTGGTTTTTATCAAATACATGCATTGGGGCACTTATGAATCACGTTGTACATTTCAGTTGGAAGACGTTCGTGCTGTGATTGAGAGTGAAGAAAGCAGTGCGGGGATGATTGAACCTGATCTCGTGATGTTGGAAGAAAATCAGAAATCTTTGAAGTCGCTTGATAAAGAAATCAGCTTGCTTCAAGCGAAAGTACAAGGCGTGGGTGAGTATCTTATCGACAAAAAAATTAGATGAATGAATAAAAGACGGATCTTCTCTATGTACATCAACAATTTACAACAATACGGCGATGAGAACTTCAATTTATATTATAGTCAAATAGCGCTTACCTAAACTTGATAAAACTTGCCTAAATTTTTTGAAAATTTTCAGCTCCAGGACGCAGTATGCAACTGGTGACGAATGAAATATCAGACTGTCAAGATCGAGTGTGAGTGAACACAGACTTGCGTCTTTAAACGAACATATTATTTGCACTAAACCCGGGAATCTGAGGTGGCATTGTAAACAACTCCTCATTCATTATAGGGATGGATTAAATCGCGTTATTGACAGGAAAAGAAACCAAATTTCACAACAGGAGAGTCGTATTGCTACATTAACAAGCAACGTTCATGAATTAAACTCTGAAAAGGTGTGTCAATTTGAGTCTAAAATGAGCAGCAAAGGATCATAACACTGTCTGCATGTACACTACACCTGGTGCTTCAAACAGACGCAAACCACGGCATTGAAGATACTATACCTTCACTGGACCACCGTAGTCGTGAAATTTTTCTTTATCAACTTTCAACATGAAACACGACAGCTTATATTCTGAAAAAATTCGATATTCCCAGCTCGCTTTTTACATATATCGTATTATTAAATTATTTTCTAGTTACGTTTAAGTGGTGAACTGCAGCGAAGATCTCATCTTGAAGAACAAAAGGCTGAACTAACGGCTGTGAATATGGAAAATGAGAGGGAAATAAAGGTAAACTATAGTACAATCATGGATATCTTTTTTTCTGCGACTTTTCCTCGTTGTAACATACATTGTACATATCTATCCTTACTTTCCAGGAAGCGAAAAGACAACTGGAACCAGTGAGGGTAAATGGGGATCATTGGGTCGTATTTTACTAGAGAATTTGGCAATTCAGAATTCTACATTTTCCATCAAACGTTTACTCCCTAGGAAAGATTAGATGAACATGAAAATCAATACAAGTCTCTGTCCAACGAGCAACAAGAACAAGTTGAAAAAACTAACGCGAAGGTACATACCACCAAAAAAGTATCGTTTCATGTTCATTATCATTATAAAAGATGCAATATATACCCATCGTAATGTTTCTTTATTAGCTGAATGAGATAAAGAGTTATTCCCTTAAATTTAAAGATAAAATGGACGAGATTCGAGCGTAAGTTATGTCACATATTTTTAATTGTGGTATTTATACGTCTTTAATGTGATTGAGAGTCTCTGGAGGTCTCGAGCGAGCATACAGTATTTAAGAGATCAGAGTGCAATTGAGGTTTTCATATTGGAGGAATCAAACTTGATCATTGAGGTTAAAATTGTACACACCCGGTCGTATATAACACTGAATGCTTGACGTACGCAGATCTATATTGAAGTATTTTTTCGCACTAATTCAGATACATCGATGAAAATCGAGCGAGTGAGTTGGATAATGTTGAAGGAGAACTGAAGTCAATTGAAGAGAAAATTCAGATATTTAATGAAGAGAGGAAGAAATTAATTTCGCGATTAGATATACTAAAAGATGACTTATCAAAGCGAAAGGTCCAAAAATAAATTAAAATCATTTTATTGTACAATATGATTTTATCAGATGTAGAGGTTCAAGGGTCGTAATTTCGAGTGGAATTATACACTTCAAATTCAAGCCAGGAACAGTTGATGGAAAAATGAGTCAACTATCGGTCCTTGGGCAGGAATCCAACCTACGCTATTGCGATGCCGGTGCAATGCTCTTGCCACTGAGCTACAGAGGTAGCTGACAAGAGCAAGCGTGGTCCACTTTTGGTTGAAGGACTGTTGCTGGCTTGAATTTGAAATGTGTATAATTCCACTCGAAATTCACACCCTTTCAGCTTCTAGAATTTACCTGCATCGAGTGAAGTACCAAAAATCATAACTGATTTATCAGATGTAATTTGTTTTTTCCTGGTCAAAAAAGTGATGATCTATTCTTATCATTGAGAGGAACTTGCTTGGACGATATTAGTCTTGGATATCTTACACTTTTTCTTGAATTATCTCCCTAATTTTAGGTTCGCAGTCGAGAACTTCAGGATAACATGAAATTTGTTGAAAACGAGGAAAACGTGTCAAAATTAGAGGATGAAATAAATACAATAAGATCAGAACAGGAAAGAGTCGGGGATATTAACAAATTACAAAGGTTTATCAATAACTTATCCTCTATGTAAAAGTTAAAAGTTCATATTCTTGTAGTTTTGCTTTGCAAATTCATAATATTAACCGATTGTTGAGGAGAATTTGTAGGAACACCACACGTAGGTTTTCCGGTGTAGGGGACCGAAAGCCCGGTAGATAACAATAAGACGAGTTGTTCCTACGAACGGTTGATTAATGTTAAAAAGGTTAAACTAGCTGATAACACTTGGTTCATTTGGTTTAGAGAGCAAAATAATTTGTCGAGAAGATTGGAAGAATATCGCAAACAGGTTGTGTATACATTACAGTGTCGTGAATGTGATCTTTGTGTGATGATTACGTTCATTAATTAAACCAGAGTATTGATAATTGCGATGGATTATATACCTGGTTGCCGTGAACTTATTAATTTCAATTCATTACAGTGTATTAAATGACCAATCCAATCCGTACACCTCTGATACTTCAACTGCATGTCTATTTTAGAAAGCGACGTGCGAAGGAATGCAAACTGGTCTTGAAAGAGAAATTACAAGATTTCAGAAAGAACTGCAAGACCCGATGTTCAAAGATGCTGACAGTAAACATCGTAACAAACTCATCGAGATTAAGGTTGTATTGACGATTCCATGCATTTGCAAGTTGTGGTGACTGGATTGTACTTGTTAGGAAGGTTATATATTTATCGTTGTAACATCCCTTATTTCAGACCACAGAAATGGCAAATGATGATTTGGATAAGTACTACAAGGCTTTAGACAGGTTTGTTAAACCAGTTAAACCAATAAAACTACACTCAATGGAGTAGTTACGTCCGCTAAAAGTTGATAGTGCACCTTTCCTGTCTCACATGAAATGACATTTGCTCATTGATGTACAATATAAAGCGAACAGTATACTTTGGTTTTATGTGTTGTATTAAGGGCTATCATGAAGTTTCATAGCATTAAAATGGCAGAAATCAACAAGATTGTCAAAGAATATTGGATCAATACTTACAAAGGCAACGGTAATTATATTTATCTTCAACAAAATAATCAAATGAAAAGTTGTAAATAACAAATGACTTTGACATTTTTTAACACAATATATTTTGTAGACATTGATACAATTGAAATTCGTTCTGATGAAGATCCTGAAACTTCTTCAATAGCAGCTCGCAGAAGTTACAACTATAAGGTGAGCCTAAGAGTTCCAGTTTGTAAGCTTCTGTTTATACGAAAGTCTGAGTTTTAGTAAACCAGTGTTTGTATCGCAGATTGTTTTGGATGGGATCAAACATCAAACCCTTCTCCCAACTTTAAAACTTTCGAAGTAACCAAAGATAATATTTCAGGTCGTAATGTTAAAAGATGGCGTAGCATTAGACATGCGTGGTCGCTGTAGTGCTGGTCAAAAAGTTTTGGCGTCATTAATCATAAGACTGGCACTAGCTGAATCATTTTGTCTCAATTGTGGAATTTTGACTCTTGATGAACCAACGACGAATTTAGATGACGAAAATATTGAAAGTCTTGCAAGCCAGCTCAGTAGGTGAGGGTGATTGCCTTTTGTTAATTTTACATTTTATCAATCCATAGGAAATATTATGGTGCTCCAATCCAACCGAAATTATACCCCGACTTCCTCTGGGATCTCCACGCCCATCCCAGGCAACCAGTGTTTACTCCCATCCCTGAGAGCCAGTTTCTGAGATCTCCACGCCTATCCCAGGCAACCAGTGTCCACTCTCACCAATCTCTAGGATCTCCACGCCCATCCCAGGCAATCAGTGTCCACTCCCATCCCTGAGAGCCAGTTTCTGGGATCTCCACGCCCTTCCCAGGCAGTCAGTCTCCACGGCCATCCCAGGCAGCCAGTGTCCACGGCCATCCCAGGCAGCCAGTCTCACGCCTATCCCAGGCAGTCAGTCTCCACGCCCATAAATAACCTACACTTTATTAATTTCTTTTAGTATCGTAAGTACTCGAAACCCTCAGAAAAATTTTCAGTTGGTTGTGATCACCCATGACGAACACTTCGTTGATTTGCTGAGTCAAGGAGATTTCGTCGAATATTATTATCGCGTTGCCAAAGACGAGGGGTAAGAATCAGGCTCAATAATGTTTGAAATTATTGCAAGGAAAAGTAATGCTATATACCCCAAACAGTATATGGTAACATTCAGTATATGGTAGTCTTGCATCAAGTAAAAGTTCAACGTCGAACAGCGTTGAAATGTTTCAACTCTTCTGCACTTTGTTTATTTCTATAGTGGTATATCGAGAATCTACAAGCAGAGCACCTCAGGCGTTCAAGAAAGTTCTTAGTTTTTTAAAAATATTTATTAGGTTTGTTTGACATTTTGTTTGAAAGACACTTTATTAATCCAAGAATGGAAAATATCACAGTCACAGACTGTAAATGACAAACACAGGTTAAGGTTACATAGTCAAACATTCTCTTCATGCAGCACATGCAATTACCTGAGAATTTAAACTATACTTACAAAGTAGTTGCGTTTAGTGGATTGGTTTTCTACAGGAAAATACAAACTAAAGCTCCCTGACAAATTTTTACACGGGTTAAATCTGTTGTTTTTCCCGAGAACGGAACATCTCTGCGGAAAACCCTAACTGAAATGATGACAAGGCAATAATCACCTATAATTAGAAATTAGAATTTATGATGTCACAAATTTTAAATTTCGCGTGCGTTGCGCCAATCAAATGGCAGCATTTGACCACCTGACTTCGCAATGCGACGAAATACTCATATTAATATTTTTCTCCCTGGATGGAAAGTCAGTCATAAGACTTTCACAGACTTGTCGGAAGCTATACAGGATCTGCACATACGATCAACAACTTTGGTCTCGTATGTGTCTAATGGATTTTGCAGTTGGTTTGGTCTCGCCTCATCCCTTCACATGCTTTCGCCATCTTTATAAATGCATTTTTCAATCGCGAGAAATTCTTCGATTTTACCTGTCTGACGCGTATCAAGATTGTAGCAGTAACAGGTAATTATTTTTATTTATGACTGTGTATTAAATACAGTTGTTATTTGCACTAATAATAGTTCTAAAAGCTAATAATTAACATTTTCCATCAGATACGGAGTGTTTCCAAGCTGGCTTTGGACTTGGGTAGTTTTCAACACGAACCCACCGCTCCTACCAGAATGGATCAGAAACTATCACGAACCTTTTCTGCGATACAAACTTGGTGAAATCTCATTAGGAAAGACGTTACGTGTATGGTGTTTGAAATCCAGCGACCTCCCCGAACACATCGTAACTAGAGTGGAGTACGGCACATCGTATTACCGATGGAGAGATATTCAAGTAGCAGCCATGAGAGCCCATGGCGGACCGAGAGGTCTGGAGAGTTTCATGCTGAAGCGATGTTGGCGTGCTCGCGGGTATGTGGAGAGGGCGTTTGACCGTATCCAGAATGGCACATATACGATACATAATCAAAACAAGTGTGGTGGAGAAAGTTCTGAGCAAAGGGACCCTCATTCTATGCAAATCACTCAGTTTTTCGCGCAAATTGCAAATGCTTCAAGGCAAGTTGCGAATGGATCGGGTGCTGTTTTGAACGCTTCTAGAAACGTTGGGCATGATCCTGGTCAAATGCCACACGGGTCCCTCTCAATTGCGCACAGGTCTGTCTCAATTGCGCACGGTTCTGGTCAGATTGCACCAAGTTCTGTACAAATTGTGCATGGAGTCGCTCACGCCTTCAGGGAAGTCGCGCATGGTTCTAGTCAACTTGCTAACAATTCCGTTTCACTAGCGCATGTCCCACAACAACCTGCGCATGGCCATGGTTCTTCTGCATACACGTCAGGCCTCACGGAGCACGAGTCTCGACAGCCTGCCCATGAAATTGGCGAAAGCTCGAGGGAATCAGCACGTTCTGCGCAATATGTTTTTTCATCTTCGAGTAACAGTAGCATAGAAAGCGACTAACTGAAAAACGATTTCACATTTCAACAATTTTGCAAGTAACAAACACTACTTTATTTTGATGGAATATTCTATGTAAAAGATAGATAACTTTAATCTATATGTAAGTGGATTATAGTTATATTTGATCTAAAACCTTCATAAATTTTAATTATTTTCGTTATAATATCAGCTCTACAATGCTGAATAATTTAATTTGTAAAATCATACAGCATTAGTGGGAAATACTTGCATGTCGTTGGAAATTTTAAATAATCAGTCAATAATAATATAATACATTTCCTACAGCCGTGCATCATAATGCATGGAGCACAATTTCACAAAAGTCTGTCGTATATGACACTATTTCTTCGGCATTTTTTGAAGAGCTCCAACATAGATCATTCACTGACTTTATGAACATCCCAATTAGCTACGTGTGGTTTGAAGGAATAAAGCTCAACTAGTTCATATAAAATCCTGAATTTCACGAAAAGGATTTACTTGATTTAACAACTCAGGAAATTCCTCCAAAAACCATTTCAACTATTGTCTTTTTAAACTTTAGTTTTACCATTGTAATTTGCCAGCAATTTTTCTTGCAATGTCTTTGTACAACATCGCCTAAAAATAAGAACTAAAGAAGTCAAATAACGCTAAGTTTAGGTCATTCTAGTTCAGGTCTTATTTTTTAATTTATTAAAATGTTTCATATATAATTCCTCTCTACTAAAACCCACGACATTTCTATAAATGGTACCTCGGAACTGTTTGGACTTAAGACGATGACAGGAGTACCGGCATCTGATGTTTCACGAATATTTATATGAAGAGGAATATTTCCTATAGGTGCAAATAAGACAGCAAATTAATATACTGACTATGATAGAGCAAAAACCGGCAAAACAGTCTTTAGTAGAGTCTTTAGTAAACTGAAAGCACTTTGTATGATAAAGCAAATCTGATTATTATATACGGTTACGTGAATCTGCTATGACAATACATCTACAAAAAAGGCAAACATTTATAATCTGGAAACCTAATATTTCCAAGTTCAAATCTTCCGCTATGGTCTGTGCTCCGTTTTCACCAAATATAAATTCTTTATGGCTACAATTAGGACAGACATAGTGACTCATGTTTTCAATCACACCAATCACCTTAACAAGAAAAGCGAAATTAGAGTTATATTGACGGGTTAGCTCCACTGATTTCTGCTGGGGGGAATCTGGTTCTAACTATGAAAACTATAAACAGCAAATGGAAGTATTTATTACACACAAATTAAACTGCTGCAGATGCGAAGTAAAAAAACTATTTTTTCAAACCACTTTGTGCTTTAAATCACCTTGTGCTACATGTACGTACAGGGACGTGAACTTTTCTGAACATCTCAGCACCTTTACGAGCATCCAGAAGTGCAATGTCTTGAGGTGTAGTCACAATAACAGCACCTGGAGAGCATTATACATAATGTCATGACATGGATGTAAAGCAATTGACAGGGGCTAGAGTATACTACATATATATCACATATTCTGCATAGGCAGCATTCCATATCTAATGAGAAAAACACATGTACCTGATAGAGGGACTGTTTGGGATATAGAGAGCTGTGTATCCCCTGTTCCAGGAGGCATATCCACAATAAGAACATCTAGTTTTCCCCAGTTTACTTGTCTTAGTAATTTCTCCAGTGCAGACATTACCTAAATTTTTTGTAACCGTTTATATTATAGGTAACCAAGCTAAATTCCTAAGAACATACATAACACATCAAAAAGAGTGGAGTGAATTTCTAACTGAACACTTCATTACCATTAATCCCCGCCACACAATCGGTGACCTTTCATCAACAAGAAATCCCATTGACATGCTAAACATAAAAAATATTGCTTCTAAATTGAGAGTACTTTATTATATAGTACTATATAAGCCATTTCTAGACATTTTTTAATTTTAGCTACCATGATATCCCATAGTTTCTAAGAGGTTCCATCTTGTTATCTAAAAATTTGACATTGAACTATGTTTGTAATTATATTATTTCTAAACAAAAATACAACTTAAAAACGTCAAGTCAAGTAACCTTTAGTAATTTCTGGATTTCCATGAAGGTTCATCATTTTCGGAAGTGAGGGCCCATAAATATCAGCATCAAGCAGACCAACACTTTTACTCTGACAAATAACAAGGAAATTTTAGTATTGACAAAATAATTAATATATTAGTGATGGTTACTCAAAATGCAACCTAAAACATTTGTTGTTTGTGGAACCCAATCTAACCTTACCTTATTTATAGCTGCTAAACCTAAAGCCAAATTAACTAAAATATAACAAAATATAGAGGTCATTACTGGTAGATAAAGTGACATTGGATGTAAAATATGAAATTTCCTAACCAGCACATGTAGACTTGCCAACACCACCCTTGCCAGAAGCAATCACAACAATTTCTTTCACTCCTTCAATGGGTTTCCTCTTAGGTAAACCTCTCAGCATTTTGTTTTGGCTGACTGATATCTGTGGTGGCATCTTACCTTCACTGTCCAGGCCCTAACACATGTATTCAAATTAACAATAGCAGTTGTACCTTAATTTCTCGCGAGGGCACAGACAGGGCAAACTATTCACATTTTCAAAGATCTCAAAACCCTGAGTCTGAAGTTCATTGGTCCTCTCCGGACTACAATGTTTGGCACTTTTTGCTCTCAAGTTCTCGGGTACGGAAAACAAAATCAGGTGCCCAAAAATTATTAAGGAAAAATGCATACATGTGCAGATAGTTGAGGTTAGGTTGTGGGAGATGTGGGCTTGCATCAATCTGTCTTTTCTCTAATACATTGATTTTCAGCTTTCTGCTATACTTTTAATAGGCATCTGATCTGATGTATGCCACAGCATTTATATATTGTGTAACTCAGCCTGCGCCAGTTTTCTAGGCTTTGACGAAACCTCTCTAGAGTAGTGGCAAATCAATCCGTCCTAATCAGTTTGCCAAAAATAGACATTCACCGAAAATAAATCATTTCTATCGCAGCAGACTAAAGGCCCTGTTACACGGTGCAATTTTCCTTGCAACTCGCAATGCAATTCTACTTTTGAGAGATGTAAATTTGGCAAGTACCAAACTTTTGTCTTTATTATTTTCTTACACTAGCATTTTGAAGCCTCTTCACTTTGATCTCTTGAAAGTAGAATTGCATTGCAAGTTGCAAGAAAAATTGCACGGGTGTAACAAGGCCTTAAGGGAGCCTAGGAGTATTAAGTGGTAGGGAGGTAGCTGAGGCCTGAGGCACAAGGTCTAAACTAAATACTGTTATTCATACATAAATTGTTCACTTACAAATGGATCAGAATGCGTCGAAAAGAATATAGTTGCATTCTTGTTTGTATTTCTATACAGTGAGGTTGATAATAGGACCGAATTGAAACGCAAGAAATTAAAATGTTTGAAAGTCTTAGCACCCACGGTAGCCATATTGTTTTTACCGAAAGGGATACGTCATGTAATAACGATTTATTTGGGTTTTCCTGGCGTCATTCTCTACGTAACCAATCAGGAAACGAATTGATGTCACGTGACGTACAATAAGCGCCGTTTCTTTTCAGGAAAGAAAGGACATGTTGTGTTAGCTTGAACGTTTAAAATGTTTGAGCATTTTTAGCTTTTCAGATGCAATTTGACGCGGAATTTTGGAGTATTTTTACAGGAAGTATGTGCTAGATGCAAGAATCATCCCGTAGTATAGAAATTTTATGTTTCAAACGGTACTTTTGTTGAAATATTTACCAAACATTTGAAGTCGAAACTACGCCATTTTGGCTGATACAATCAAACTCCGTTCTTTTCCTCTTAAAATCTTCCAAATAAACTAGAATAAACACTTGAATTTGCAAGAACAACATTCTTTGGTGAGTAATGGAGGTGATGTGGATTCATTTTGCTCTTGGTTCCGTACTTTTGAATACTGTCTTTCAATTTATAAAAGAGGCTTTTGCGTTTCACTAAAATTTAAAACAGTTACGAAAATCGCAATTTTCAAAATTGAGGCATAAAGGACGTTTTTGAAAGTAAAATCAAAATTTTGTGAGTAAAAAAGATATTCCTATCTTATATACGCTACAAAAATGAGTTGCCAAAAATTTTGGGCCATTGCTCTGGTATGAACAAGCGGTACAAGGACTTGTAGTGTATGTTTCAGTGCTTCGATTATAAATAATATATGCATTGATTATATTTCCTAAGCAGTACAGAGATTCTACAATTATGTAAAAAAATAAGTCGTTTTTCTGGCTAAAATCATCAAACAATGCTCCTTTCGCATTACAAGAGCCGTACAAATAGCCAAGAATGACACATACGTATTTCTCCTATGCATTAATGTTTACAGAAATATATTTTTTTATAAGTTTAATATTTTTTACATCTTCGAAATACCATTTCTAAAAAAAAGGTAATTTATATTTTTATTTCAATTCCTATGGGAGTTGTCTATTTTTAGCCATTCATGTTTTAATATAATCAATTTATAACTTGATTGGTTGAAGTTTCGCCGAAGTACGATTGGCTTAAAATAAACTAGTTAAATTTTGAGCAATCTATAAGTTTTGATTTTGTCATTTTTGATGATTGGGAAATATCAAATCTATACGCGAAAGGCGTTTATAACCGTAAATCTTTCTCCTGGCAAAAAACGCGTTTATTATGCACAAACCTAATTTAGTTTTAAAACAGTTCTAATTGTAAAAAACACCAAGAAAGAACGTTTATTTTTCAGTTACGTGGATGTTGGAAGTTTTGATATGAAAAGTTAACTAACGATAGTTGATCATTGCATTGTTCCATCGTTTTCATGATTTTGAGCTGGATGTACATAGATCTTAAAAAACTAACCCTTGTAAAGATTTTGTAGTAATCCAAACTGTAATTACGTTTCTGTCTAGTTTTTCAAATCGGAGAGAAACCCAAACTTTCGTTTTTTATATTCATGATATTTAATAGGTTTTCGCTAAAACTATATAGAGATTTTCTCCAACAGAGCACACAGATGGCTGTCCCTAAATTCAGTGTTACTACAAAGGAAAAACGTCATGAAATTTTAACTGAGAGGTTTTTTTTCATACTACAGTAAATAGGTTTTGGTACTTGGCATTACAAATTTTATAATTCAATGAATGCATGTTTATACCAAAACATTTCAAATGCTTTCTATAAACCCCAAGCACTTGAAACAAATATTCAAACAAATATTACCACAGGTCAGCTGAAATAATTTTTGAACTTTCCTACCTTACTATGCAGTCAAACTACCAGTAATCTATTCAAAAGAAATTGTATAATAAGAGACAAGACATTAAGAGACATTGTATAATAACACACATATTTTGCCAAAGCAAAGCAGCATCATTTCCACAAATTCAATGCACTTGAATATAGCTTAAATATGGCTAACTTATGGCATATTGTGTGCAGAACATTCTGCTTTAATTAAACAAAACTTTTTAATATAAAACTTGTAAATGATAGAGTACTGATCCCATAGGAAAGTTTCATATTCAGTTATATGCCATTAATTGACTTAACAGTAACATTATCTGGACTTCATTGCTATAAAAAGGAGTGTAAACCTGTTAGAATATAAAATTGATTTGGGAATGATTGATTTTCTTGCAAGAAACAGACAATTAAAATTACACCAAACATGGGCATGAAATATGGTTAGCAATTAGTGCCAACACCAATACATCACATGTAAAGTTAACAGGCTTTTGACAGAATGGTCACAGTGCAATACAATCATTCTTAAAATATTTGGCAAACACTACATGCAGTATAGACAGGCAAGGCATTAGGGAGGAAAGCATTAACCGATTTACTGAAACATTAACCAATTAAATTCAAGGCATTAGGTCAAAGGCAAACATGATTGTAAATGTCTTGCTATGTTATCTTAAATATAAATATATGTACCATATTTTGATTAGATATATGTGCAATGATGGATCATCACCACAAGATGCCACAGTTGAAATAATAGTGGGATACTTGAATAGCTCTTTGTAAGTCCATTTCACTCGCTCCTTGTCATCCATACTGTATGTTAAATTGTTCTTGCCATCTACACAATTGTGTGGTTGCATATCCACATGGTTGTTTGATGCCAGACATGATGGCCATTCCAGCACCTGAACTGTAGTGACCATACTGGAAAATAACCAGTTCTTTTTTAGTCATATTAAACACAATATGGTAGTAATGTGTTGGTATATATTTACAAGTTCTACCCTTTTAGACCATGTCTGGAGCAAGTGATCCAAGAGTGTTGTTGGATGCAATGAATAGTATGCTGGGAGAATTTGGGGATATTAAGGGACCACAAGAAGTTGTTACAATTATTAGGTAAGCTTTATTATTCCTAATCATATGGATTACTGCAAATGGTGGTGATCACAACTGATCTAAATTGTTATTTTTACATGTTTAGTCTGATGAAAGATGCGGAAAAAATGCTGAGTCGTTTTACTTTTCTTAACATACTAAGAGCAACAATTGAGATTGCTGCTGAGAATAGCGCTGCTCTGGAAACTATCCACAAGTAAGAACTATGAATATATATGCAATATAGCACTATATAGTAGCACTGTATTTCTACAATGCTCAGTCAACACCTTGTTCCCTTGATTTATTGTGGTTTGCCTATGTATCTTTCCAGGTTTATCAAAGATGGTGGTTGTTCAATATTAAACAAATGGCTCCAAGATGGCATGGATTCTATCAATATACCCTTAATTTTAGATGTTTTGGAGGTTTGCGTTGTTTGTGTTTGTTGTTGTATTTTAGTTTTTAGTTTAAACACTGCCAAAATCACAATATATGTAAATTAACATATGGACTTTTTATATAATAGTTATTGGAAGCAATGCCTATTACAATCGAAGCTCTTAAACAGGTCAGTCAAATCCTAAATGATGCATTGGAACAGGCCTATTAAAATTAGATAACAATGGACAATTTTGTAAAATGTTCCTCAATCAAATCAATTTTATTTATGTAGGGTAATATTGGGAAGCTTGTTAAACAATTGTCCAAGAGAGAAGAAATAGGTTTGTTCATCCCATCTTTTTCATTACTTGTTGCAGCTACTTAACTGTTAGATTTCTCTTGACTGACAAGTAAAATTGTCTATTATCACATAATAACAAACTGTTATTATCATATATGACACTGTATCTGGCCAAGTACATAGCTGCTCGCCAGCTTGTATCTGCTATAATGATTCATTATCATTGAAAAGTCAGTAATACATTTTATAATTTTGTCATTTAGATGTAAAGGATTTAGCAAGTAGTGTTTTAAATAAATGGATGATTTTAGTAAAAGGTACTGCTGCTTCACTTTAATCTTATCAAATTCCACAAATATTTGTGAAATCATTAAAGGTCAGTTATGTACAGTAGGTTTGCACTTAGGAAACAGCAAGACTTAGTGTCTTTCTCTTCAATGAAGCTGAACTGCAAGAACTCGTACTTTCAAAATAAGTTTGTCATAAAACAGTTACAGTTACAACTAGTTCATATTGTTGAGTAGCTGTGAAAGTCGAGGAAATCTTTGGGACCACCTGCACGTTATTTTTCACACCCCTACTTTTCAATTTAGGCAAACCTAAAAAGAAAAAATCAAATGAACATAATGAAGGTAATATTTATCAGTCATTGCTGAATTTTATTACAGTACATGGTGGATAAATTGTGATCTTAATGTTTTGCCATTTTGTTTAAAATTTAGATTCTGGAGGCAGTCCAGTTTCCAAACGACCAAGGTACATATTAATACACATCAATGTACATACATTATCCGATTTATCCCCAGTGTTCAACCATCATCCATTTGCCTACAAAATTGTGTGTTATGATCACTGTAAGTTGGGATGTCCAAACAAACAAATGATTAATCAATACATGTTATGTTTTGTCTCCGTAAGCATGGATACATTATATCTTTTGATGGGATTTTTGGCTTGTGCACACTCGCAAACCACGCTCAAAAAATGGGTCGTAAAATGTTAATTTGTTTTTTTTTCAACAGAGAAAACTCTGCAAGTAAAGAACCGAAATTGAGTCAACCTCCAGAAAAGAAAGCGAAAACATTAGCCGAAGCGAAAAGCAACGTAACAAGCGTGGCTAAACCTCCTCCAAAGGCTAAAGTTATCCCAGCTTTACCAAAACGTAGGTCACTTATAACTAAAAACACTAACACTGCACTATCTAGATTGTATGTAGCTACTAACTGAAACAATAGGCTATCTAATGAACGTACCGTCTTCTTGCTGATCAGAAGTACACACATGTATAGTAACACCTGCAATTTCGGGGGAAAGTAAAGCTGTTAGATGATAATTTCGCGTTCGTCTTCCGTGCTGCGAACTGAAATTAGCGATACTTATAGTATTGATGCTCTAAAATGTTCTTTGCGTACATAAATGAAAGGTGTTGAAGCGTCAGAGTTACAATGTACGTGCAGCCAAGTGAACGAACTATTATTGTTTTTTGCAGCAATCGTAATGGAAAGTTCAGGATTCATGAACGCATTGATACAACAGTCAGCAGCACCAGCAAAGAAAAAGAAAAAGATTGCACCCCCACCATCACCTAAGGTAAAGTAAGCTCGCATGTGCCCTGGTCGAGGCAGGGTTGAGGCTGGCACGTGTCCGTTGAATGATTTTAGAATGACATTCATGGAAGTGGAGGGGAAACAGGAAAATATCTGTTTATGGCAATTACATAATAATCTGCAGTTTGACAGGCTTCACTAACATAATACATTAAACTGATGTAACATCTCATATCTCGTGTGAATATGGTGTAACACTCTTTATCGTTATTCTTTACAGCAAACGTCGGCGGGTCCGCTGGAAGAGATTTTATTCAACCAAGCACAAACTCACAAACAAGATGAAGAAAAAGACAAAAATAGAAAAGAAAAGGAGGGAAAAGACAAGGCTGTTGAGAAAACAACGAACACCAATAATGAAATGTAAGGAGATTATAAACCATTGTTTTAGAAATTTTATTGCGTGTTCTAATTTTCTTGGTTTTGTATCCAAATGGTTTATGATTATTTGCAATATGCTTGTTTATTTGTCTGTGAGCTCATTAGCAAAAATCTTCCCGGAAATTTCTTGGGCGGATAAGCAAGTCTGTGACCCTTGACGAATTTCTTTCAGATGTTTACTCCCGTGAGTTCATCGTATTATTTTTCTGTCTCTGATGTTTAATTTTTTCCATGCTTTAACAGTGAAAACATTGAGTCACCAAAGACGACAGATCTTTCACAAGATGATGCAGCAAAAGAAAAGCCTGCCTCTGATCAACCTGGTGTGTACTGCGTTCAACACATTCGCCTTCCTTTTTTTAGTCTTTCTTGTACAGAGCTGTTTACAAAAATATCGTTTAAAACAATTCAATTCATAAAGATGTTTAATGTTTCAACGTTTTTATATACGTAGGTGCTGAAGCCAACACAGCCGTCACAGTTTCCAGTGAGGTAATATGCAGTATTGCTTTGTTCTTTTCATCCTGAAACGTTTTACAATTTGAGTAAGGCTCGTGCAGAAATCACGAACCACACGTCAACTTTTTTTTTATTTTTGTACTGCTTTCAGAATGCGTCTTTAGGAGAGCAAACGAAGAGTGACGATACAAATGCTGGTGAGTTTTGCTAATTTTTTTCTTATTATTTTGCAACTTTCAAATGATTAATTTAGATGTATGTTAGACATAATTGGACAAATGCAGTTTTTATGGAAATTGCAACGGTAAAGAAATGCTTTACTATAAGTTCTAAATAAAAAGCAAGTTTTCTAAACAAAGTAACGAGAGTTTAAAGTGACCTTAGACCACTCTGTCTAAACGAAGTGGTTTCCTAGTTGAGATAATCTCAATGCGTTGCTGCGATTTCAGAATCTCCAGCAACAAAAACAGAGGTCGAACTGATGGAAACAGAGAAAGTGGAAGAAAAGGAAGTCGAAGGTGACAAAGTGACAACTAGCAAGAAAAAGAAAAGAAACATCACGTGGGCAACAGATGATAAGCTCGTGGAGTATCACTATTATGAGCCTGATGATGAGGAAAGAGGTGAGGAAATGTATCATTTATATAGCAAGTTATCAAACCGTTTCATTACGAGACTTTCACGTTGAGAAACAACCTCACATTATGCATTTACAATAATTTAGTTGCTGTTCAACACATCATCAACTTCCATGATGCTCAACATCAAGAAGCCATCCGGGAAAGACAGGTTAGTTTCTGTAGCAAACAAGTAATATTGGAGAGAAATACATCTATGAAACGCAATCAATATATAAATTATAGACCAGTGAATCTTATTAATGTGAAATATTTCAGAGGGTGGAACAAGCAAAGCGATTAAGCGAAGATAAGATGGTGGAAAAATTACAGTGGTATAGGCCAAAACCACTTGATGTTACAGAGTTGATGGAACATGGTCAAAATAGTCTGGAAAAAATAAGCCAGGTTAGTTCTTGCTGCTGTTGGTAGTTGTTTTGCCTAAACAAACTATTGATGTTGTAAGACATCAGTCGATGATGTAAGACATAAGTCGTATAGTCGTATAGACTCTTAGTGTGTTGTAAAATGCCATTAGGGTATCCAATGTCTCAATATTTTTATTGTTTTTTAAAATGATGCGTATTTGTTGAATTACTAATGTAGTAAATATATCACAAATCATTTTGATTTAAACCAACAGAAAGAAAGAGAATCAAGGATTCTGGCGCATTTATTCTTTACCAAATCAAGGTAACCTTCTTCTCATCACTCATTTGTATTTTTTCGCATTTGTCTCATGAAAAGTATACGCTCTTCCTAAAAATGTCCTCCATAATTAAAATTGCTCTCCTCCTAGTTTACCAATCAGTCCTGGGGAACCTGATCCTGAGCCTAAAGTGGCAAGTTCAACGTCATCACAACCTATTGTCATACCCCACGATGAGGTACAACATGAAATGTTTATCTATTTCTCAATTTTTTACTCTGAAATGAGAAACTAACAGGTATTTAATATACACGTGCATGTGATACCCAGCTTTTGAAATTTCCGAATCTATGCTCTTTTAGAAAGGGACAATTTATCCACCGTCGAAAGGAATTATAAATCCTGAACCTGAACCAGAACCAACCCCAGCTGTAGTACCCGCAACCGATCAGAATGTAACCTTACCACCAGCACTGGCTGCGCTACTGGCTGGTGCTACTAAAGGTGGGGTATTTAGATTAATACAGTATGGTTGTGATATCAAATTAATGATAGATAGTGCGTGTAGTTATAGGCAGACAAACTAAAATAACTGGATATATATGGCCGATTATTTATTTTTTATCTTTTCATTACTGCGTGCTACAATAAAACATATATTTTGAATCGTCCACCGAGAGAAATTTCTTTTATATAATTGCAAGCTTCTTACAATTATTTAGGTCCGGGAAACTCGGCGCAAAATGCGAGCGGTAAGTGACATCATAATCTTGCCCTTGGCGTTGTTTTTAACAAAATAGTCTTAAGACAATATTCTTTGTGTTATTTTAGGTTCGGGTAATGCATCATTGTCTAATGTTGATGTACAAGCCCTTCTTAAAAAACTCGTGGTAAGTTTCCTTGAGTAAAGTACAGGGGCCGCCGAACATCGCAGAACTGGCGGCAGTAATTGCACGGGATGGTTGTGTTATTCTAGTAGAGGTGTGACCACTCTTAAAATAGATAAAACTTCTGGTAAAACAAAAGTGAAAGCATTCATCTCGAAACCTAACGAACGCACGCACATTGTGGGTCAGAAAAGAAAAATTATTTATCCATTATTCATAATATTTTTGCCCCTACAGGCATCGCAAGAGCAAGGAGAACAAGCCCAAAACATGAACGAAATGACTGCACCGCGGTTTCCTTCACCGCTAATGGGCCAAACATTAAGAGTCCCCGGACGTGTGGGTAAGACTTATCTTGATGTATTTAGCTTCATATACATTAGGGTGACATCATTAATTACATATAGATCACTGATTGTGATCATGAGAAGTCCGTTTTAAAAACTAGACGGCTAGACCAATATCTCTTTACGTGGATTGCGTCATTGTAATATATCGATTGAGAAGTACATGTATTGTTATTTTTATTATTATTAAGTCATTATAAAAATAGTTTTATCAGACGTGTAATTTTACAAAATTAAGCTGTAAATGATTTTTTAACTATTTACAATATTAGACATCTTGCTACGACTACAAAAGTTAAAATTTATGACTAAAAGTTCAGAATTATTGATATACTAGCTAAAATAGTCAAAAAGACATCTATTTAGAGCCGTCCATTTAAACTGTTATTTTCAGGTTTGCTGGGTCCGGATCCCTCGCGTCATGGTTTGCCAGACTTTCGATCTCGAGGCTTACTTCCCACCCCAGGCCCTCCGCTTGACCCTACTCGTTTCCTTGGAATTCGAGGAAGATTTCCCCTTCCCGGTGGTCCTCGCATGCGACATCCTATGCCGGGACAGAGAATGCCTGGACCAATGGGGCGAGGAGGAATGCCTAATCGATTTCCTTTACCTAACCAAAATCAAGTAAGTTGACAAGCTTTCTGTTGGCTGATAGAATTATCCCAAACTAGAAGCGCCTTTTCTCCCGTGAGGTCTATCACTACAGAGGAAGAATTTTAATTTCTAAAGGAAATCTACTGTAAATTCAGTATCTTCGTCCTAGTTAGTTATTAGCGAGTTTAAGATTCAGCAAATCTACGACGCGGACGTGAAGTAATACTGCTCTAATTTCCACAGTTTTCCAACAGCGATGGAAATTATGGACTCCTTTTATTGAACAAAGTCAAAGCCGTATGTAAAACAAATTATTACTGGTTTCCTAACACTAAAAGCAGTTTTCATGTCACGTCCGCGTCGTAGATTTGGTGCATCTTAAACTCGCTATTATCTAGTTACTACAGATCCAATATGGCCCCAAACCTATTAAATCGTATCTATTCGTATCCTCCCGTGAGGTCTGGGAAACAAACGACCTCGATAAAGTCACGTAATGTTAATCCAAGAATTTAGCAAGTTGAAGGACAGAAATCAATTCAAAATGACTTTTTTAAAAGTAATTTCTATCTCTAGGATTCGGGCGAAGAATACTACAGCAGCGAAGGTGATATTTCGGATGGACAATTTTCAGGGCGTGGGCGTGGTATGCGTGCTCGTGGTGGGCGTGGTCGACCAACTTGTCGCCATTTTAAGTCACCGCGAGGATGTTTGCGTGGCAATAATTGTACATTTTTACATCCACGAGGACCACTAAATGGTCCACCCTTATAGCAGGCTTGTCGCCAGTATTATAACGCTGAGGTGTTCTGCGTCACAAGCAGCCCGCCCGCCTGTGGTACAAATGTTGTTGAGCCCCGAGCGGATTTTTAACAGGGCACATCTGATGTCGTATACCCTTGGTTATATTCCATCCCCGCTATCTGGTCGTATCGTCTGTTCGCAAATAATAGTTTTTTTGTTTGCGCGAAGATATTCGCACTCTTGCATATAAAAACCTAATGCGCTTAGTGTGAAGACAAAATTAAAACCAGGCCGACGCTTTGGATGAAGTTGTTAGGTTATCCAGCGTCCTAGAAAACAGCTCAATTCAGAGCAAGTCTGAATTAGGTGAAGTTGAAGCCAAATTAATTTGTCATATTCCGCCTAAATGAAAATATTAGTTTTATATATATTGTACATATTATACCTAGCTATCATTCAATAATAATATGTGGCTTCCGACATTCAATATGACGCCTTATGACGCTCACATCCGACATAAGGCGTCGGCTATATTGGATATTGTGTGCGGTCAGTACATGCAACCTGTAATTGGTGAAGTTACAAACTTCATACAGAATTACGAAGTTGTTTAATAAGTGAGGTTATGAAAGTTTTTAATAGACAATTAATATATATTATATAGATAGCGCGATCTTTGAGAACTGGCCAGTTTAAATAATTTATTACGATTCAGGGCTATATCGAAGAATGTGGATTTCCCGGTGGAACCTTTCCGCCACAAGTCAAGCACAAATTTTAAAACCTACGGAGAAGCTTTACTTACTTTATCCGAGGAATAAGCAAACGATCACAATGCACGCATTATGGGAACATAGATTGTCAAAATTTGAAAATGAATTGCTAATTTTTTAAATTTTGTGGAGATATGATCTATATAGGAAGTGGGAAGGTAGTTAGGTCAGAGGATCAGGAATGTGATCAATTTCTGCCAAACCAAGTTCATAGGTTGAATCAAGATAGATATTTTAAAGCAGCATGTGTTAATCTTTTAAAGGGTCTTTCTTAGCTAAGATTATTAATCACAAAGGTATTTATCATTTTCCCATGGAATAAAGCAAACGTTTTTTAAGGAAACGTTTTGCTTCAAAAGAACAGAAAACGATAAATGTAATCACTGCATGGTTGTTGCCGTGACCACTGTAGAGCAAGAAATCTATGATAGTGTCTCGACCCACAACGTTTCGAAGTTTCCATATTAGCGGTATAAAAAAAGGGTCACGAGTTTCTCTGTCTGCTGAAGTTTGATGGAATTTGTTCGAAAATTTCCCACTCTAACTTGCTTGTTACGTTTTTAAATGAACCCTAAAACGACTGTGCTGTTTGCATGCATTTATGGCGTCGCTAAGTCAGAAAGCCAAACGAACTTTATGAAAAACATCGGTTGCTTTTTATCTTTCCAACTGTCTTTTTGAGATGAGGTGTACTCAGCGTGCAAGCATAACCTTCATTTACAAATCTTAACCTCGATGACAACATAAAGAAGCTTAAAACTAAGATAAAAGCGTTTATGTCATCGAGATGCTCATATCTTTGTGGTTAATTTGTCACCGCACGGCACAGTGCTTTTACAATTTTTATAAAAGCCAATTTATTATGAGTATTATGCATTTTCATACGATTAAACTTGCAATAATAATGTATGGTAATCCGAATTTAAGTCTGATCAAGGCCATGGACACTGACAATCAGTCGTTTAATAACATGGGATGAGAAAGAAAGTGGGAAATACTTGATGTGTCATCAGTGAATGATTGGCTGCAATCGGCAGATACTTTCTCTGTAGTTGATTGGTGATACTAAAGAAATCGGACAATGAATCAGTCACAGTGAGCTGGCAGGGTCATACAGACTCCTGGGAGCCGAACTCCCAGTTCGTCCAATATATACATCCTAAAAAAGTACAAATTCAAGACAGTGCTGGGCGGTACTACTATAATAAATCACTAAAAATTAAAACTTGAACAACAGTTTTTTTTTCTCTGGCCCTGTCCGGCTTGATGTTTTCATATGAGCCAGTTAAAGCATATGGTTGAAGGCGAGATCTCGCTTCGTTCAGTCGGGATCTCGCCCGAGCCGGGCTGACCCGGTTCTATATAATGCAATTTTTCAAATATTGAAATGATATGTGAAGCGAGATTCCAGCACTGCCGAGCTATCGTCTCATATGACTGGATTTCCACTTACAGAGTTCGCTATAATATTTAGAATAATAACAGCATAAATAGATACAACATGACTGTTCTCAATTCAAAAGAAAATATGCAAATATATCGCTAGCGACCTATTTCTCCGCAAGTTGAAATCCATCTTTGAAGTGGAAGTGAACAATTGATGCGGTTTTTGTCTTATTTGAGCCTTGTTTCCAACAGCAAAAAAGCCGCAATGTGATTGGCAAGTGATTCATTGAAGCGAGGCTTTGAAGCCCGAATCAAAATACTGTGGAATGAATGTAAAATTTGTCATGTGGAGGTCTTCAATCGTATAGCGCCAAGCATATATGACCTTTCTTAATATTCCGAGATCGCCCTAAAAATTTCAAGTGATGGCTAATCACGAATAGGAATCTGTAGATTCACTTAAATAAAAACTGTGGATTCACGTAAATGAAATAGGGAGATTGGTATCAACTCAAAGGGTTATCCAATAACCCAAATTTAGCATATTATATTTAGTTCACAGACCCATTTTTCACACAAATAAAGTTAATCCTAATAGCATGCACTTTGTATAATAATTGAGATAAAAAATGGTCAAATACGAGACGGCTTTGAATTGCCTCTTGAAATCACCGTTTTTTCCAGCTTAGTTTGGAAGTTTGGCGTCCTTCGAATATTTATTGATATTATTGCTTTTTTTGCGGTGTCAGGTTAAGAAACTGTAACGCCACAGGTAATCCTCGCCATCTCATCTCCCAATAGCAAAACAAACAAGACCTCGAAGAAGATCATTGAACTTTGCTCAATGTTTATCTACCCCATGCCTGGTGAAATCGCATGACTTAGGGCGGCAAATGGATGTAGCGTATTCTAACTTCAACAGTACATCAATTACGCAATTCAGCTATTATAAGCTGCAATGTAATTGTTTTAATAAACTATCTGTCTATCTATCTATCTGTTCTTTACTCACACACACACTGAAGTATTCCTTTATCGTGATATAACTATTAACTATTTCCTGCAGCAGGTTAGTTCCAGTGTCTTCCTGTATGGAAATATATTTAAAACTGTGCGTTCGCCGGATCATATCTTATTTAAAAAAAGACGTTCAATTAGTTTTTGATTGGATGTGGAGACGATTGCCGCTTCCCTGTGACTTCTGCATTAAAGAAATGCCTACAGGGAAACGATTGGCCTGCGATGACCAAACGAGACGGAAGTCATCGCAATCTAAGATATTGGATAATTCTAAGATATTGGAAACGGAGAATAAATATAATATTGGATAAAGAAACTGTAGGGGATGCAGAAAAAGTGTATATATGGCATTTTATACTCATCCCTTTTCTTGTCATGTGTGTCTCCAAAGTTAAAACTCTATAATTCTGAAGAATTATGACTCGATACTGGGTCAAGCAGACTTATGCATTAGAGGTATAAGAGAAATTAGGACACGCTCTGAACCAATCATAACTCTGTACGAGACATATTTATTTTTTTAAAAACTATAGTGCTATATATTAAAAACTTTGATTACACTAATCGCGGTAGTCTCTGAAATGTCATCATCCCCCAATTTACACCAGCTAATATATTTCTCGTCAATTCACAACCGCAAAAACCAGATGGTCAAGTTTTAAAAATGCGTTAAGTTTTGAGAACAGTCAAGTTTAGAGAATGCGTTAGGACACGTTTTGAGGAAACGTTACGACATAGCACAGCACTCCAGACGAACTGCATGCTAAACAAATTAATGACGGATTAATTCATCTCATCCACAAAACAATGATAATTACTTCAAACTGAAGGAAATAACGTGATGTTATTTTGAGTTTCGACATTAGTCATCGTCAGAAATAATGGTGTTTTTGTACTACTTGATGGTTATAAAATATGGTGGTAAAGTCCAAAAAAATTACAAAATGATTTTAATGTTTGGAATTACAGAGTAGTTCTGGTATGATCTTTTCCCAACACCCGCGATAATTAAAATACCACAGAGTGAGCGGCTTAAAAATTAGTAAATACCGCTCAATTTATATGATGATTTCACTGATTTCCTCTGTTGATTTCTTGTTATATTTTTCCTCTTGTGCTTTACCTTTGGTGAAATTCGCACGTAGCAAGTTAAATTTAAAACATAGAAATGATAGAAAGAACAATAACAGATTATCTTACAACACGCGGCGTTTTACTAAACTTTCCGGCGACAAAAAAAAAATAATCACACGCGAAGGGCATCGGAGTTTTCATCATCGGCTATCATCATCGGCAGGGTCTTTGGACCGTAAAATGCTTCATTCAGTTAATTGGTCGTCGAAAAAATACAATTATGGTTCTTGACTCAACCGCGTGTGCACAGGACATGAATGCAGCGTCTCACAAGATATATGTACCCTTTAGCAGTCATAGTCTATTAGTAAAAGACGCCAACTTGAAGATAGGACTGATACAATTTAAAATTCAATAGCAACGCGCATGAGTGATGGCTCATTGAGACTAATTATAAGTGAGGCGTGTTGTTATTGAGTTTCTTACTGTTCCTTGCCCTATCTGCACGCAAGATATTGTCCGCCAGCTACCCTCAAAAAGTCTATCAGAAGTTTCCTATAGAAATGAGCTGTTTCCTATAGAATAAGTGTCTTGAAATCATTTTCTAGCAAATATTATGAAGGTGTTATTTCGTAACTTATTAAATAAAGGGAGGATCAATTAGGAGGCGACTTAATGCATAAAGTATTACAAACAATCTTGATAACAGAAATTTTCACCAATGTTAATAATTTTTTTATAATGAAACAAGGCTATCACGTGAAACTAATACCTTTTTAGGCGACTTGATACATAAAGAATTACAAACAATCTTGATAACAGAAATTTTCAGCAATGTTAATAAAATTTATTATAATGAAACAACGCTGTGACGTGAACTAATACCTCTTTTTGAATGATCTCAATCATAGAATTGCTGAATTGCAGTTACTGGACCTCGAATGATAAGTATTTAAAACAATATTATTGGACCATTTCAATATAATTTTTGTGCTTATGGTTAGAAAATCACCGTTAATGCTTTATTAAAACATCGTATGCATCAGTTAAAAAAGTTTCTTTCAAAAATTTAAAGAGTTGTAAGTAAGTAAAATGTCGGACGAAGATTTGCTCTGATCACATTTGCTTTCCTGGTGTTGCCAATTCTGTGATAAAATTGTTTATTTAGTACGAATTTTGTACAACTTCTATAGATTGCAATATTATTCTACGACATGTAAAACGCGTCTAAGCACAGAAGTAATAAGATATGTCACTCAACACGTAAAGCCACGTCCGTATTTACACGCCTTTGTCCTGGGAACAGCGCAGTTATTCCTGAGGTATATAATGATGTATAATTGCCCGAAATAGAATGCAATCCTTTTTAATAGCATAATTGGTTCCTGATTGTCGAATTGGTCAAAAAATTTCGCCTGTTTTTTTTGCGTAGTGAAACAAATAGATTCAATAAAAAATCCATATCAGGCATGGTGTAGATTTGAGGCGGCATGTAAGAAGACTTTGAAGAGTGCTTTGTCGTGTATCTGTTACGTATCATTTCCGCCCTATGAATAAATATTGTTCTACATATGATGTTTCAACTAATTCTGTGCGCAAATCTGTTTTTACGGTAGCTTAGTTGCTTTGACTTCTGTTACTCGCATATATGTGACCCCGAAGCAATATTGATGGCAATGTTTAGACTAGTAAGTGAATTGTGGTCATAGCAATTGAACCGACATGTCCGTAAAGAACAAGAGTGCACTGTATTCGTAATGCATTCTTTGTTTTAAAATAAACTACGTATTTTACCCACCGTGGACAATCGCTATGGAATCTCTGAGATAGCTATTTGTACGCTTGGAATTGGTCGTTCTGACAGTGCGCGGCGAACGGTGAGCAAATTAGTAATCGTTGCGCATCGAGGCAAAAGTGCGCGGTTTAGTGCGGTAGTGCGGTAATCAGATATCTGTTCAAAGATTATCGAGCCTCTCTGCCGTTACGGTTTCCGGTACTGAAAACAAAGCCGCACAGTGTCTTGGCGAGCCGTGTGAGAACTGAATCCCAAGCAGGGTTTTGATTTTCCGCCGTCCTTCTCTGCGTTTTGTTGATCTGGAGTTTGTTACAGTGTTAAAATGTACGCATGAGTTGCGGTATTTCATTTGGTGATCGCAAATTCGCGCTCAATGAGACGTTCACAAGGTAAGCTTTAATACTCTCCACATAACAGACACGTTTTGTATATTTATAATAAACTGAAATATGCATACACAACAACTACGCATTTATGTTTAGATTTTCGCTGTATACAAAGCGCGCTCTTGAAAGCGCGTAATTTTACGCGTTTGTATGAAATTGTATTATAAATATATACACACCGTGTGATGTGATACAAATAGCCATTAAATGTTGCATAATATCGTAATTTAACTGATATTTAGTAAATATTTGATCATCTTTCTATGATACTGAAAAGGCCATAGTGACGATTGCGTACAAATTGTAAGATATAAATTGAAAGCAAAAAGCAGCTTCTCGAAGTATCTATATATACGACGACTTACTCGCATTATGAGCTTTAAAACGATTTTATTTTATTTGCTTTGAGTTGCTTTTCTTAGATAGGCTCAAATTTCTTTAATGCGTACGAGATTTTTGATGATGTAGATATGGCACATATATCATTCACATAGCTATAACTATTATTCAGTAGGGCAAAATTTTATTAATTAACATATTTTGCGAATATACCAGTGCTGTTTCACAAACGTTGAAATTCCAGTTCAGAATGCCAAAAATAACCGATCTTTCAAACGTAAAGAAACTTTTTTGTGCTTAACAAATAACTGCGGTTCCAAAAAGAAATTTTATGTATATAAGATGAATGATCAATACGGCGCCGGACGCCGGTGTAAGGACCATTAATAGAGGTACTGAGATTGCCCTTGAATACACTCAGAAATACTACATAAACGACGAACCTGGTACTCCAAACATCAAATATAAAAAAAAAACACTAAGCTTCCTCGCTTGTTTTCCTTATAGGAGAGGACAAGGGATTGGAAAAATGGCCCGCTACTTCACTGCAGGCCAGGTAAAGTGTGTGATGATTTGTCATGAACAGCATTCAATTGCGGTATGTTCGTATGCTTAGCAGGTGGCAGCACATATATTTCTTCGATCATGAGTTTTATATGATGCGTTCCAATCAAGTGATTATCATTGTCTAGCACACGGATATTTCAAGAATCGCCGGACTAATCGCTTACCCATCCCATTTCTAATAAAAATGAATCACCATGATGGCATTATTTGAAGGATTGTGTCAGGGGCTTGTTTATTTTACGATTGTTTTAATGTAGGTAATAGCGTAGAAGCATACATGACATTCCTTCACTAAGCTTCAAAACAGTGGAAGTTGCGGTTTCGCCTAGTACACTTTAAAGCGGAAAGTATACATGTTAATATGGGTGGCGTTTTACCTGGGCGAGGTCGGTGTAAGGGCGGCGTATTTACAAGCACCTTACACTTAATCTTTCACGACATTTTTGAACTCAATATATCTGAGTTTGAAGTGGCAGACAACGTTTTGTCAAAAAACCTGTCGCACACGAGCTATGGTAGAAATAATGACCCTGTGTCAGTCGTTTTTTCTCGAGTCGTATTTCTCGATACGCTCCTTGTTGAAAAATATCCCTCGTTAGGCCCTGACACGAAGATCTATATCATGTACATGTGCCCCCTGTGGAGAATATTGATCGACAGGATACTGAACAGTGTATTTATGGGGTGTGTGTTACCACACCAAGGTCAGCACCAGACTCTTACCATTGACTTGGCCAGAAATTATGTCGTTGGTTGTTCTCTAAGATAGACGGCTTCCTCCCAGCTTACGTACTTAATGTTTCTAACACAAATTATTTACGTCACTCTGAATGTAGCCCACTATGAAAAGAAATTGTTGGTAATGATGATCACAATAATTAAACGGCAATAAAATCGTTGAATTCAACAATACACAATGCAGTAACAGGCGCAGCAAAGCCCGTAGATAATAATGGTGAAGGATGAGTTCATTTATTTAGATTCGCTCGACTTCTTGCTTGTGGGATAAAGATTCGTGAAACACGTTTAATGTATATAACTCTGTTAAATGGTACTTTAGATGTCACACATTTGATTGGTTCTGATGTCACCATCTGATGTCACCTGCTAGTTTTTGCCATTTCCCAGCAGATGTATTGAAATTTCATGTAGCAAGTTCCATTTCTTCCTGTGCGCTGAAGTTATATACCATCCATCAAGATGGTTTTAACTTTGAACATATGAAAAAAATCTTTTCGTACTTTTGTCGTTCTTTTTTTATGTGGTACTTTAAAAAGCCCCTGCTTTGACAGAACTTCTTCTGAAATATTTTGCCCTTGGCCTATAAGGTTAATCCAAAGCTTAGTCTAAAACCATGGAAATATAAATAAACTTTCAAGTGCCCAAATCCATTTAAGCGTGCTGTTCAAGCGTTTTCCTGCTTTTGTTGTTATTTTGTACAGTATCTAAATATGTTTCTCGAAATTCATTGATCATCTTCAACATCTAAAACATCATTACTAAAACACAACGACAACAGTTTTGTGGTCATTCCTTGAGTAGCTGAGAGATTTAACACAAGATGAGTTACGCACTTTGGCCACTTAAAAGGATAAAAAATATTTTTATAGATTTATTGGGGCATTTTTTGATATTCTAATATTTTGAAAGACTATATATTAATAAGTGACGACACTTTAAATTCCACCTTTTTCCATAAAAACGCGCGTCTAACCATAAACTGCACTGTTTTCAGGAAAAAATCGTTTGTTCGCAATACAAAGTGGTATGTTTGAAACGTGTAAACAGATGTAAACTAATTCATATTGCATATTTATCTCGATGCACGGGAAAATTACTCTCTTTATATCAGCCGCTTACATAAAAAGATAAATGAAGGGTTTAATTTGTAATTTTATCTCTTACAGGCTTTGAGATAAAACTGATTTTTCTATAGAAACCACGATATCGTTTAAACATGGCCGAACAGGTCCTCAATTTCTTCCAATATCAAATTGAGTTTATTTAGCGTTCATGCATACGATATTATGGTTTTATATAAATGCAATTAGCGACTACCGCAATCAATCATTAGTGATTTTCATTTTTGAAGGCATTCCTTTCTAAATCCTGTTGAAAGCAGAACGTGCTAAATATGCATTATTATGAGGACTCATGTTGTTTCATCCTAACGGGAAGCCCACTCAGAACCCTGTGATCACAGTCGAGTAGTTTATAAAAACTTCAGAGTGAAAATTGAGTGTAGATTGTTGCTTTAAGCGAGTTTTGTTATGATAATAGTGTGTTACTTTAGAGCTCATATTGATAAGCTTTACGTGATATTACTTAATCCTAGCCAAGAGTGCAGGGAATATCCTTATGTACGATGCCGTATTCGTGATTATTTGTTGACCCAACATTCTCAAAAAGGTATATAACCTCAGCGTGATAGTATAAAAACAGTCGTAGCTTGTATCAAAACCGTAGACGTGAGAATCAGTGAACGCAACAGTATAGTTACTCCAGAAAATTGAAACCAGACACGCGTCTTAATCCGCGGTCTAGTCGAGGAGACTCGTGATGCAAACACGCGCGGCCTCGAGATTGAACCGACGATTTAGGGGGCCTCGGAGGTCAATGGAGCCAAAAGTGATTTTATCAGTCTTTGACTAATAGCCATCAGTCCCAGAGACAACAATTCTCTCCTAACGTTCAATAAAATTTCAGAAGGTTGAGTTCCAGTTATGTTCATTCCAACGGAACTACCTATAAAAATAGCGATCAGGTGCGCCGTGCGCTTAGTGTGTTTGTGTGTTCCGGTTTGAGGCAAAAATACTGGTTCTTTCTTTACGCCTTCTTCCTTTACGCGCCCAAAACGGGTCAAACTGGACCAATTAAGAATTTTAACGAACCATTTTGACGGGTTAACGGAATGTGAGCTCAGTTTGTTAGGATATAAATTATGAGAGTGTGTAACCTTCATTTTATGTTGAAAACGTCTTTTACCAGGCTATTGATGTTGCTGCTTTTCCTCACATGGATTGTTGGCTGTGCCAGTAGTGAACTTCCTAAAATTGCCGGTGGCCAATTAAAACGTCCAGATCCTCGAGGTATAGAGCTTCATATAAAATAGAACCTAGATTTTATATCCTGCGTTATCACTGCTATATATTTACATCAATTTCAAATCTTTTACAGGTTTCGTCGATTTACTTGATCTGGCAAGAAAACATAGTCGACATGTTCAGCAGGATTCTTTATTTCCAGCTGCGGAAGAATTTTCTTTATTGTTTATTATCAAAAATGGCTGGACGGGCAACCTTGTTCAATTTTTTTCCAGCTCACCTGTGTTACATTTGTTCCGAGTTAGTTTAACGAACACTTCCCTTACTGTGTACAATGAGAAAAGGGAGTCTGTTAGGTTTAGTTTAGAGCCTAGTGTGGGCACTTGGAGGCAACTTGCTATTAGTGTGGGAAGAAATTCTTTAGCGTTGTATTCGTCATGTGAAGACGCGCCGTTGAGGGAATTTTCACGAAATTTGACGTTATGGGGTGAAGGTGGCGTAGTTGTTGGAGATGAAAATCATGAGAGCGAAGATCATTTGGAAGTAAGTTGGAAGTAAATGTGGTTTGTTAGATTGGAAAGTATAGTTGATGATACTGTAGTCATTGATGATGTCATTAATATTAGTGGTAACAACTGCCTAAAATAGGCAAGAACACCATCTTAGGCAGTTGTTATACCACATTTGATGCTAAGTTGTTTCAAGACGCTGCCACGCTGCTGCTCCCTGGTTATATATAAATTGATAGTAGGATAGTTGTATTTATACGAACAATTATGATTTTCCATTAGGGGATATGCCAATTTTTCTTCTCTGTGGAAAAATCGTCAGCTAAAGAATTTTGTTCTCATATCTATCAACAATGTTTAGATATTGGTTTTCTCCCAAACGAGGTACTGTTCATTGTACGTGTGAAGTATTGTTATATTAGGGGATGGGGCGACGACAATCGATTGTCAGTGACTAAGACCACTTCATTCTCGTGGGCAAAATAGCCTAAATGTCAAATCAAGACCGTCTCGCCTGAATTTTTTTGGTGGCTTCGTAGGAAACTATATCTTTCCATCTTTCAAAGCTTATTCAGATCTAGAAACTAAGCATTGCCTCAATGCCTCTAATTTAATTTCGAGTTGTTGTCATGGTAAAAACTGTGAATTATACAGCAAGCAACGAAAACGACTAGAAACCTGTCAAAATTCTATTTAAAAAGATGAAAAGCGTCCAAATCCCAACTTCATTTGCTATTTCCAACGTGAAAATTCCATTTCCCCAACCTTAAAATAGGACATTCTGGGTTCCCATTTTACGGAGGTAAGCAGGAACATCTCACCTCTCCCAATACTGTATTTTTTCAGAGAAGAAACGCCACTGTAAAAGCCTTGGATGACGTCAACAGAAGTATCAAGCCACTTAGCCAACCGATGCTGCTACAGATTAGCCAGGCCACCCGTATGAGGATACAAACGACTCCTGTAGCATACGCAGTAAAATCAAGCTTGGTTATTGTTTCGTCTCCTATCTACATGACTGCCTCAAGAGTACTGTCACAGTCATTAATATATCCAAGTAGAACTGAGGCCCCGTCAACAAGTTACACCGTGCTACAATCTGTCGTCGTGAAGGTAGTTATCACTGGTAATCTGGTTGACGCAATAGGATAGGTGTTTAGTTGAGTCGAATTTGAACGCACTCTCTGTAGGAAGGGGTCGTATAATGCGTTCGTGATATTATTATTATTATTATTATTTCTGAATATTTAAACAGGATTAAAACTTCAGTCATTTACATAATATTTTTACAATAAAATACGATGCAAGAACTGCTATCCGTGCTTGTGATTTCACTGTATTTAAATACGTAATAGTAGAATGATTCTTACTTTTAAATATATATTTTCTAGCCAGAGCCAGGTCCTATTGGGCCAAAGGGCAGAAAAGGTTATTCGGTAAGTATTTTTGTTTCATGAGGTTAGGAGCAAAAAGTGCAATGATTGCCAACAAACAAAGATTATGTTAATTTATACAAAACGCATAATATATCTGATATATTTAGGGACCACCAGGACATCCGGGAATGAGAGGACCTCCAGGACTAAGAGGAATACCGGTACGATCTATCAAACGTTGACATCTTATTTTTCTCTTGTAAAAGCACTTTATCACAGTCGTCTTACTCTTTTTCCTTGGAATAAAAACTGCGATATCTCATTAGGCTGCAAGTTCCAAACCAACCTAAATGCTGCTCATCTTGTAGGACATTATAGGGTAATTGGGATGTTTTATTCGCTATAGGGTAACCCTGGGCCACCTGGGAAACCTGGACCTATTGGAATTATGGGTCTCCCGGTAAGCAAGACTATCAGAAACTTCATAACTTTTCTCTTCTTGATAGTTCGTAGGTGAACACACATAGTAAGATAACTTTGCCATTAGAAGGCCAGTTGTGTCAACAACCTTTTTTTACAACCACCATCAGAAAAGCACAGGGCCATTTTTGTGTCAGGAAGTTGCTTTTTTAAGGGTTGCCGATAATTTGATGAGAAGGTGGATGGTTTAAAGTCTTGATAGGTTGTCAATCTAATTAGAAATTCTTAGACTAAATACGTATTTACGACTGAAGCAATGTTTATTTTCGTAGGGATACAATGGTGACCCCGCATACCACAATGGCAAAAGAGGAAAAGCCGGGCATAAGGTTAGATATAAGAATTGAGGTATAATTGATGGTGAAAATGTAATTTATGGTAAAAATTATACAGTTTAAAGCTGGTAGATTCTTGTCGGCTAAGTTGGGCCATGACGCATTTCGTCTATAGGGTTGGGAAGGTGAAGAAGGGCCGAAAGGAATAACGGGATTTAAAGGAAGAAAGGTAAGATTATTAGTTACGTGCAAATAAAGAGAAAGTTATGACTGCATAATTTATAAAGGCTGTGTTACACTATGCAACGTTCCTTGCAACTTGCAATGCAATTCTAATTTTGAGGGATGTTATTTGTAACGAGTGTTTGAAATGCTAAGAAAACGTTAGCAGATCGTACAAAATGATCGTATTTGACATTGCATTGTAATTTGCAAGGAAAGTTGCATGGTGTGACACCGCCATAAAACTGAAATATCGGTTAGGACTGGTTCAAATATATTATTAACGTGACAGATGACATTACCTCGTTATTACTAGGGTCAACTAGGTCCACAAGGGGATAGAGGAAATATGGGAACGCCGGGCAAAGTTGTAAGTATATTAAAACTTTTTTAGAAATGGCAACTAACAAAATAGGATAAGGTTATTATACACAGTGTAAATAATATCATATACTAGCAAATCTTATGCCGATATATCGTAGGGTCCACCTGGAAATAAAGGAATCGAGGGACGAAAAGGTTTCATGGTATGTTGAAATGCTTCCCTTTTATCCTTTCTATATAAGTTGATTTGTTGCTGTATATACAGTATAATGATTTCTCCTAATTTGGAATATAAAAAAGTAGTGCGACCAGTAGCGTAATCAGCCTAGTAATTTAGTTCAGCTATACGAATTTCAGATTATAATTTATTCATTTCTATTGAAATTCGTTGTTTTCACAGTCGATAGACGCCAAAATACTAAAATATTAGGATAGGGGGACTAAAGTTTATGTGTGAATAATAAAAACGTGTGTTTTGTTGATAATGAAGGTTCATGAGGCTTATCATCTCATTATCTGTTGTCTTCGTTCTTCCATGATGTCTTATGCAGGGCCTCATAAACAATAATATAATATGTTTTCAACAATACATTGTCGGTGATTATTGCGAAGAATTTTACAGGCAAAGAATTTTAGGCATTAATGAACATGGCCTGTTATACCAAAACAAGTCTTTAGCATATCGTATTCTTTCAGGGTCTGAGAGGAGATACTGGAGTCGAAGGCATACCGGGATTAAGGGTATGTTAAACTCTTCAACACTGCATTTCACTCATTTGTCGCCTGTTTTTGACTGGAAATACAATTAAATGTTTCCAGGGTGAGCCAGGAGAACAAGGTTTCCGTGGTGCCCCAGGACCTGACGGTAAAGCGGTGTGTAGAACTTCCTTGATTTTGGATGCCATCATGTTACAGTCGTGATTGCGAGTGATATATTAGGCTTGTTCAACAGTCGTACTGAGTCTTTTTTAAAAGAATAGAGAATTATTTGAGATACCTCATCATCTATTATTGTTAATGATTTCTGCACATCGCAAGCACGTCATTTGAATTAGGCCTTATATCTGTTAGAAAATACGTTCTTTTCATTGCCTTTCAGGGTCCAGCCGGCTCGCTTGGTCGGGATGGCAGAAAAGGTAACACGGTAAGATCATCGCCCATTTTCAAAAGCTTTCTTATTGTAAACGGAAGTCCTTGTTTAAGTTGTTTTAAAACCGCGAGAGTTCGTTCCTGAACTCGTGACGATGCTACTCCAGAACAATTCTGACAGATATGGAATATGAGATTCGTACTACATGAACATTATCTCTTATAGTCAGAAAATAGTTCTGAAATGGAGCTAAATGATTCACTTTGTGAACTGTTGTAGAAGCATCAGCATAATCGAAAATTTTCAAGAATTTGAGCAAGAGTTTTCCCTCAATTGAAAAATTCAGTCCACCGGAAAATTTCAGTCGAACTATTCATGTGCAGAACCTAATGTTAAAGACTAAAATTTTGGTTCATGTCTATCTGCATTTGATGCGGCACTTCGTGACGTCTGGGCATTACATATTTCGAACGTTTCTCTCGGGTAAAATGTGTGTAGTTCTCAATTTTAATTATTTAACTTTCCCCTTAGGGGATTCGTGGAGAGAGAGGACATCATGGTTTGTTTGGTGCCCCAGGCAAACAGGTAACTATGACAGGAGTCTCAGGGAGACAAGAGAAAGTGATAGATTTTGTATGGTAGAAGTTTGTCTTCTTGTTGCTCATTCTGTGAGTTTAGAGAAACAAAATTAAATGGAATTTACATACTGTGCTCCTTGAGAACACAAATAATCATGTTATCATACGTGAAATATCTTTTCATATTTTATTTATTTTTCAGGGTGGCCTTGGTCCTCCTGGGGATTCCGGAATTCCTGGTCCCCTTGTAAGTATAACCCTCTGCTATTGTATTTCTATGTCACTTTAATAATTTTATTAGTTCGAATTACTGATTAAGAGCAATGATGTCGATCATGCAAAGGATATCACGCGCACTTGTTATAATAAGTTATCTTGTCGCTTGGTTTTTTAAATAGTTTCAAAAAAGCCTGTTGCTTCAACAAATTTATAGATGTAGTATTTGATTAAAATGTAGATGTAGTATTTGATTAAAATTTAATTTACACATCAGTCTAACGAGCTAATAATTACCTACAAGCTAACCTTTCTAGGGTAGTCGTGGTCTTACTGGTGAGGAAGGTGAAATTGGTATCCGTGGTAAAAAGGTGAGAAAAAAAAGATAAAAGACGCGTCATTGTTCGTTTGCTACTACGGCGAGACCGTAATTCATAGTATAATATTATTCCTTATTATTTAGGGACATGGCGGTGAAGACGGCATTAGAGGTGTAAAGGGAGTAAAGGTAATAGACTATTTTTAATTATGAATTATCATGCATAGTATATTGTATTGTATTGTACAGGAAGTGTAAAATGAGGTAATCGAACAGAGTCCTATATTGTGAAAAAAAAAGGTGATAACGCAGGCTCGACAGATATATACTACTCTGGTTGATTTCTTAGGGTAGCAAGGGTGTTGAAGGGTTAAAAGGAGGAAGAGGGGAGGCTGGAGGAAAGGTAAAAAACGCATTATCTGTGTATATATTATAATAGGCGTCATTCAGTGAAATATAAGCAGCTATAACTGGTAGTATTATAATTAATTAATTGACATTCTTAGGGCAACCCAGGACTATCTGGAAAATCAGGGCCGTTGGGGGAGGTCGGGAAACTGGTGAGTAAGCAAGTCGTATATCTTTGCTCTGATTAAATGAAAAAAATACGATAGTTTCGATGACTTTAATTTTCTTCTCATACAATTCGCAATAACTTGTGATTAATCATCACTCTCTCATTCAAGGGTCCAATGGGTGATACTGGAGGACCAGGAGGGATTGGTGACGAGGGAGAGAAAGTAAGTCATAAGACCGGTTGAAAATAATATCAACGACAAACATATCACAAATCTCTATAGGTTTGATATAATTTTTCTTTACTTTTCAGGGTGTTCCTGGCGTTACAGGATCACGCGGGGGTCGTGGTGGGCAAGGGAAAAAGGTATATAATATAAATTACACTTAATGGAGAAAGAATTTATAATATGTCAATATCAATGTTTGTTCGATTAAGGGAGAACCGGGGGGGCGAGGAGAGAAGGGCGCCGACGGACATCGTGGTTCTGTTGTATGTATTGTTTTACTTTTGTTAAACTATTCAACTTCAATATTTTAGATATATATACAGTGTAGGAGCATCTTGAACATTGGAACAATAGTTAAGCTTCGGGAATAGGTTGTTTGTAAGCTGTTTTGCCAAGTTATGCACTTTTTAATAGCATTAAAATGAGTAAATTATGTTATTAAAAGAATTGGAAAGAACGGTTAAGCAGAAATTTAAACCAGCAAGTCAATTCAAACCGAGGTTTGACGCTGAAAAATCCCCAGGTGCTCCTATAATGCTCGCGAGACTAAGTTTCAAATGATGGTGGATACGGAGGAAATAGTTTTTTTGGTGATGCATGTGTTGTGTTATTTTTGAGTAGTGATACTCGGGTTTTACCCAAATAATCAGACATCTTCATTTCGGAATTATGTCCGTTGAATTGTCATTTTTACCTCGCTAATGCTGATGAAGTGGAACTTATTACCTTGTTTGTTTACGGCCTTGTCTAGATCTCAAACTATTTTAAACTTTTCAAGGGGAAGCCACTGGAAATTTTGAACCGTTTACAATTAAAAAGTCAACAAAACGTACACCTTCTTAGATAATATTCATACTTCTCAGATATTCTATGAACGTTTTCATGTTTGAAGCAATAAATGTAATGGAATATGTTTGAACATCATATGCAGCAAACCAAGTTTGTGCTTCTTAATGCGTGCACTTGCAAACATCCTCTAAGTGTCTCATTTACCAAATACACCGCTGTCAATGTCTTGGCTTCGATCGCCGGATTAACTGGAACGACCGTAAACTTTCAAAAGTGAACCCTAATTACGTCATCAAATATGTTTACGACTGGTGAATGAAACATGCGAGGATTTTTGCCAAATATATCATGATGTTTCGTGGAATCTTGTGTGCTTTTTATCTAAAACGAGTTTTGTGGTTTTCCAGTTAATCCCACCACGAAGACCAAGCCTTGGCAACGGAATGTTTCATGGAAGCGATGACATCGTTATTTTTCAGTGAGTAACCACGTATACATCAATATGATGTAATATGAATGCTCATGAATTTAGATTATCATGATTTCAAAACACTCGAAATTTCATAAAATTCGGTTGCCCAAAATTTTCAGCCGAGTTACCTTGCAGTGACTCGAAGTATTGTCAATATGAATTATAGATTTAATTTTTTATTTTGTTACAGGGCGCTGACGGTTTAGAGGGCACCTCTGGATTGCTTGGAGATGAGGTTTGTTCCAGGATTATTCAACTAATAATATGCTGTGTATGGGATTAGTGAAACGTTGGTTATGTAAAATTCTGTCGTGAATCGTACCTTCGACCTCTGCGACAAAACACTGATACGAAACTATGTATTTTTACTTCTAGGGTGAAAAAGGCGATCGAGGTGAAATTGGCCTTCCTGGCGAACCTGGCATGTTGGTAATTACGATTTTCACAGTTAAGATTTAACTCAATTCTATTATGAGATGACCGATCTGGTATTGGAAAATTTTAACCTTTCATTTTAGGGAGAAATCGGTGCCACGGGAGCTAGTGGAGAAAGTGCAGAAGCTGTGAGTTGAGTTCACCAGTTTTTAACCGTATGTTCACAAATGAACCATGCACACACTCGTCTTACATTGAAACTTTTGAGTATTTAAACTTACAGTATATTTTTGCATTTATCAGGGGCTTGAAGGACCTACAGGAGAGCAAGGTCTTGGTGGTTTCAAAGGCGAAGGGGTACGATAATCACAATTAAGATGAACTGTCATTAAGGGGACCATTTGCTCGATAGACATGCATAGTTCAAGAGTAAAATATAAAAATACATGTTAAGAAAGAAAATAAAACGTAGCTTCCTAGTGCCCAGTTTATATTCTGTAACTGTTCCGGTATAACTATTAGTTCACAGATACTAGAGACATGTCTTGAAACGTTTTCTGTAGCATTTGTGTTTATGTATATGTAGGGAACAAGAGGACCTTCTGGACTAGCAGGAGAGTTGGGGGAAATGGGAGTGAAGGTAACTTAATATCATCATTGTTCACTGCAGTGGCGAAACAGAGCAACTGTTCGTGCTGATGCATGCATCTTTTTTTTCAACTTTTAGAGACGTATTTTCTCTAATCTAAGTATGTTAACGAGACTAGTTTACATGCTTTTTATCGTTTTGCTAATTATTGCTTCTAATTTTTAGGGATATATGGGTAAACCAGGAATGGAGGGTGACCAAGGCAAACTTGGTGAAAAGGTGCCGCATTATTATGTATTAATACCATGCAATTGGAAGTACGAATCTGCTGAGGTAGAATGTGATCCATATTATGCTGTTTTAATGATTATTTTTCCACTTTTTTGTCGTAGGGTCGACCTGGTGCCCGAGGTATCATTGGTGATAATGGTCTTATGGGACCCGATGTAAGTTCTAAGAACATATTTTGCATTATCTTCTTGCACTATTTTTCTGAACTTGATTTTGGACGTATTCTTTTCAGGGTCCTTCTGGTCCAGAGGGAACCAAAGGGGCACTAGGCGTCCTTGGTGAACAGGTACTGTAGATATTTTGTATTGTATCCGGTGATGCACGAAACATGAATAATTTTGTTACACTCGTGTTAAAATTAGAATAATTATGCATGTTCAGGGAAGTCAAGGTGATATTGGTTCCCGGGGTCTTGCTGGAGAGATTGGTAACGATGGTGATGACGGCCCTGATGGTGATCCTGGTGATATGGTAAGCAGAGTGCCAATTAAAAAAAGAATTTAAAAGATCACACAGCATCACCCAGCTCGAAACATCTAGCATGTTGCAACTTTTCATTTCAGGGTTCAAAAGGCATTGCAGGAAAAACAGGAGATTCAGGTCATATTGGCGAACCAGTATGTACCAGCTTGTAATGCGATCTTCCTTTTGACAGTGAATTCTTTTATGGACCTTTTGGGCTTTTTATATTGTAGGGGCCAGATGGTCCTACAGGACATCATGGGATCATAGGTGCCGACGGTATATATGTAAGTATACTGCTTGTGACTGTACTACACCACAGATTTATCCACGGTGTCTGTTTTCTATAAACATGTGATTTTTTAATATGATATAGGGGGAGAAAGGTTATCGGGGAATGACTGGTCAAGTTGGTAAAAAAGGAGAGCCGGTGAGCCTTGCAATATTACACATCAGCCCGTTAATATATATGTTACAACTTACAATCGACATTGGCACTATGGAATCTTGAAAAATTGTGAAACTGGACTGAGCCAAATACACCCCTGATTCACGTCCATTGTTCTACAATCTTCTTTAGCTTCCTCAATAATAATTTTTGTTGATTTCAGGGTGATCTTGGGAATAAAGGAATAAAAGGATTAGTTGGTAACACCGGAGATTTGGTAAGTACTACTTTACTTGACAGAAGATGAAGCAATAACGAGTAATTAGGTAGAAATATAAAGATGACGGAGTGAACAATTCCCACTTTGTTTTAGGGACAACCTGGCAATCGTGGAATGCGTGGAGAAATTGGAGTGTTTGGTTTTAAGGTAACGTGACTGTGAAATTTGTTATAATGATGAATATTTGATAAAATGTTTCCTGATGAGCGATCAATTCTATTTGCTTCTGGCAGGGTCAACCCGGACTTCCCGGTACCACAGGGACTGCTGGAGGAAAGGGCCAAAAGGTGAATGAAATGCATATATTCCTGTCTTTCTACACTTGGTGAATCTTAAACTCACTATTTACTCCCGCAAACGCCTGCTACAAAAAATTCACGTACAGCAACGCTAGAAAACGTACCTGATTTGATCCGTGTTTGTTTGTTCATCATTTGTTAATTCGACGAACCCTCTCGAGATCCTGGAATTATTTCGGTTCGTTGCATAATATTTAATAACTTCTTGAAAGGGTAAAAAAGGTATTGCTGGAATTCCTGGAACTACGGGATCAGTCGGAGAAGTGGTAAGTAAGATGATAATTAGTTTATGTCTGTAATCATATCATTTTATTTAAATTATAATGTATACTCATTAAATTACATTCTTTTAGGGACCAAGAGGAAAAGTTGGAAAGGCCGGTGAAGATGGTGAAAATGGAATTGTGGTAAGGGCTCAGGAACATGAAGAACGTTGAACTGATTTAGTGACACATGCATATTTCCACACTGGTCACGGGACTTCTTAGTCCTGTTTTTCTTATTTTCGTGCTCTACAACTTTTTCGCAGCCGGCATGTTTTTCTTCTAGACTAAGTCTGTTTTTTTTACATAGGGAATAAAAGGAGATGGAGGTCAATCGGGATTTAAAGGGTACAGAGGATTGCTGGTAAGATTCTAGTTGGGTTTCTTCACAGTTTAGGTTTTGGGATTTTTTGATTGACCGGCAAATGCTTTACAAGAAACAAATGCTGTGTACGATTGGGAGGAGGGTTGTGTAATAAACCTAAACCTAATCATTTTCATTGTCAGGGCTCAATTGGAAAACCTGGAGAAACAGGATTACCTGGAGAAATCGGACTGCAGGTTTGTAATGTCATATATATCATTGTTTTACCTCGTTGCGTCTCAACTCCTCATCATTTTTTATATTGTTGTTGTCCAGGGAATTTTGGGTCCTCGAGGTGAGAAGGGATTTCCAGGATTAGTTGGACAACAGGTGAGACACACTCTCAAAAGAAAGGTTTTCATAAGCGTAACTAACCGTTGTGACGTATATCTAAACTCTGTAGGGAGGAAAAGGTGACATAGGTGTGGAAGGAAAATCTGGTGAACAAGGGTCACAGGTAGGATGATACCTGTGTAAGACGTTGTGCGTTATAAATTAAAAACTAGCTAGTTTCTGCGCCATGCAGAACACGCCGGGTGCGAAGTGTTTCGTTGATAGTGTCCATGCAAAGAATACTTTATGGAGGTATATCAATGTGTGTTAAAAAATCTAGGGGCTTCCTGGTGATGCTGGTAACAGAGGTGATACTGGCGGTGATGGCAAACTGGTGAGCTTCTAAGTGCATACGTAGGCAAATAAACTCATGGACACTTTTTGAATTGATGTGCTGATTGCTGTCATTTTTTTGGGTAGGGTCGACCTGGTGAGCCGGGAGTGAAAGGCACTAATGGAGACTTCGGCGGCGGGGTTTGTTGTTAAAAAGATTATACATCTGCACTACACAGCTAACCCAAAGCAATACTTAACTTAAAAAGCCGTTGTAGACATAATACACCACATGCATGCATGCAATCTTCTCTTAAGTTCCATCTTTTCTTTTATGTTTTTTTTTTGTAAATATATGTTGCAATTTTTTCATTACCATGATTCATAGGGGATGCCAGGAACAGTGGGAAAGAAAGGGGTCAAAGGAATTTCAGGCTTACGGGTAGGTATCAGTTGTTAGTCTTTGCAATTGGAAAACTTTCTTCCATCGGAGAAAACGGGCTTTTTGAGCCTGAAATAGGGGATTGAACAGGGTCTGTTTTGATGCAAAGCTTGCGTGCAAACCCATTTTTAGTGTTTGGTTATTTGGATTGTAGGGAATGGAAGGCTTCCGAGGACCTGCAGGCCCTCACGGTGGAACTGGAGAACAGGTAAAAACAGAGGCTAAATTTTACATAGTTCATCGTTATTCATTTTATTTTACAAAACATTTCAAGCTAAAAGTAATTTATTTTTTTTCAGGGACCGATAGGTGAAACAGGTGCACACGGGACGAAAGGGAAGAGAGGCATACAGGTATGGATAGTGGGAGTAGAAGTTGGATAGACGATCACCTAGCTCTGGATCATGAATCAAGAATAAAATCCTGCATGATTGCTTTTGTACTTTAGGGTAAACTTGGGTTACCTGGCGTTACAGGAGATCCAGGCGAACCCGGAAAGCAGGTACGGAAATGCAAATACCCATAGCTGAAACATCTGATGTTTTCACACAATCACGAAATGGGTTTTGTTTAACTTTTTCGTGATGTTTTAGGGAAAATCCGGTACGCGTGGAACTCTGGGAGCAACAGGAGCTCCTGGTCGCAAGGTATAATAATACTACCATATTCATGCATAAGAATATTTTTGATTGTACTACACCACACTATTTTTCTTTCAAGGGAATAAGAGGCGATATCGGAGTTCCGGGAAATGTCGGAAGACAGGGACCAGCGGTATATGATATAAACTTTTTAATTTGAACCAGCCTTTTCGAAAACCACGTCAATTCCGCTTGCATGTCTTGAATTACCTGAGCGAGTCTCGGGGCCAAGGAAGCATTTGCGTTGATGAACCGAACAAGATGATACCAGCCGGTTTTCTTTCCATTTTAGGGTCCACCCGGGGAAGTGGGGATTATTGGCTTGGCTGGAATAAGAGGAGAACCGGTAAGTAACGTTAATGTATTCATTAATATCGCCATGACATCCAACCTCTGAAACGGTGCAGTAATGGTTATGGTTGAGAATTGTAGCGACAGCTCCACAATATGTGACTGAAACGAAATCATCATCAGACAAACCTCAAGTATTCTTCTAACCCCGCAACAACATCTCTTTGAAATATAACTAAAACATATTTAGTGCAACATTGTAATTTTTATGTCACCAGGGGTCAGCTGGAAAAGATGGTAAATCACCAACTAAGAGAGGACCTCGGGGTTCTATTGGTCCACGAGGACTCCCAGGGACTCCTGGACGTTCTGGATCCAATGGTATTCCTGTAAGTAATAACCCTAAGTCTAAGCAATGCACTAAGTCCCGTAAAGCAATACACTGGATCTGTAAAGCAATACACTGGATCTCTTGTCAAGATACCTCATTTATCATTTTTATCTAATTGAAGTATGTAAGTTCATAGCAGCCAAGTATATAAACTCTTACCTCTACTCTGGTTTTATTACTGAAGTGTCGAAACTTGGGGTCGTTGATGTGATTGCAGTGGTTACTTTCATTAACTAAACCAGAATAGCTATATTAGCGATACCTTATTTTTACCTGTTTCTATAGGGACCTCGAGGTGATCCTGGAAAAATTGGAGAAGAAAGATCAAAAGGGAAATCTGTAAGTTTTAGGTATTTGACATGATCTAGAGACACATTGCTCCCATGTATCAATCCTTAATCACTGGGGTACTACAGCGGAAATTGGCCCACAGCCAAGTCGGCCATTCTTTTAAATGTAGTGAATATAAAGATTAGAATGTGGTTTCACCTCAATATTTAGGGCCCGGTAGGAAGTGTCGGACAATCAGGAATAATTGGACCAAAAGGTTCACAGGTTTGTTGGCAGTGGCAACGTCTTGTTTAAAGATAGTTGAAGCAAATTATTATGTTCTTAAACGTGAACTCTGAACCAACTAAGGCTGGATCATCCACATTTTCTGGGTGTATCAAGTTCCCAAGCCAACTCCCTGTTTACTTTATATTCAAACAGGGTGAAACTGGTCGTTTAGGTCAAGTTGGATTTCCGGGAAATAAAGGCATTAAGGTTGGTGCTTTAGTTCAAACAGACTACATCGGTTTATAGCAGGCTTCGTGCCAGGGGTTAATATAAATATAAATGTTTATCGTAAGCCATTCCATGAATTCCCGGTTAACGACGAGAAAGTGAAAAACGTGAGGAAATTAATCTTGGCTAACAATGAAGGAAAATGAACTTGTATAATTTACAATATTTCGTTTTGTTTTTGATTTTAGGGTAGCAAAGGACACCAGGTTGGCAAGAAATTCTGCATTGTGTAAATTTCAATTTTCAAGTTTACAAAATGTCACATTGGCAACTGAAAACATGTCATCGTTTTAGGGATATCAAGGTGCTCCAGGGGATACGGGTTATAAGGTATGCCGTTAAGAACACTTAATCGTCTCTTTGACGCATTTAACCAAGGTTTTTTCATAATTATTTTTCATAATTATTTTCATTAACCTGCTTTAGGGTTGGAAAGGAGCTCAAGTAAGTAAACTATGACTTTATTAATATTTTATATCCTAACAAAGGCATTAAACATTCTGCTTTTCTCCTGTTCTCTGCATATAGGGACGTAGAGGACCTCCGGTAAGTGTCTTTAAACGTGCATGGCTAAAATAGCACACCGCTGAGCATCACACAGCATCCAACAGTATAAAAACAGAAAAAAGGCTTGTAAAAAAGCCTTTTATGGACAAGGAATATTAGTTAATTGTATATATTCGAATGCGTGATTTTAAACATTTTTATAGGGTCCACCTGGATCAGTAAGACGAGTTTCAACTCTTCAACAGGTAATTCTTTTTATAATACCGAAAATGATATTATTCAGATAAGATAAACCTTCCTTATAATGTCCAAAGTTTTATTGCGATTATGTATTAATTCGGTACTTCAGTATGTATGGTATGTATGGTATTACAGGGAAGCCGAGGGGGGGGGGAGGTTATTAATTCGGTACTTTGAACAGGGATACTGAGGGGGAGGGAGGGAGTAACTCACGTGACTTTCCTTTTCTTCTTTACTAGTAGAGACGATAGTTAAGAAAAAAAACCACGCGCTTCAAATGTTCATCGTTTTAGGGATATTCCTTATTTTTTTCCTAGCCAGTGGAACGAACACAAGGAAAGACAAAGGCCCGAGTAGTTCATTATTATCAATCAGTCTTCGGAGATCCAGAGATGGAGGTATTCTTCACGCAGAGCTTTGCTTGGCTCCAATTCTAGTTTCTCGTCATCTAAAAATTCTTTCTCCACAGGGGGTCCCCATGCAACAAAAAATTATCAACTTGGCTGGTCAAACATCAAATATGAAAAATCCTCCTGGAAGTAAAGAGTATCCTGGACGAACATGCAAGGATTTGCATGCCTGTCATCCGCAACTAAAGAACGGTATATTTTCACTTTGCAAAATGTTTGCTTCACAGTCGAGTTCTAAAAAAAGATGTCAACCCAATAATTAAATCCCGGCATTAAGCAGAGTCTGACGTCTCATATTCGCCTGAATTTCTGCACGTGTGAAATATATTTGGCGTACTGTATCGTTATATAGGCTATTATTGGATTGATCCAAACCTTGGTTGTCCTGTTGATGCAGTTCGAGTGTATTGCGATTTTACTGCTGGAGGGAAATCCTGTGTTGCACCATCGCCTGAACAGGTCGAGAACCGTTTTCTTAATTTTTAATGAGAAATAGCCTTCAGTGTGTGCGATAACACTAGGACCATTCAAAATTCGATCAAGATAACTCGATTTCTGTGCGGCTCACCCGTGTGTACATGTATACGATGATAAGGAAGAACTGGTGGAATTTAACTGATATCTAATATTGTTGTCTTAGATTCCCAAACGAACTTGGTCCCAGGGCAAGCCAAGAGCTCGGATTCGGTTCTCCAAAGTTGCCTCAAACTTTACATTTCGGTATCCCATCTCGAAAGTCCAGTTTAATTTCCTTCGCTTACTAAGTTCGAATGCGACCCAGCGGATAACGTACAACTGTAAAAGCTCAACAGCGTGGTATAACAGACGCGAGAAGACATATAAGTTTGGCGTGCGATTTTACGGTTGGAATGGAAGGAAGTTCAAATATAAGGGAAAGCAGAGTCCTCAAGTATTAAGTGACGGGTGCAAGGTATAGTTTAAATTTGTTGTCATTGTAACTAAAAGTTTAGCTTGGCTGATTTACTGACTAAATCACAATATATCATGCAATAACTAATGCAAATTCTCAATTTTCATAGATCGACAACCAAAGGTGGCGAAAAGCGGATTTTCTACTAGAAACAACGATCTTAGAGTCTTTGCCTATTGTTGACTTCAGTTTCTTTTATAGAGGATTATTTCAAGAGCAATTTGGTTTGGAAATAGGTCCTGTATGCTTCTACTAGAACGTCTGTTGTACACCAATGTAGACGTGACTATGATACTGTCTGAAAACATGCGTGCGAGGTCGAAAAATTGACTAAGAAATCGAAACGGATTGTTATATTCGTAGTATTTTGCATAAAATCGTTTTCGAATACCTTAATATATCGTGGTTTATTTGGGCAAACCTCTTAGGGTAATTCTGTATTCCGTTTTCTGCAAAATTCCCCGATTATAAGAGATATGAATAACGTGCTTGACGCAAATGTGTGAAAAAATATACTGTGCTATCGATGTTTTTCGTTTTTGAGAACGTAACTTATCCTCCCATCTTATCATATGGTTGTATAAAATGAAAAGACATGTATATACGCAAATTAAAATAATAATTATTAGTACAATACTCAATAGTTTAATGATGCTCAATATTATAGCTTTCTAGGTTAAATGTGATTCATTAATACATTGTGTTTTGCTGGTCGAGTCTATTTTTGTTCATAGAAAAAAAGATGTAACAGTCATGCAGTGCCAGTTTTGCAATATGATCCTATTTTATTGTACAACAATTTGACGTACATATTTGATATAGTATACATAGGCTTGAGCCCACGTTGAGGGTCTACGAAAATGCGGTATGTGCTTCTTTGACTTTCTCTTTTTTCTCTTTGATTGTAGTCAAAGGAAACTATATGCTCATCAAGTCTCTTGTATTTCCACTTTCGTGGGTGTCAATTTTCCATTACATTTGAAATGAATGTCTCGTATTCACCAACAGACCACAACAACTAACAGCGCATAGCAAACGGAAACGAACAAAGGTGTTAAGCTATTAAAATTAACAGGACCATACTACCAAAATTCCTGAAAACTGTGACAATTAGATGAATTTCAGTCAAACCTTTGTTTACTTGAGAGGGCAGTGTGTGTGTTTTCCTCTTTTTGGGGTTTTCTGTTAAAGAATTTTGTTAAAAAATAATCCACTGAATCTCAGAGTTGGCATATTATATAAGAATACGTGCCGATTCAGCACGCATGGTGTGAAGAGAGATCCAGATTAAAAACATAAATTGTGTTTATAAGCAATATATGACGCATCGTGTGTTGATAGGATTTACAAGTAGTTGATAACTTCATATGGGTTTAAACTTTAATCCGTAAAATCTTTAATATTTGTCACGAACGCTTGCCTTGGTGAACCAGTAAACAAAAGAAAATTTCAACGAAAATCTGCAAAAAGCAATCGACATGTAAAATGTCTCAGAGCTATCTGAAAAACATTTAAATATCTCGAAAATGACAATTGGTGAAATTGTATCTTCATGGGTGACACCTTAACTAAACAAACATTTAGTCTATTCATGGTGTATCGCCAGTGTAACTCTGGCAGCAGCTCAGGAGCATGAAAAAAGTCTAAAATGCAAACATTTCCCTTAGTCTTAGAGGGATCACGAAATTTAATTTAAGAACCATTTTGGTAAAAACCTATCTAATTACGTGTTATCTTCATATAAGAATGAAATTAAGAAGTATTCCGGATTCTTCAAGTCGAAAACAACAACAGACAAATTGGTGGAGCTCTAGAACTTTCATAAAAGAAGATTTCTTTGAAACTTGAGATAGTTATTGACACCCAAAGCGATGCGCCGGTCAGTTGAAACGTATAGCGGAAATTACCTATAATGATAGAACGCATGGTTTAATGCTTTTTATCCCAGCAGGAAATGAACAGCTATTAACATTGTTACGCTGCTATTCACTGGTACATACAGAGCTATGGTGAAAAATGTAGTTGCCTGTCTAAAAAGAGAGAGCTATAGTTTATAAATAGAACTTTATAGGCTATTATTATTCGCAAGGAATTAGCAATGGTGTATTTTGAAAAAAAGTGTGTTTTGAAAGTTATACATGGTCAACAAATAATGGCGAAATAGGTTCTATATAGTTTATGTCATTTATATTGTTGTGAAAAAAAGAGTTTGTGTGTTTATTTGTAACTTGGTAATTTAACTAGGTTATAATTACTAATAGGACAAGTACTAGTCAAGGGTCTGTTCCTAAAATTGAAAAACACTAAAAAAGATTAATTTTGTGTGAAAAGATATCGTGTAGTACACGACATCAGGGAAACAATTTGAAAACGCTATACTTTCTATTTCATCTTTTTCCGTTTATATCATTTTTTGGTATTTGAGATATGCTGTACTGGGTGCCGTATAAGTTTATTTAAATTCGTTCGGCTGTCGGAATGATCGATTATACGAACTCTTAATAACTTTCACACACTTTCATAAACTTTGACCTGCTCGTTAAAGTTGTCATGACATTCGTAAGTTATTGAAAGACCTTGAGTGATTCTGGCCAGTTAATTGCATTAGGCTGACAAGCATGACTCATATAAAGTTTATGTTTTACAAGTTTTTGATCTGTATTTTATAATCGTAGAATTTTTGCCAGCCTGGCTATTCACCACGCCCCTCGTGGAAACCAGCCAACTAATGGTGTCGCGAGGCAGGTATATTCCACTCGAAGTAGACAAACTGCAAACCCCGAGCGTTAAGAAAACCATTTCATAACACTTTAAGGTATATTTGAATGGCGAGAATACGTTGTTATACGATTTTTGATTCATCGCAGCAAACTCATTTTAAAAACGAAGTGACGATCCTCAGATCATTTTACTATATTAAATGTTTGAATCCACGATACTTTCAATACAACTACCAAAGCATTGATGCAAAGTAGCAGAATGGTATAATATCATAATTATTATACAATTTTCGCAGGACTCATTACAACCCGATATAGCTGTATGCATGCATGACCATGCGTGACAGAATAAATAATCCTGTGCTTAAAAAATCCTATATCCTATTAACATCTCGTATCTAAAAACACTCTTTGTGGGAAGATTTAAGCGCTTATTAAACACTCTCTAATACCACAGAACTGTGGATTGCAGCTAACAGTTTAAATTAGGACTGAGCAGTTTAGTTTTCAGATTATCATGTCTTCCTTGAACATAACGACGCCTGTACGACACGATGTTTTAGCCTCTGAAAACCCTGGACGATACACGTCTTTTTATATTTCTGATATATTGGCCGAACGAACGGAAACACCTGATTTAACAAAAGAAAGACGTCCGCCTGAAGACAAGAGGACTCAAGATGGACTTATTGAGCGATCATTTAAAGGTACGCTACGTATTGTGAGGAAGTTAAGACTAACGTATAGCATTTTACAAACTTAACACGTTTCTTGGTATACGCCAGAGCTGCTTTTTATCAACTTAAAAACACAAACCTTGCCCTCGAAGTTTAGAAAATGTTCATGAATGTCCTGTTTTCAGTGCAAATTCCAATCTGACGTAGTGAGATCAATAACAAACTTCCCACTTTGCATAATAATTTTTCCCTGTGGAAAAACGCAGAATAATCAATATCAATTTAATCGCAAACTAACAACCATTGACCATTCCATTCCTATATACATGGAACATTGTTATTATTAGAAAACATCCTTTGCTCATTTTACTCTCCATTAAGGCATTATGGGCTTGCTCAGTTTAATTGTGATGCATGTATGTTTCTGCAGTCCATCAAATAGAGTTCAGTTTTAGGATCGGTATAATAAAGAGAATGTAAACTAAGTTTTACTTAATAATTTTCTTGTATGATTGCATGGCGACTTTAGTAATTATAATAACTTGTAGGTACACCACGTAAGTATTAAATACTGCAAAGCTTTCGGTCCGTTAAAGCTTTCGGTCTTTTCGGTGTCTCTTAGTCAAATACTTGTCTAGGGCGCGCGCATTAATTAGAACTTAATTAAATGAAACCGTTTAATTAATAGCGCGAGCAAACTAATCACGACTAACATGATATTTAAGTGACGCGCAAACGTGTATTCAAGTAATTGCACTGATGAAGGTCCGGGTTAACGGACCGAAAGCTTTGCAGTATTTAATACTTACGTGGTGTACCTACAAGTTATTATAATTAATTAAGTTTTACTTGTTCTGCATCGGTACAATTGAAAAGAAAGAAAATGTCTGTTAGCTTCAGAGATCTTCAGAAAATATACAGAAACAGTAGCTAATCATCTAATTGATTTATATCGTTAACTTGGAATTAAATTTTTTAAGACCAGTTGTGTGGTCGCCACTAGCATGCATAATATTGAAAAAGGCGAGACTATATAAGAAAGGCGATATATACCCGTGAACCTTCAACATTATTGATCGGTCGTATCTATTATCACACTTCCAAAATATATCTCGTCGAAGGCAATATGTTTTGGCGTGTTGAGCAATTTAATAGTCTAGAGTACATTTTTTTAATCGATTATAACAGCCACAATCAATTGTGCGTCAATGGCTACAGACGAAAAACTATGTTTTGATTATCGCCGGCCAAGTTATTATCATAATCAATGAAATATCTAAATCTTTCATCATTTCCGGGTGGTACATAAACACATCGATACCATTTTCAAGTTCAAACAATGAAATTCAATAAAAACTGTTCAATAAAAAAAGGGTATATATGATATCGTCTTCATTTTTATTTGAAGCTAATGACAACGTTGAACAAAGGTGTTCAAGGCTATACAATGAACATGCCTGTTCTTCTCTGATGATGGAACCATTGCTTAAACAAGAAGTCAATTTTTCAAACCTGAAGAGTCGTTCACCATTTCTCGCGGAACAACGAGAATTATTGGAGAAAATATTCCAGGAATCGAAGTACATTTCTTCCTGTAGAAGAAAGCAGTTAGCGACCGAACTAAATTTGACAGAACGACAAATCAAGGTAATACAAATATTACTAACTCTCCTCACGAAAGTATCTAGGACTAAGGACGAGATCGATATCCTAGTTGTATTTATATTTTTTTATATATTTCATAGTAACCTTTGGCGCTTGTTTTCTGTAATCGTATTTTTTTCTAAAACTACCAGCATGGCATGATGAGATTTTCCTAGTTAAAAGGGAATGGCCGATTTGACCTGCTACAGAACTCTCAGTCATGAATAAAGTTACTTTTGTTGCTCTTTAAACAGACTTGGTTCCAAAACCGCAGAACAAAGTTTAGGAAAGTACGAGGAAGTGACGGTCTCCGACGACAAGATACGTGGGACGTCGAACAAAGTGGTGTCTCTAGAGTGTTGTCAAATATTGACGAAGGGATAAATGGTTTGCCAAAAGACTGGGTACTAACACTGTACAAACTTCTTTCAAACGATTAAGACAGAATTAGCTGAATTGCATTTGTTGATTCGCAGTCGAACGAATTTCGCTATATCAATATTTATTACTACGCACTTCAAGACAAATCTGCTAAATTGACAATTCATGCCCAGAACCATTATTATGACAAAAGTCGTTGAAAGACTTGCAAAATTTATCCAAGCTGTTCATTTTATTTGTTTAAATTGCAATGAAAAATTTAACGATAGAATAATTCATTCCAAACGTTCAACGTTTGCCATGTCATAATGGGCGAGTGCATGAGCCTAAACGCTAAGTTCAACCTGGTTTTATGTTCGTTTTAAACTTACACAAAAGGTTAAAATATCTTGACATATGAGTCCTGCACCACACTGGACTAACGCGTTTCATAAGAAATTAGAGGGTTTATTGTGTGTATCTAGGTCACATTATTGTCGCATCAACGAATCTAACAATCTAAATCATATCTATATATATTTTACAATGCCATGCCTAAGTGAAAGTGGAAAGTACCTATATATAGACTTGTTTTCTTCAACTGAATAACAGGCTTCTAACTTGTAACATACTGAAAGAGAGATGGGGTGTACCGTATATATAGTCAAAGACTCAAGGCAGGCATATCATTGATACTATAAATAGAGTTAGTATGTAACCCATAGTTCCTTTTATGATGTACGCATTTGTTCCACGCACAGATATTGCCTATGGATTTATACCGTACTACGTATATATATCTCTCCCCTTAAGATTTCCCCAGGGGCTTGCGTCCCTAAGTCCCCCATACTTCATGCCTAGGACAGAGATAGGCCTATTCAAAATCTTTAAGTTTAAGGACAGGTAGAATTTCCTGTCTGTCTTAGTTAAAGTAGTAGATTGTTGACAATGCATCATCCTCGAGGAAAGTCAATTCAGGAAGCAGACATAAACAGTTTTTTATAAAAAATAGACCGGAATGTGGAATTACGATTAGTTTCGTGCCAACCTACACGAACATAGGATTAGTGGCCGTGAAAAGAAAAGATTAAACTGATGCAAATAGACCGATAGCAACATTCACTCGTTCCTCGACCATCGTTCCTCAAAGACCAATGAAAAAATTTCACAATGAAACACTTGGTTGAATTGTTGTTGAATTGCATAGGAGTTGAATTCATAATTGATGACCAATGTTTCGTAAACGATATTCTTAGTAAAATCGCCTTGATAAAATTACTAGAATAGTTTATTAAAAGGTATTTTCTTTCAATTCAGCAAGCCGTTCCATATGTTTTCGTTGCATTTCGCTGAGATGAATTGAAATGAGGCCTGTTCGTTATAATATATGAGGAAACCTCTTTAGACTTTACGCTTTTTATTATAATTGTTTTGATTTCAAATATATTTAACCTTTTGCCTTTCGGACATGCCGTTGTAAACTGTAAACATTCGCCCGCATATCGCTTCTTCATCTCGTTCAAAACCATTACTGATGATATTTAGAACAGCAGGAATTTTAAAATATCTTGAGTGAGAGGACTACGCTGCACAATATTGTCAGTAGTTGCCGAGACGAAATATATCAGTACTTTCGATATTGTATGTTCAAAATTTCATTAAATTACATTCGCTTTTTCAAATTTATTTCTTCTTTGACAGCGTGTGTTAATTATTTTTTTCTCTGGAGTGTCACTCATGCACTGAATTAAATATTGTTCAATCTCACGCCATGGTCTCTAAATGGTTTATCAGTTTTCCACTAATAAAATCTGTCAAGACGCTGAAGGTGAAAGACTATACCAGAAACCCAATACAGAAAGAGACATTAGAGTATAGTGCAAAGTAGATTAAGTCTTAACACAAGACAAGCCGGCACCAACGATTAAAATAATTGCAAGAACTGTGAAAATTGATAATATTGATCTCTTTTTGGTCCGTGAGGAAGGAAATTCATGAATAAATGTCGCGACAAGGTCTTTCACACGTTATAACCCACCTGTGTTGCAACTATTAGCCGTTAATAGTGTTTACTTGGTTGTGTAATATCGTCCCATTATCATTGACATCGCCAGAAGGTTTGTGGCCATCAATGTCTATATAAGGCCACCTCGCGACACTTCCCTTGTTATTCCTTTCAATCCACCTGACTAGCGCAAATAATACATTTTGAAAATAATTGCAGTGCTTTATTTAAAAATAAAAGATAAAGATTTCATTCGTGCTTCAGATTTTTCACTACCGTCTGTGAAGTGCGGCTATTTTTGTCGAGATTTTTGTATTTTTCTGAAGTCAGTGAAACTCCCTTAATGAATTAAAAAAACCTTAGCAACTTTTTTCTACAAAAAACCTTAGAAAGAAAAGAGTATACAGATTTATATACTAAAATCAATGGGGTTTTTGCAGATTTCCAATCAAGCGAGAACAGGAGACAATGTGTACTACATTCCTCCATTTTTCCTTGTAAATTGTTACAATGTACACGTAACCTCGAACGGGACAAACACTCGAAGAGATTTGTCTCATTTTAAGAATATCCTCAAAAATTTTGAACAGTTATTTTTTTTAAGTTTCATGTATATCAATTAATAATCAATCTATATTATTTAGTCATAAATAAGTCAAAAGTTTATTTATGACTAAATAATATGGATTGATCATTGATTGATATACATGAAACTTTACATATAGATATAGGTTTTATCAGATTACACATTTTTAGGAAGCCTGTCTTATAAATAGAAACAAAGGTTTTCTTGATATTTAGACTTGTTTTATACAAATGTTCTTCCATAAGTTCCATAACTTCCATTCACACGATATTTCTTTCTAAAGTTTCAACTTTCAAGTTCTTTTCTCAAAACTATTTAACGTTTCTACGCGTGCATCAAAAAATCAATTCGTCGTCGGTGAATTTAAGTAATTCACATGGGCGTTTCAAATATTCGGTTATGCCAGGCTGATTTGAAAGTGAAATTGCTTCCAAAAGAAATTAGCCAGGCATAGCAGAATGCATATGGTCCCCCTCAATTAAGGTTCGATTGAAACCATTGGTAATTCATTAGCTGCTAAAATACTCATGCCAATCCGACGGTACCTACCTAATTTTTGGGCAAGCTGTGCCCGTCGGTCAGTCAGTCAGTCAGTCACTGGCAATAACCCGCGCACAGGCGAGAAAAATTGGAAGGATTGTTACTTTGTTTGTAAAATATTGTTAAATTTCTAGTCTAAAAACAAGAAACTTAATTTGTGCATCGTGGTTTGGGAAATGTCTACAAGATATATAATTACTGATGCATGGAAAGTAGTCCTGATAAACATCGAGATAAAGCTCTTTACTTGACTTCTAAGATAATACCTTCAAGTTCCAAAACAATTTGTTTATGTGTGAACAGTGAAAGGTATTAAAATGGCTGCCAATTTTGGTTACAGAGAAGTAAAGGAGGAATGTGATTCAGAGAGTGAAGATGGGGATATTTCTCCATTTTTGTTGACACCAATTAGTTTCAGATCTCTAGTTGGTCATGATGATGAAGTAAATGCATGTTGTTTTTCTCCTGACTGGACCAGGCTGGTGTCAGTGGGGGATGATTGGGTGGTTAAGATGTGGGACACTGCATCCGGAAAGCCTGTTTATACATTGACAAGTCATAAAGGTGAGAGTTAATTGAAAATGTTAACTTTTTGGATGTCTTTGCCATCATTTGTTTATTATACCTAAGTTAGATCCTGGCTTCCAGATCCTTTCTAAACCCTGGGCTCAGAATAATGACCAAGATACCTATATAGCGTGGCCTACATATGGGCGTGGTCAGTATTTACTAAATGCCTCTTGTCTCTACCAACTCTATGCAATTCCCCTTGTCAAACGCTGTTCACCTTGTCAAAATAGTGGGGGAACACCGTTCCCCATGTTCCCCCTGCAAAACATTGCTGTAAAGACTCCCTATGTTCTGTCCAATGATAGTTATCCATTGATTTTACCATTGACATGCATTGCTAACAATGCATTTCAATAGCACTTTTGAAGTAATTAATAAGCCAAGAAATGTGGCCAGTCCAAATGATCAGAAACACACATTTCAACTGGTCATTATCAGTTGACATGAGCCATTATTTTGAGTCAAGCTTGATTGTTGTCAAAAGGATTGACATCAATTTATATTCATTGCTTGATTCATTGCAAGTGCTATGATGACTATGAGTTCTTTGACATCTTTAAGGGTCCATAAAGTGTTGTTGTTTTGCACCCAGTGGAGATATCTTTGCAACTGGATCTTATGATCACAGTGCAATAATTTGGGATGTTGATACAGGAGAAGAGATTCATAAGTTGCAAGGTCACAGCCATAGTGTGGAAACCTGTTGTTTTACAAACAATTGTTTATGGCTTTGCACAGGATCATGGGATTGTTTGGCGATAATTTGGAATGTTCAGGTAAAATGACTTTCTTATTTTTCTGAAAAGAGATGACAGGGAGCATAGAGTTTGGGAGGCCACAGTTAGTAGGCCTAATTATTTTTTAATAGTTTACCTCATTCCCTGTTTTTCATTCACATTTTTCATTTACAAATTTTTCTATGAAGGCTCTCTGTAGCATGTTATGTATGTGCTTTAGCTATCCTAATGGCCCCTTCAGATATAAGAATCACTCCATAGTCACTGAATGAGGATCGATTCATTTCTTTTTCCTGATGTCCAGACAGGTGAAGCTGTCTATACCTGCTCAGGCCACACAAGTTCTCTTCAATGCTGCACATTTTCAATAGACTCATCATACATGGTAAATATTAAACCATTTATTACCCAATATATGTGTCTTGCATAATGACTGCAATTATTTAATGATTATGGGTTGTTCCTTTAATGCCATGTAAATTAACTTACTGTATTTGCTTCATAATCTTTTTTTAATTGATATTGAAATATATATATTATTTGGTACAGTATATGAGATAAAAACTCTTCAAACATGTCAGGTGAAATCGTTTATAATGGCTAATAATAGTGTCAAAATTATACCAGCAATCATAGTATATATTATGTAATATTTATATAGGCATCAGGATCTTGGGATTGTTCTGTCCGTTTGTGGTCATTAGATTTATCCCTCGTTCCCAAACCGGAAGTATTATCACCACCGTGTCATGTTCTTCAAGGTCATAAAAGCAATGTAAAAGCTGTTTCATTTTCATGCCAAGGTATTTTGGTGAGTTTTATGAACAAAACCTTTCACTAACTCAGCCACTTCGTTAGGAATGTGGCTGGCAATAAATTTACATTAGGAGCCTTCGGAAATGAAAATGGGCAACATGACAGTTATTTAGCTAATATTCCAATTTCAAATTAGGCATCTGCCTCATGGGATTTGACAATCATCTTGTGGGATGTTAAAATGAGGTGTATGAACATAATTTTGACAGGACATACTGGTTGGATTCAGGTAATCAGTGATGTGGTATACTTCCCCTGATGCAGTGTCTGTGATTCTATGATACATTTTATAATGAAATGTTTTTTCTGTTTTAAAGACATGTTCATTTTCACCTAATGGTGACACTTTGGTGTCTGCAGCAGATGACCAAACTGTAAGTTTATTGAATTAACCAAATTTTATTGAAAATTAAAGATTTATTAACTTGAATGCCTATTCCACTATTTTAAGGTTCGTATTTGGGACGTTGACGATGGCAAATGCATCAAAGAATTAGAGGTATTGAAATGTAAATTAATTATCAGATTTGTTAAAGGTATATATACTGTTAATGACTATTAGACAAATACTGTATATACTGATGAATTAGGGCATCTTCATTCTGATTATCTATGAAAATTCTCTTCACCTTAATCCAAATTATTGTTTTTGAAATTGATGTAAACAATTTGGTTGCAGTTAAAGTCTGTTTTTTTCATGTTGCAGTGTGACACAGATGAAATACATACATGCTGTTTTAAACCAAATGGTACCTTACTAGCATCAGGGTCTTTGGAAACATATGAAACAGAGATTTGTATTTACTGAAAAATAAATTATGTTCATAAACTCAACTTGTGACATCCAAACAATAAAAAAGGTAAGAAAAGTTGCTTCATATTGGATTTTTCTATTGATTTTAATATTTTGAAACGTCACAGGTGCTCATTCGTTTTTTATTTTTTCATAAATGTTGAAATAATTTGTAATTTTCCCCCCAAAAGCACTGCTTGATCATTGTTTGTTTTGATCAAGGCCCAGTTTAATGGTCTGGAACAATTGTTTGCAATGATGCATTATTTTTTCCCCATTTCACTGCCTGGTTTTTTACAGTAGCTTTGATATTTGTATTGTAGTTGAGACATTAATTAACATCTTCATAGTGATGTTTGTGTTTCTCTCTTATTCAACAAATAACAACAAACAAAAATACGAAACATTCGCTGATGTCGTTTATTACAAACTTACACCATAGATAAATTGATTATATATGTACATGGTAAGTTAATTTGGAGGGAAGAATTCTGCTTAGCCTATCATAGTAGAACAATTTTGTAATTGTACGGGCCAAAATATATAGAAAAATATAACACTGGGTCAGAGAACATTGCGTGATTCGTATAAATCGGCTGAATGTGGGAAATAAAAGTTAGAAATATATATCAAATAGGATTGGAGTGATTAATTAAGACTTAGATCCAAATCTCTTCCTTCATTAACACTGTATCAATAGACTGTCGCAGAACTACAGTAAAACGTCTGTGAAAACAATGTTGAATATCTGGTTTAAAACGGTTCAAAACTGATATAGCCCTCAAAAATATATTTGGATTAATTAAAAAAAGGTGGAAAAAACATACATTTTCACAAAACCACTTGGACATAACACGATTTGATCTATAGTAACACGTAATATTTACAAACAATAATATCATTATAGACACACGCATTGCCAACCAACAATGTCAATGAGCCGTTTTAAGCAGACAAGTTATAAACGTTATGTCATGAACAAAGCCTAGGTGTTTTTTGATAAATTTAATCTGGAGTTGTACACGCACTTTATAGCTCGCTGTTTTAATTACCCTCTGTAGAATTAATTTGGTTGTCAAAATGTTTTAATTATTTCCGGTTGCAACCAATGATTTGTTCATAGGGTTTCTATTGTAAAGCTCTTGCTGTGTTCCGGTTTATTTAAAAAAAAACATTTACGAATATTTTGTACCTGGTTGTCAGTTGGTTTTTATTAAACATATATATATATATAGTTGCATGCGGGAGAGGCCGCATTGGTGCAGGTGTTCTTAGAGGTCATAGGTCCTGAGAGGGAAGGGGGACTTACAAATTTATGTGATGGAATGGGTAAATAATTTTTCACAATCCTCGATGACACGGGAATTGTTCAAATTTGGGGATATTTGGACTTGCCTTCATGACAAATTTTATTTTTTTTCCTCAACCTTCTAACAGAATAAACATTTCAAAGTTCAGTATATGAAACTATTTAATGAAATGAGTTTCAAATTTTGGTCAACCGCAGTAGCAACAAAATTTGATGAACTGCTGATGAAGTCTTATCTCAGAGAGCAGATCTCTTTCTTTAATGTTCATTAGCTTGGCCAGCTATCATTTATCTCTGCCCATAAAACCACATGATCATAATATTGTATGCCGACTCTTAACTTATCATCCTACTTGATGTTTTCATTAATGAATGTGTGTCGTGATAGTTGTAATAATTCTCTAATGAAATAAATAATTCAGGACTCAAAATAGTCTCACGGGGAACAATTAACTAATTCTATAATGTTACTAGTATCTCAGTGGTCTACATGTATCCAATACCTTATATCGTATATTGCTTTTGGTTCATCAGATTCAAAATTGTGGTAGGCCATTGGACGAATCCATTGCATCGCTTCAACAGTTCAACTCCCTCCCCGACTCCATTATGTGAGTATGTACAATAACATTTTTGAAATAGTTTCGTCTAGTTTATTGCATTCAGGATGCCTTCTAAGTGCTTTTACCCGTCAATAATTTTTGTGAACTGAATATCACATAAGCATGATGAAAGACAGAGAGACCAGAATAATTAATATGTCCTATATAGTTTACCTATATTTAGATATGGTTTAAGTCGCGAACTTTTGCAAACTGTTTATTAGCGACCGAGTACTTTAAACTGTACTTTATAACTTTGTGAAAATGCTAGAAATTGTGAATGTATAAAATTCTGGTCAGTGAAATTCACTTCTGACACTTCACATCACAAATATGCGATGAGCAACAAAAGCATGATGTAATTAATATCCTCATTATGAATACTTCTTGAGATTATCAACTTGTGGTGTGAGTTATGTGATTTTTAGTGAAAACAACATCGAAAGTTAAGAATTTTGATGCATCACATGTTCTGGCCCTTGTACATGTAATGTGATTTAGAATTATATAAGCCTTTCGTACCTCCTGCTTATAATAAATTGGTTATCCCTTTCTGCTTCATTCAGTCTTAAGTAGGAAACGAAAAAATATGTCAACGTTTTATTTCAATAATTGATTATTGTTCTCAATAAACGCAAGATAATGTTAAAATAGCGAGATGTTCAGATGTATACACACGAATCGTATGAAAAAGGAGAAAGACTGAAAGAGAAGTTCTGTCTGCGTTTGCAAATCAAAGCAGTTTCGTCCAAAGCATCACACTGCACGGATGCCAACAATTAATTCCTAAAGATTCCCGTTCGATCCTAGAATGAGATTGAATACAACAGAAAGACATAGGATACATAAATATTTTTCTGGTGTTTTTGCACATATTTACATCTATATATTAATTGTCATCAGCATGAAGTAATCCTATTAACAATTGCATGATGCAGACGTTCCGTCTTAGTGGCTGATTATTTCAGAATGGATTCCTTTTTTGTCGATATTTATATATCTGTGTATTGTTGACGTCTTAGTAAATTCATTCCTTTGAGAACTATATTAATATTTTCGTCAGGTTTTTCCACTGATAAACCTCGAACACGCGACGCTTAATACATTTTGCTCAGAATATATATAAAAACCTGAACTCTTGACTCTTACTGCATGCACGCAAGCACCGAATACTGGTATGAAAGCACAAAATCCCTCATGAACGTATAAATGATTATCATCTGGAACAGTGCATGTAAGCATTTGGATTTTGGAATATTGAAAACGATATTTGTTAGCACATGTTTACGCTAGTATTACCCTGTCGTAATTTTCAAAACGCTGGTTGATGCATGCAAAATCCACAGTTTGTTGGAATGTTTTAGTTTGGATCCCGCACAAAGCGGGAAATATGATCATGCTTGGGTCAATTTCTTTCATCTTTAAAATATCCTAAATTGAATTTTCACTTATATGTCCGCCTGATTTACCGTTACCAACCTTGTACCCAGATCTCCTCCTTACAGAGCTCGGTCCTCCCACGTCCTGCAGTCCATTCCTCTTAACTTAAGAACCTCTGCTAGCTAGGCACATATATATAGCCACCGTTCTTTACTAAGTCTACTTAACCGATTTTCCGATTTCCACATGTATTCGTCAGCAAGCTGAAATCTATTTAGTGATTTAGTGCTTGAGAATTAAAACGAAATTAGTTTTGTGTATCAGTGAGGAATGATGTGTTCCTTCATGAAATTAAAACGAATATGAAATTCACAAAAGACTAAACATGCCCGTACATATACGAACGAAAAAAACGTGATGGCGATAAAAATCTGAAATAACTATCTTGTTACAGCAAAACCATGCAAAGGTCTGGTTCAAGAGAGTCCAGGTCTTAGTTTTGATCTGAAGTTCAGGTCCAACTGGTGTCCGTCTCTTGTCTCAATTAGTTGTGACTGGCAAATGTTGATTTTTAATTAGGAGCCCGGTAATAAAATTGATCGAACCTAACAATAACATTACTTCTATAGTATGAATATATTATTATTTCAAGCTTATAATAACCCTTCAATCCATTTTCAGACACTGAATATCTCGTATCTGCTATATACCTATATATTAAATAGTTTATTCAATAGGTCAGAAGAACATACTAGTGTATTTTAGAGATGAAAAAGCTGAAGATATTTATTTCCCCTGTCCTATAGAACAATGTTTAGCTTGTCTCCCGTAGCGCGGTACATTAAAGTTTCGTTGAGAAAAATATAAGCCTATACAATTGCTTTTTGGAACCAGCAGTTAATTGATTGCCTACACCTGAGGCGAAAATATATAGGCATTATTTCACTATCGCCATCTCCGGTGGTGTAATTAAATTCGGGAGAAAATTGCGCTCTTAATGAGGAGTGCCGGTCGTATGCGATATTAATAAAAACTAATTATCCACTTGAGTCCATCCACACGAACTGACAAGCGTATAGATAACAAGGAGAGCATCAAATTAATCCCGATAGATTGCTAGCAAAGATGATGTGTATTCACTCATTTTAACCTGCGTTATTCGAGTGACGGAGGGAGATATTTTATTGTCACAGACGGATTCATATAGTGCCCTGTAATACACCGGAACAATAGTGTTTATATCTTAATAATCTACGCTTGCTGACCAGCTCTCAATAACAAGACAAAGAACAGACACAGGTTTGAAGGTAGGCTTCTTCATTTATATCGTTTTAGATGATTTTGAGACGATTTTGAAATCAGTATACGGTATGTGTTCGATAGTTATAAGCATTAACACAAGTTACGCGCAGTTCATTAAGATTCGCTCGTGTTTCAAGACTATAACTTAGTATAAGGTTTTAAATTACTGAAATCTCTTCTATATTGTGAATCGAACTTTATAGTCCCGTTGCACAGATAGATTCACTTTTATTTTCTTAGGACTATTTTCTTATTTCCATATTGGTCGAGTCTTCCGCTGAAATAGTCCTGTCATATGGAGGCGTCAGGCAGTAAGTTACACTCAAACCTTATTTCATTTGTATTCTTTATGTCTTTTATGATTGCCTTATAGCACTGTCTCCGCGAAGTATACGTTATATTATGACATATAATAACATGTTATTGTCTCGATTGTATAGTTTAGCGTCTAAACATTTTATATATAGATGATATTTGACCGTATATGTACGCGCAAACGTTTCATATTATAAGGGCTTTATTTATAATTGTCGGTCGCGCATTATTTTCGACTTTCGTACTCCAGAAACCACTCATTTATTATGCGTTGTGCTTATTAGGTTTGTATGGAATCTTCCGTATTGCGGAAATCCTTCAGAGTATTTTTGGAACGAAATATTAAAGTGCATACATGCGGCCATTCACTCTCATCCAATAATATATTCAATGATGGAAAATATGAAAGTTAACAATTACTGGCTAACTATATAGAATATATATTTACGCGGTATTTGTGATTGTATGTATACTGTATGTGTATACAGTATATTTAGCGAGTTTACGTTGTAATGGCTAAGTATTTTTACCTTTTATCCGCTATCTTATTTTATATGGATTATTCATTAGTTATTTCCTCGGTATTTTATATTTATTATATGCTATAAGCACTATTGCACTAATGTTCTAGAGCACATCGATCGAGTTACCCTTTCTTGGATCAAAAATCTGTTCTCAGTGGAGAGGTCAAAATAGTCCATCCAAAAAAAAGTTTTCAGTTCTTAATGATATATTATATTCCATATTCGCAATGTACACAGTGTTGATTTTATTTCAATGGCTTTGGCTGCCGTATAACATCGAAGCACTATAAACTTGCAGGGAAATGTTCGCGAAATGAATAGTTTTATTTGGTGATTCTTCTCTTTCTGAACATGCTTCATTAGCCGACAAAGAAATGAGTCGTAATCGTAATATTAGTCCGTGAAATTAGGATTGTGTTCAGTATTTTCTGTGTCTGATTCAATAAAACACATCGTAACATCGTGCAGAACTTGCGCTGTGTTTGCCTTGTGTGACATGTTAAGTCACCTCTATAAGCTGATAACTCTCAATATTGGTTTTTCAGTTACCAAGAATAGATGTACACGCATATTTGCTTACTGGGGATTTTATTTTAAGATTTTGCCAATAGTGGGGTGAGAGTCTTTGTACTAAATCATTCTTATGGCCTGTACCGTGCTTTCATTCACTCCCATATTGCAATACTTTGCTAGCGGGTGGGCCCTGTTTTATAATTAATTTACTATGTGTTGATAAGTGCACAATACGGACGCACAAATTTTAATTAAGTATTTTTTCTCATGACCCACATTCGTAATTTCCTTTAATATCACTGCCCGTCAACAAACATTACGATTTAAATTCGTACCCAGTCCATGGTCTAGCCATTGGCCACGACGGACATGACTGTGCGCTGGCTATAAAATGCGACATGTATGCATGCATTTATGTAACAGCAGAAATAGACTACGTCGGTTTTTAATTCCGTATATGAATTGTCGGGAGTTTTATGATATATTTCTGTGGTTGGAGTTACGTCATTGCTATCTTCTACGATGACTTATGGGGGGCTTCGCCGAACGAGCATGTATAATTATTAGATATTAAAAAACTGGGGTTCAAATGTTATAATCATCCATGATGTGCTATATTCAATTTTCCCTGTATATAAAATTGAAACGTCTTCCGACAGACAAGGCATTATGTTCACAGAGGTGCTCGTCGAGAGAATACGATGTGTGAATACGTTCCGTTCTTTATATGTTTATCAAGATCCCCTCCATTTAAGATTCCATAATCCTGAGCAAAGAGATAATATTGAGTGGAACATGAGTCTGAATAAATTCGATTTGTGACCGGAATATATAGTCGAAAAATCTGAATTTCAATTACTCCCTTTATCAATGCGCCTATTTATTTATCATTTATTTTGGAAGAAACTAGTTATTTTTCTCAGGTTGGGGGTAAATTTAAACTTAACTTTCATAATTACGGTGTGGTCATTGCGCTGACCAAACAATGTCCTGAATGAGCAAAGATGTAATGACGTGGATATCTTAACGGCATGTGAGCGGCTCCATGATTGCTTCGACGCCGAACAATGTTCTTTGTGAAAAATCATAATTGATGGAAATATAGAAATCTGAGTCAAATCAAAAGAAATCTGAGTCACATCACTTTATTCTTCATAAGTTTTATTTTTTGCACATTTTAAAATGTTCCAGCCAGTTGTTTTATAATATATGTTACATGATATTGTATGCATTAGAGTTCTGTCTCATTCTACCTTAAATTATTAACTTTATATCATATATATACAGTCGCATAATCCACGAATATTCAAGAAATTATTATTATAAATGAATAATATCTCATGAATTACATTCATGCATATTTATAGAAAATAATATTATTTTTTTCAGTAATGATTGTTAAAAAATTTCTCTATTTTTTATATTTTGCTTTTTTCTTTATTATTTAATGTTCCATATATATTTAATGCTTCTATATACGTGTTGTTTATAAATTATTAAAATAAGTTATTTTTATTTCGGTCAAACGGCAGTGTTCAATTCTTTAAAAGCTTTATTTCAATATTTCAATCCATACTTCAAGATGCACAATCGTTTCATAGTAATGATTTTGAATCAGACTTTTTGACTAAAAATCTATTCATACCAAGAGATATCATTTCTAGTATTTTTTGCCTTTGATTGAAGCAGACCTATTCAAATCAGCAATCAGCCTTGCTGAATATGGAAATTAATTATTTCTAGCCTAAATTAGAATTTTAGTATTTTATCTTTTCAGTAACAATTATTTAATTTAGAACTTTCTAATGAAGTGTTGCAAACTATAATTGTCAGTTTCACAAGCTTAATTGATTGCTTTCAAACCTCATTATGTTCTGCTTGTCACTGGAGGCTGGCGAGTTTAATAACAGAAAGCAATATTCATCCATGCATATGTATGCCGGACATATGCTAACGCTTCTTGTGTATATTCGTTGTACATTTTTCATACGAAATCGGTCGTGCAAGTATGTGAAATCTTGATCCAGAACTTTTTCAGATAATATTCAAGCTAGTTTTAAAAACACATGCACGCGCTGACGTATATAAAATACAAAGTTTCTTTTCAAAATAAATTTTTGGTGCGGAAAGATATATTTCGTGTGTGAAATTGGAACACCTTAGTTGTCTGTATCCGGCAGTTTTCTTTTAGAATCTAAGATTTATAAATCTTTTATGTTATGAAATAGACACAATTTATTCAGATTCTACGTTGATTAATATGTGCACAGGAAGAACTATGTCAACTCTGCCATATATTAGAATATTATTACTACGGAAACATCAATCTAAACAGATGATATAATATATATTGTATTATTATTAATATATACAGCAGAGAAATAGATTTATACTATGTGGATCAACTGAATGGTTTGATAAATGTATATTTCTCGGTCGGTGTTATAGCATATGCACTTTCCTTCGTTTGTTTTGCATCCTGTGGGCTGAACATCGTAGGAAGTGTACAAAAATGATCTATATAGAACAAAAACAAACGCCCTCTCAATATTCCAATCAAGCAAACACCAAATCAATCTTTCATATTATGTCAAACTGACCAGGCCATAATGAATCGACTCTGAAATCCAATTTCCCCAAGACAATACACTCGTTTGAAAGATAATTAGTTTTGTGATATTATTTGTTTGTTATTTCGAGAAAGGCGGGTTAATTAACAGTGTTCCCATTAATAACCTGCTGTGTCAGCCGTTGTAAGTATGTTTAAAATGAGATTTTTCACAATGTCCATATTCGGAGGAGTAAAGAATTTGAATCACACAGCCGTGTACAGATGTGCTCATCCAGTAAGGCTAATATGGAACTATACGATGTACTTTTCTGATTTTTAATGTAAGTACTTTCTCTATCAGACATCACAGGTTTTTTAACCCGGATTTCTGATTTATCGCTAGTTAAACTTGAAAGAGTTTATTCGTCTTTCGCGGAAAACCCTTCCGAAGTTTGAAAAGCATAATATATTGTATTATTGTATGACATTAATATATTTAGGCGATGTAGGTCAGGCGGACGAAAGAGCAAAAACATATACGATTTAATTAAGCCCCGTTTACACTGCAATCTATTTATTAGCAGGGCCGTAGCTAGCCTGTTATAGTTGGAGGGGACATGTCGCAGTGCTCGGAAGCTTTCGTCCAATTGGATAATGCTTTTTAATGCTTTCTAAAGAACGAAGCTATGCTATTGGTTGAAACAGGAATGTATTGTAAAGTTCAGCCAATGAAAATCATTCTTGCGAGGAGCTGCGACACTACCCAGGGAGTTGGAGGGCGTGAAACAAAAATTTCCGAATTGCATAATCTTTTCCGAATGTCAGAAATGAGTAATTACGTAGACTGTACTATTTTTCCAGCTTTGACATTGCCTCGTTTTCATTTGGCTAGTTGCTCATGTTTCGTGTACAGTAAGCACCAGAAGGAAATGCTTGTAATTCACCATATGATCTAAGAGAAATGCATTCGTGCACAAATTGATAATCGTTGATAAACCAAAACATTCAATCTTGACATAAAGCCGGAAAAATAGATCTTTTATTCTCAATCGGGTCATGTTATTCGAATAACAAAATTGTTTGTATGAATTGATTTCTTGAAATTTTCTTTGTTCAATGTTGTCGTAATTTTCCGAATATTATATCAGCTCTCCCCAATACCCCCCTCGCTACGGTCCTGTTGGCACGGCACGCCTAAAATTAGTATCTTGACCTAATTTTATCTACCAACATAGAGGACGAACAGAGATGTGCATAATTTCAGGTATATCGTGCCAATAGATTGAGTTTTGTTTAAAGAAGGCTAAAACCAAAACTTGAAAGTTGTCAAATGCAAGTCAGCTCCTCCGGCGATGAGCCTACGTGTCTACTAATACGAATCACTGCCACGCTTGTTTCTTCAAAGAAC